ACTACTACTCTCGAAGGACTCAACTACTGGAACGAAGTACGATAGCATCCTTATTATAGTTAACCAACTCACTAAGTAGAGCTACTTCTTCCTGTATAAAGAATCATGGTTAGCAGAGCAACTTGCGGATATAATCTACCAGCATATCGCATTAGTATATAGATAGCCAGAGGAATAGATTATAGACCGAGACACTAAGTTCGCATCAAAGTTTTAGCAAGCGCTTATAAAGCGTTTGGGTATAAAGAGCAAGCTTTTAACGGCATACTACCTATAGATAGATGGCTAGACCAAAAGGCTTAACTAGATCGTCGAACAATATCTCAGAACGTTCGTCAACTTCCAACAAGACGACTAGGTTGATCTATTGCCAGCAGTATAGCTTGTATATAATACTACACCAATAGAGACAATAAAGGTTACTCTATTCTTCGTAAACTTTAATTACGAAACAGATTTATGCCAGGGACTAGATATTATAGTACCTAGGGCAAAAGTCAAGGTAGAAAAAATACATACGCTATATATAATACTAAAGGAAGAACTCGAGTTTATCAGGCTTAGGATAAAGGAGTACTACGACAAACATCGGCTCGAGGGACCTCGCCTTAGGAGAGGAGATATAGTCTACTTTATCTCCCGGAATCTAAAAACGAAACGACCAAGCCAGAAGCTCGACTTTAGGAAGATTGGACTATTCAAAATCGACGTAAGAATTTCAATATCCAACTACCGACTTTTATTACTATTAATAATAAAGTTATATACTAATATCTTCTATATCTCGTTCCTCGAACCAGTACCTAAGAACGTACGGGTTATAAAAGACATCGAAGTAGAGGACGAAGAAGAAGAATAGGACGTTAAGAAAATCTTAGACTTGCGAATAGCCAATAGAAGGCTAGAGTACCTAATCAAATGGCTCAACTTTGGACTAGAAGACAACTTATAGGAGCCAGCGGAATACCTTAGCTATACGGAAAAACTAAAGGAATTCCATCGACGGAATCCAGATCGGCCAGGGAAGAAGAAAGCGCAAAAATCTTCTCCCTATAAATAGCTCGACCCGGCGGTCAAGCCACTTACATAGAGAAGGGGTGCAGATGGGATTCGAACCTACAACCTCCTAGAGCATTTGCCCGGGTATAATAACTAAGCTGCACCACTAAGCCATTTCATTTGTTGGGAAACAGGCAACAAGAATCAGATTGAGAACCCTAGGCAGGAAAGAGCGGCTATAGGCAGCCACACTATAACTCGACATATATAGCAGGCGCGACCAAGACCTGACTACTACCAACTATAAACCCCTACTGCCCTAAGGAACTAAGGAAGTCCCACTAGAAGGACCCGGATCGACCTCGGATAACGGTTCTGCTAGAGCAGCCAGGTCAACGTCAGACAAGTCAAGCCCTAAAGAACCCTAGTCAAAAGGAACGTCCGCCCTAAGCGCCTGAACGTCGCTAACCATATAGGATTCGGACTCCTGAATCCGACGGTCCTCTGCCTCTATCTCCTCCAACGATTATATACTACGACGGAATAACTCGGAACCCTGCTCCTTTAGGAAACGCCTCTGACGCCATAACCTAGCGAGACAACCAACGGCGGTCTGCAACTAAGTTTAAAGAACGAAGAGCACCTCTTTAGTATCGGCCTCTTCCTGCTCTAAGCGCTTTTGCTCAGATATAATCTTCGTCACTAAGAAAAGTTAGACGCCACGCTAGGAGGTAAGAAGGGAACATGGCCTATATAACAACGCTATGCTAGAACTATCGCAAGAACGACCGCAACGAATATATTCGCTACAACGAGAGGAGTTCTACGCGATACGGCAAGCGAGGTTGCGCTTAAAGCACCAAGAGCAAGGTATAATATCTATTCCGGAGGATTCGACAAAAGACGCGAGAGCTATATACTCCTAGGCTTTCTTAGACTGACGCTTACGGATACGGTCTGTTATTGTGTCAGCATCTCTTGGGAAAGGAAAAAGAGAGGGCGCGCAGCATGCTTACAATATAGGATGTTGGCGCTATTTGAAACAAACTTGGGCTTTCGGGACGAACAGCCCTGGAGAGGGGGCATCGTGTCATGAATTAACCTGCAGCGGCCGGTGGGGCCGACCTGCATGGTCTGCGGGCGACGCCTACGTCCAATCGTTCCGGTCCAGGAACGGACCAATCAGAAGAGGATCACACTTGGCATAGGGAAGGCTTGGTGATCCAGGTATAAGGCTCACAAGGGATCACTGGTGATCCAAGGTGATCCAGTATAAGGGATCACCAGAGGGAGGCCGTGATCCATAGGAAGAGCCATAGTATATAGGATAGCTAGACACTCGTTCTGGAGGACTCTGGGAGTTCTCCAGTGAGCAATTACAAGCAGTAAGGTAGCCCTACATTACTGTGCAGACATTGCGACTTGCATTGTTGTGAACCCTTTGGCTTCACCGAGACCTACAGTCCGACCAGCAGATACCTTCGACCGGCGAACCCTTTCAGAGGCAGGACTGCCTGCGGTTTCGTCACACAATACCCTTGGCTAGGCTATCCCTCCGTTCATCATCTTAGCCGCGTAGTACTACCTCGCCAACTGGTATCAAGAGTGCAACCTCCTAGCCGACTGGTATATTGCAACCACCGAGAATGGCTAGACTACCAATGCGGTAGGCCTTGATTGGATCAAGCACTTCGACTACTATATAGCGCCTTAGACAAAGGGCAAATACTAGTTGTTGATCCTCGATAGCCATGAAAGCCACTACTCAACTGAGTTCGAGCTCTATTGCCAGTAGAACAACATCATCACGCTCTGCATACCTCTACATTCCTCCTACCTCCTCTAGCCACTTAATATTGGCTGCTTTAGGCCGTTAAAGCAGGCGTACGGTTGCCAGATCAAGGACTTAGTACGTGCGTATATCAACTATATAAGCAAGCTCGAGTTCCTTTATGCCTTTCGCACGGCCTTCTTTGCCTCTATTACTAAGAGGAATATATAGGGCGGTTTTACAGGGGCTGGCCTTATGCCATACAATCTAGAGAGGGTGCTTTCAAAGCTAGATATCAAGCTTCGTATACTAATACCCCTAATCTCACGGCCAGGCACTGTACAATCTTGGGTCTTCTAGATACTATATAACCCTCGAGAAGCCGAGTCACAGTCAACGCTTATCAAGACTCGCATTGCCAACCATCAAAATAGCTCCCCGACTTCAATGTTAGCTACTATGGACCAGCTTACTAAGGGTACAATAGCTATAATGCACCAAGTGGCCCTCCTTCAGGCAGAGGTGTCTTCGCTCCGCAAGGCTAAACAGGCGCTAAGCAAGCGCCGGAGAGCCAAAAAAACACGTGTTCGACTTGGAGGATCACTTACTGTGCAGGAGGCACAGGAGGTGGTAAGCCAGGGGGCTGTACGTGGGGAGGAAATGCAAGAAATATAGCTGGATGGTAGTGGTGCTGGGGGGGGGTCGTACGAGGGTTCGGTGCTGTGGTGTGTGCGGCAAGCCTGGCCATAATGCCCGCACTTGCCAGGAGGGTGCAGAAGGGTCTGATTCATCTGTTTCTGATGTAATTATTGTTAGTTCCTAGTGTTGTTGTTTTGTGATTGAGGATATTGTTGGTAGTGTAGTGGAGAGTGGCCGGCTCGCTTATATGGCCGGCTCGCTTATAAGATACGTTACTCAATTGACGTACGAGTCACCACAGCTGCTACTACCGTACTAGTTCGGACCATGCAACACTTTTGACTTACCTAGGAGAGCTGAGTTACACGTTGTACGGTATATATCTGCATACTGTTTATTTCCAGCAAGCATCATGCCCATCTGCAGACGGATTTAACACATCGTCTTCCACCCCGTTCAACTTCGACGTGTCATCCGGGCAGAAGGTCATCGGGTTGGTAATTGGACCTGCAGATGCGGTGCTGCTTCTCCCACTCGGCGAGCTTGTCGAATTTTCTTGACCTACCTCCGTATTGGGGGCTGCGATGGTGAGACTTGGCCCAAAGTCATCACACTGTCATCACCAGTGTGCAAGTGTGGATGAGCGGATCGGCCTTGGGATCAAGCAAGTCGTCGCTTCAAGGCTTCGAGCTCGAGCGCATTGCGACTGGTATGTATTGTACATGGATGATGGACCATGGCGTCGATGGAGATGCAGACGACTCGTGCTCCTGGCCTTGTTCGGTTGATACCATGGGTCGCATCCTCAATCTTCATTGCGCTCTCCATTGTCATCGCCGTGCTGACTAATTTCTTGAGCTCAGCGACATGCAATGCGTCCGCCGGGACTCTGTATGGTAGCCGGACACCGGCCAGGCCGCCAGATCGAGTACCACCGGGAGACGTGAGACGACTCTGACTTCTTCACCACCAAGAGCCACTTCTTCGGTCTGGAGCCGACACAAGAAATCAACCACGCCTGGTCCGAGATACTCCCGGGTGAGCAAAAAAGATCTCTTTTTTCTTTTCCTTTTCTTTTCTTTCAAAAACAACATATCGATTATCGGATGCCACAGCCAGCCGCTAAGGTGAAAGCGACCGAGTGGCCCAGTGGGAGCGCGCGCACCGATGTCTGGAGCGGCTCCGGCAAGCGGTCATGTGCCAGTCCGACGAAGGTCCTCTGATCAAATACTGGCCTGACAAAACGTTGCGGCCGATCGTCCGGGAGAGGTCTTGCACTATGACAGGTCGGCCCTCGTACAACGCTCGTTCCACGCCATTACTAGCAGGAGAAGATGGCGAGCCGAAAGACCGGGACTCGGGGGCGCCGCTCAGTACGGCCGGTGCCACCACGGTAGTTCGCCGCTCCCAGTCCGACGTTGAGCTACCAAGTTGTACATCATCGGCTTCTGTGTCTTGCTGTTCTCATTGCTTCTTCAGCTTTTCCACGTCTTCTCCTTTTACAAGTCGTCAACGTGACTCAGGGCAGGGTAAGCTGAACATACTAGATATGAATGCTGATGCCCCCAAATTCCTCTCGGTCACCAATGAACCTCTATCTTGTGTAAATCAACCGACTAATGCTACTCCTGCTAGACAGATTGATTACTTAACAGTATCCGGTATGCACTAGGTACGTATGTACCTTAGCTACTGACGCCTTTCGCGATAGTGTTCAATTTAACACACCAATAGCGTGATACAATATCCAACATTCGGGCGATTTATTTGACAGTCTGCTACCAGTTTTCATAACTCGCAATTTACACTGCCCAGTCCAAGCTACTCATTTACATACATTAATCACTACATTCACAAACTGTTCCTGCGAGGCTGCAACTCAGAAATCAAACTTCTGCCCGACCAGCTGCTCGCTCAGCGCCCACAGCCTCTTCGCCGCCTCCGGGTCCGCGGCATACTCGTACGGCGTCTGGGGCTGGCAGTCCCTGATGTAGATGCCCGGTTTGTCCGCGAACCCCGGGTCGAGCGCGGCCGCAAGGATGGACGAGACCCCGCCGTCGATGGTCTTGAACGGGTGATCGAGCCGGAACTCCCGCCCGGTGTTCCGGACCGCGATCGGCCCGATGGCGTCGAACTCGTGCATCTCCGTGTCGCGCACCAGGCCGGTCTCGGCGATGCCGCCGGGGTGCGGCGCGTTCGAGACGACGCCCCGGTCCGCCAGCCGCCGCGACAGTTCCACCGAGTACAGGATGTTGGCCGTCTTGGCCTGCCCGTACGCGGACCACGGGTCGTACGCCGCGCCGGCCGAGAAGTTGGGGTCGTCGAACCGCACGGGGCCGATGGTGTGCCCGACCGACGTCACGTTGATGATGCGAGCGCCCTTCCCCGCGGCCAGCACCTTGGGCAGGATGAGGTTGGTGAGCAGGAAGTGGCCGACGTGGCAGGCCGAGAAGGTCATCTCGATGCCCTGCTTGTCGAGCGTGTAGTCGTGGATGTTCATGACGCCCGCGCAGTTGATGACGACGTCGATTTTCTGGATGGCGCCGTTGGCGTTGATCTCGTCCGCCGCCTTGCGGACCGAGTCGTGGTCGGAAAGGTCGCACTGCACGAAGGTGACCTGCACGCCGGCGCCGACCGACCGGATCTGCTCAACGACCGGGTCGATCTTGGCCTTGTTCCGCCCGACGAGGATGATGTGCTCGGGCGCTTTCTTGGCCAGGTCGATGGCTGCACCCGCTGCCAGGCTCTTGTTGCTCGGGCCCGTGATCAGGAAGGTGCGTCCCTTGATGTGTTCTGGCCAGGCAGAGACGACCTCCTCGCCGGTGGTGTGGAAGTTGAAGGGAGACATGTTGCGATGGGCGAATGTAGGGGTGGAAGTGTGTGCGTGTGTGTGTCACAGTGTAAGATCGTTGAACAGTGACTCTGAAAGACCACTGATAGGTATGGTGTTGTAGAACTTGTAGTAATTGTACCTATATATGATGGTTTGAGTTGTCGATGGATGCACGAAATCGAACTCCGCGGAGGGGACGACGAAAGCCACTTTATATCTTTAGATGGCCAGTTTCTTGTTACTAGAAGATGCAGTATTGCCCAAAGAAGCTGGATAGTATCTATGCATCGCATTGACTCGAGACGAGAGCAAGCAACGGCGTGCCAAGACGCCATCGGCGATATGGATCCTTATCGTCGACGCCGACACTAAAGACCGACGACGAATCCGGCATTACGGACCGAGGAGGTCTTAAAGTGGGTCTCCTTCTCCGGCTTACACAAAATCCGGCGCTGCTTCAAATGGGAACGCCGCCCGAGGGGCCGACGACTTGGCCACAAAAGCTTAGGATACAGGGTCGCAGAATCTTTCTCACTAGTCTGTACGGCATAAACCAGCGTTCTTCGCTCCAGCTCCGGGGATAAGAGTGGGTAGTATGCTGGATCGAGAAGAACCGTGCATGCATCTACCGTAGTCACGGATGACGAGATTGCTTGAAACGAGGGGTGAATAATCAACAATATAACCTATTGTTGTTCCATTCTAATAATCTTGAAGGCAGCCTTCCCAAGTTCCCCAACTTCAGAACAAAATCAAGTACACCGTTTTCTTTTCTTTTCTCTCCTTTTATTTTCTTTTATTTTTGTTCTCCTTTTTTACTGCGGCACTAGAACAGCCCTGTATTGCACCTGGCCCTTATCCAACCTGTCCAGCGCCTCCTTGATGCCCTCCTCCGTCATGGGGAAAGTCTGAATCACCGGCCGGATCTTATGCATAGCCGCAAAGGCCAGCATCTGGCGGTGCACGCTCCGCGTGGCGACGAGCGACCCCTGCACCGCAATGCCCTTGTCGATCAGCGGCATGTACGGGATCACCAGGTTGCCCGACGAGACCGAGAGCGGGTAGATGCGCGATCGCGGCGCCATCATGGGCAGGATGCTGTCCCAGGCCGGCTGCGCCGATGTGGTCACCAGCAGCCGCGAGAGCGGCCACAGGCTCTTCTCGACGAGCTCCCTCGGGTCGGCGTCCTTCATAGCGACAAACCGGTGCGCTCCCAGTTCCAGCGCCTGAGTCCTCTTACTGTCGGTGCCGGACAGGACGACGACGCGGCAGCCCATCTTGGCGGCAAACTGGATGGCCAGGTGGCCCAGCCCGCCCACGCCCATGATGCCGACCACCTCGTTGGGCTTGACGTCGTAGAGGGCCGTGAAGACGGTGGCGCCGCCGCACTGCAGCGGCGCGGCGGCCTCGTCGCTGATCGCGTCGGGGATACGGTGCAGGAAGGCCTCCCGCCACACGGCGCCCGACGAGAAGCTGCCCTGGTCGAGGTTGGCTTCCGAGTACATGGCGCGCTGCGGGCAGAAGATCTCCTCGCCGCTGATGCACTCGTCGCAGTGCCCGCAGCTGTCCGTCGCGTAGCCCCAGCCCACGCGGTCGCCCTTCTTGAGGTACTTGGTGTCGGGCCCGACAGCATCAACGACGCCGACGCCCTCGTGGCCGAGGACCATGTCGTGTGTCAGCTGTTTTGCCAATGTATCTGTTAGCTATGGCACCATTGACATTAAATCTGATGGGTGCATAAGGTCAATTCACTAACAAAGTGTAGATCTAAGGGGTTGTTAGTCGACGTGGTTGATCGAATGGTGGTGTTTGATACGTACCGGTTCCACAGACGCCGGATGCCGTGACTCTCACATACACCTGATCGCCGACGAGCTGGTCTGGCTTCTGGGTGGTGGATTTCTTGGGGACGCCATCTTTGGCACCCTTAAAGACTGTGAAGCTAGGCATAGAGATGCTTTAGTATAAGGGACGAGGGATGAAGGGCCAATTTTAGGCGTTAGTCTGAAGTGTAATAAGTATCTTAAGTGTAACTAACTGCTGCAGATGCTTCTTCAAGTCTTGAGATCAATGAGATCATCGGGTGTTGCTGTGTGAGGATCTCTCTTCAGTTCGCCGGGAACTTGCCAGCGCTTTATGCTTCTCAAATCCATGGCAAATTGATGTTTGTGGCAACTGAATGGAGCTTTTGTCATTCGGAGCACTCCTTCTCGGTGCGCTCCTCCAAAGCATGCTGTGATGGGGATGCAATCGCGTAGAATTTTCGTGAGAGCAAGAGAGATGCCTGTCCAGTGTCGCTACTCCGTAGCTTCCCGGAGCTCCCGGCCCTCGGAGAACTCCGAGGGGTCTAGGGTTGGAGTCAGGCGTCGGCTTTAACAGATTGGGCCCCAGTTCAACAACTTTAGTTGATCTTTTTAAAGTCGGACATGATACTCGACGGCTTGTTCGAAATGAGTTCCGTTTCTAAGAGCTCCTGATATTCAAGAGTTACCCACACTTTACAAGCATGGCTACCTTATATAATGGCCATCTGCGAGGATGCCGTTATGTTCACACTTCACACAGCAGAACGGAGCTTAAGTCCGATCGTGGCATGCTCTCTGTGGTTGCCTTCTAATTTCGTAGCAGTTCATGTCTGTTAAATCACGCTTTCGAAGAGGAAAGTATTCTCACTTGCAAGATAAGTAGGGTAAATTTTCTGCGAGCACTAAGCAGACTGCAACACGAAAACGGCGCTTGAAGCTTGAGGTGGTTTTTATTAGGCAGCGACGTTGCCAACGTCGAGGACAATTTCCCCGTAGCCAGACCCCGGCCGGATAAGGCCTTGCGCATCTCAACCCCGAGATTTGCAAGGCTTGCCGGCTGCTGCTGCCGTGGTCAAGTCTTCCCCTCGCCAGCCAGCTGGCACCTCACCATGGCCGCGGCATTCAGCAATACAGCGCCGGGCGCATCCGGGGCGGACACTGCCAAGCCCGGTCAGTCGGCCCCGTGGCCCCGGCGGAAGCGGAACCAAGTGATCCGGGCCTGCGACTGGTGCCGGAAGCATCGCGTCAAGTGCGACACGCATTCGCCGTGTTCCAACTGCGCCAAGAGGGGCGGTGGGTGCAGCAATGAGTCCATGAACGCGACTTCGCTTCCCCTTGCCCATCGCGAGATTGAGCGTTTGCGACAGAAAGTCCTGGAGCTGGAACTGGAACTGCAGCGGGAGCGGGCTGGCGGGCTGGCAGGAAGCAGCAGTCTGTCTCCTCCGGCGCTCAGTGTTAGCTCGGATCATGGGATCGGGCTCATTGGAGACTCGTCGCGCATCAACCTCTGGGGCGGCATCCGCATGAGCACGGCCCGGTCGCCGCACAAGACGTGGTACGGACCCTCGTCGCTGTTCTACTTCATCAGCCGCATCAACGCCTTCTTGGACGGGTCTCTCCAGCAGCGACACTCGGCAGACCACATGCTGCTCGACTCATCTAGTAGACGCCTCGATGAGCCGGCAGCGACTCCCGAGGCTGAGGAGCCCTCGCAGGACCCTCGTGTGGGCGGCGTCACAAAGGCAACCTACCTGAGCCCCACGCAAGAGGAATATTTCCTCGACCTGTTCTGGCAGTCATACCACACCTCTTTATTCCCCATACTCGACGAGACGGCCTTCAAGGAGCATTACAGGTCGCTGTGGACGGCATCCGGCAACACACGGAAGCCGTCGGCGCTCGTGGACATAGTAGTTGCGATGTGCATGCAGTACGGCATGTCTATGTTGCCCGCCGTGAAGCAGCAAGTCTTCGGCGACCACAGTGACGCCGCCATTGCCGGCCGCTGGCACTACCGGCGTTCCCAAACGCTGCTGGCCCGCGAGCTGGAGAGCCCCACCGTGTCAACCTTGCAGTGCCATCTTCTGTCTTGCATATACCTGTGCTGCGGGTCTTTCCAGAACATGGCCGACAGCGCGTGCGGCCTTGCTGTGCGTGCAGCGTATATGCTTGGCCTTCACCTGAACCCTCCACAGACCATGCCGCGGCGAGAGAGGGAGATGCGCAAGCGTCTGTGGTGGGCTCTCTACGTCTTGGACAGCAAGATCGGCATGAAGCTTGGCCGTCCGTTCCTACTCCCGCACCTCTCCAGCGCCACGCCTTCGCTCCCGGGCGATGATCTCGATGCGGCACTGCAATCGGGGTCCAACTTCGCCCCCTTGGGTGACAACGTCACATGGCTGAGCTTCGATCTGCAGCAGTCGAAGCTGTTCCAAGCCGCTCGGACAGTCCACACAGCCTTCTATGACCGCAGTCCGAACGCCAACCACGGGCAGACCATGTGGGATGATCAACAGGCGCTGGCGAGCCACGCAGAGTTCCTTGGCCCCTACATGAGGGGTTTAGACGAATGGGCCGCTGGCGTACCCGTTGCCCTCAGGACGGAGAGACAGGGCAATGGCGCTCCGTTCTCCACGGACGACTCACCCCTCAACATCGAACAATTCGCCCCCCTGTGGCTCCAACGGCAGCGTCTGCTTCTGGAGCTGATGTACCACCATCTATGCGCAAACCTCTACCGCCCGTTCATTTCCTTTAGTAGCCCGACGCCGACGTCCGCCACCGTCGCAGAGGAGGCCGCGCTGAAGTGCGCGCTGCACGCCATGGCGGTGACCCGAATCACACACCAAGTCCTCTCTACCACCAACATCTTGGCCGGCTGGCACGAGGCCTTCCAGCTTCAGTGGAACGCGGCCTTGACGCTGGTGGGATTTGTGCTTGCACATCCGCACCATGTATCCACGGCAGATGCCAGGAAGGCCATGGACCAGTCTGTTGCCGTCTTCGACATCTTCAGCGATAGCTTCGCGGTTGCGGCCAGCGCGGCGAAGATCATGCGCGACCTCGGCGCCAAGGTCAATTTCCTCCACCAGCACCACCAGCAGCAGCAGCAGGGCCAAGGGGAGGCCACTAGTGGTAGCCTTGATGAAGCGAACGAGGCGGCGGGTCAGACGATGATGATGCCGGGGAACGCGAAGATTCTGGAAGATATCTTGTCGATGCCGGACATTTCGACCGTGTCGAAGACGTGGGATGGCACACTGAGCCGCGACGACCTGAATGCTGCGTCCATGCAGGACGTCTTCAACATGGCGTTTGCTGTGGACGAATGGAGCAATCTCGATTCGCTGTGGCCGACTATGGACCAGGTGCTAATGCCTGAGCAGTACATTCTCGGGCTGTAAAATGCCTCAGGTACGTTACCAGGTATTGGAGATTAATGAAAAGACTTCGGGTGCATAATGCAATATTGCGGCTTTGCAACTGTGCTGCACGGACTTGTTTGGACGAGCATCAAGGACAGCGAAAGCGATGAGCGATAGGATTGGTTCGAAGTCGACACAGGGAGTGATGTTCTAGAGTGAAACCAGTCGGAATATCAAACTGAGGGAGAGAGGTGCAATACAACGATCGGGAGTAAGTGACTGTAAGTCATAACCGACCGGAGTCCTACGTGATTTCAGCTTACATCAAATCCAAGGGCCAACCGGAGTCGCTCCTCGACCGGAGTGTGGGGGCGCCCCGGAGAGGGTCCGATGCGGGTCCCGGACCTTACAGCGGACTCCGGAGTGGAAGACAATTCCAAAGGTTACTGGCGTTCGATCGTAACATGCATGCCGGAGTTGGCCTTAGGATCCAGAGGTTTAACACCATTATCGACTATATATATCGCTTCAGCCTTCATCAATCAACATTCTTGTGAACATCACAACAACTACAACAAGTCGACAAGTTGTACAACACTTGAACACAGCCCTTTCTGCCCTTATATCAGTCTTGCGGACTCCTTCCAACAATATCATTTCAATACCAGAACTTCTTCTACCAGCACCCACCTATAACCCCCTACAACAGCAGCCATGTCTCCCGCTCGTCGCGCTCTCATCAGCATCACTTCGGCCCAGGCCACGCTCTTCGAGGGCAAGGAGACCACAGGTCTCTTCATCAGCGAAGCCCTCCATCCCTTCAAGGTCCTCACCGCTGCCGGCTTCGAGGTCGACCTTGCCTCCGAGACCGGCAGCTACACGCCCGACTGGCTCTCGCAGCAGCCCGACTTTCTCCACGGCGAGGATCTGGCCATCTGGAACGACACCACCAGCGACTTCCGCAAGAAGCTCGACAACATGCCCCGGGCCTCCGACCTCGACGGCTCGCAGTACGGAGTCTTCTATGCCTCGGCAGGCCATGCGGCCCTGATCGACTACCCGACTGCGGCCGGCCTGCAGAAGATTGCCTCCCAGGTCTGGGCCAACGGCGGCGTCGTCGCGTCCGTCTGCCACGGTCCCGCTATCTTTGCCGGTGTCCTGGACCTTGCAACCAACGAGCCCCTTATCAAGGGCAAGACCATCACCGGCTTCACTACCGAGGCCGAGATCACCATGGGCATCATGTCTGAACTGAGATCGTGGAATACGCCGATGGTGGAAGAGCTCGCTGAGAAGCTGGGCGCACAATGTAAGATCTTTTTTTACTCTTATCTATTTTCTCTTTTACTTTTCTCGCACTTGGCCCTTTCTTGGACCTTTTCTGTTCAGAAATGCTAATTCTTTGATTTTTTTTTCTTTTTGTCAGACAAGCGAGCTCCTGGCATATGGGATGATTTTCACGTTGTCGATGGGCGCCTCGTCACGGGTCAAAACCCGGCGAGCGCAGAGTGTACCGCCCGGGCAGTGGTGGGAGTCTTCGACAATCTGTGAGCCGTTGACTTAGGACTGGCATCTAAAGCAAGTACTGTCTCTGTTCAAATACAGATGGATAGACTGCTAGATGACAGGTGTAACATATTAGTAGTCTTGATTATTCAAACAGCTCTAGTTTCTTCATATCTCGTGGATTGAGTAGCTGATGACGATGCAACCTCCTCAAACATGGGAAGATCGGCCAGCGAAGGTCAAGATCTAACCGCTCCTGAGCGAAAGAGGCTGCCTGGGCTTAGTTACATTGACTACAAGGGACTGCTAGGCTCTTGATACAGCCATGATAGTGCGTGTATCTCTAGGTACTGGTACGTAGGAGTAACGGCACCCACTCACTCAACAACTGAATTCTGAACTCGAAGAATCAACAAACTGGACTCGAGTGATTAGCAGCCTTCACCCTTAACACAACCAACGCTTAATCGAGAAGCCAGAACTAGAAAGTCAACGACCTCGAAGTCAACCATATCAGCCCAGTTGGCGAACAGGGAGAACGTGGGCTCTGGGCAATACCTTCCCTCATAATGGGTGAATGGCATCAGAGACTTGGGGGTGAAGAAGCACTATAGTTTGTGACTGATTAATAAGGTACGGCGAGAGGTTCCATGTCAGGGCCAACGTGCTTTGAGTGTTAAGGTTGCCAGTATCCGTCTGACCAAAAATAGCCGTATAGTACCATTATCGTCGTCAGCCGGAGTGCCGGACAGATGCAGCTGTTAGCGCAAGTAATTCTTTTCTCTCTCTTCTCTTTCTCTCTCTTTTTCTTGCCTGGGTTACTTCTTCTCAGCTTCGCTGCTTTCCTTTCATTCTCTTCGATTGGATTTTACTTGATTGTTCTTATACGTAAACTACTAGCCCGGTGTATGTGTTTTCGATCTGGGGGAGCTAATGTCGGGTACTAAGATTCCTGAAATTTACCAGTACCACTTACGGAACCGTATCGTACTAAACCTTGCTACCTACCTTATTAGTGTAGTGTATTGTACATCCGTACATAAACCGTTGTAAACCCCTGCCCGGCACTGCATTCCCTGATGGACCAACCCAAAACCAGTCATGGATGGTGCCCCGCAGTCCCCTGCCCCTGCCCCGTATCCGTCCACCGTTCAGGCATATGACGTTTCTTTCAACATCACCCGACCTCAACCACCTCCCGCTCAATTTCCAAACGTCCTTGCAGCCGCCCGCCACCTCCACAGATCCGCGGCGCTTCCTTCGCGACTCCCGACTCGACGCCCCAGGCGTAATCTCGCGGCAGGACGCTCACTCAGAGCTGTCGCCATGACTACGCGCGCTTCGGATCGACTGACAACCGCCTAACCCAGCTTCGTCCGACACGCAACATCAACCCCGTAAAAGCCGTCATGTCGACGGCTTCGCGGTCCTCATACCATCCGAGCCGCAGGCTCGGCAGTGTGCAAAGCGTACAGGATAGTGAACGCCTGGGTCGCACGCCCTCAAGTCGCCGCACGGCCACCGTCGTCAGCTACGATGATGCATACTCCTTCGCCCTCCGTATCGCCTTCCTGCGATACCTTTTGCAACCCAGGAAAAAGCGAAAGGAATATGTTAGCGCACCGAAACCGCCCCCGCGTGCCCACACTTCGAGCATCACCGAGCTGATGAAGGAACTCGTCCCTTCGGGCTCCTCGGTGAAGCTGCCGTCCGGATTCCGCCACTCCCTTGAGAAGCGCATGTCTGGTGTCCTTCAGGGCATCGAGAAGATGCCAGGATACAGCGATGCCGCCGTGAAACGGACATTCGCCGAGGCGTACACTGCCTTCACGGCCAAAGACTTCGCGAAAACCATTGACAAGGACCGCAAGGTCGAGCCTCTGGTCCTGATATTTTACTCTTCCGCCACCAAAGCCCAAGGACGGAACAAATCCCCCGAAGATCACTCGTGGAAAGTGCTTGTCGACAGGCACTTGGCTATGTTCATCAGGCTGCTCAGCAGCATCCTCAGAGAGAAAGGGGACATTGAGCTGGTCGCCCGCCTCAACACGCTCGAGAAGAAACTGCTCAGCAACGACCAAAACCTGTATCTCGACACCAGTCAGGAGGACCATTCTTATGTGGAAGTGGAGATCCCCCTGAGCTACGAGGTCAAGGACATGCATATGGTGCAGCTCGTTGGCAAGATCTTTGGCGTGGCCAACTCGCAAGTCCAGGCCGACATTGACCGAAACGCGTCCACTTGGACGGAGGAGGCCGCGTTGAAGGACTACAAAGCATACCAGTTCAGGCTGTCAGCCGGCATGGCGGGAACCTTGCGCAAGCAGGATTTCGACGTGGATGAAGCATATGAAGAGTGGAGGAAGGGAGAGGCTCCCCATCTGGCCAAGATCTTTTCCGAAATCCTAAGCGTCCGCCCAGATCTCAAGGGAGGAGCTGGGTCGGGGAACGACAAGCCGCTGCCTGTGCGACCTCAGTCCATGTACGAGGATCAAGCCTATGCAGATTTGAGCAGAATGCTCTCCAATCCCGAGTCTTCAGTGACCAGCTTCGATCCGTCCGTCAGCTTTGGTTCGCTCTCCTTAGAGGATACATCTAGTATACGGGCTGTCGATGAGCCGAACTATACGTTCATCCCTCCAGATCCACGCGCTACCTACAAGGTTATTTTGCAGTACGTCGTATCATACGACCAGCTCCACTCCGATACATCGGCGTCGCCACTGTCGGAGGAGACGGCAGACTTTCTGATAGAACTCGCCGTGCGATGGCGGATCCCGCAGTTTTCACGCTATGTCGCCTTCGTCGAAGTCACGACCCGCAAATATCTTGACCAAGAGCTATCCCCTGAGCAGCTCTACAACTGCCTGGACCTCATAAAGCAGCCTTTGGAGGAACCCAAAAAGCCGGTTCTCATTCAGATGTACACGTCTGGCTTGAGCGACATAGACCCCAGTAAATGGACCATCACTGACTTTGCTGGCTATCAGCAGTCTTTGAGAGACCTCCATGACGCTTTGTTGCGGGAACTCTACAGTCTTCTCACACGGTGCTACGAACCAAACCCGCCGACCATCGGCGTGGTCATGGCTTTACTCAATAACCACGTCTATTCCGAACCCACATTCTCGCAGAAACCCGATGACGCAGCCGAGTTTTCACAGCAACTTGATAATGGGCTCCGCCAACAGGCTGCGCAGGTGTACAGGGACTTTCTGGATTCCCATATTCCACAGAGTCAGCGAGAGTGGGATTTCAGCCATGTAGTGAAACTCGGCAAGGCTGTCGTGGGTCTAGCGGAGAAGATCAAGAAGCGCTATCGCAAGAACCCCGAAATCATGGGCGCCAGCCCGTTCAAGGCCCTGGTGGAGACGACCCTCCCGAGCTTCGAAGAGGATTGTCACGAGATCATCAAGCGCGTTCTTCAGACTGCCCAGGAGACAGGCGTTGAACTTGATCTCCAGGATGGTTTTGACTTGTACAAGGAGCTTGTCGAGATCAGGAAGATGCATGAGGCAGCGCTCCCGGGCAAACCGTTTGCATTCCACATCGAAGGCCTTCTGGAAGGGTTTGTCTGGAAGTGGATCAAGAACGTCGATGACAAGATGCAAGGCTTCGTCGAGGAAGCGATCAAGCAAGACCAGTTCAGGGTCCGGACGCTTCACGAAGGGGATATACCCTCGGACGACGACCGCCACAGTGTCTCCATTATCGATATATTCTCGCTCTTCAACCAGACGGTGGAGTCGCTTGTGCAGCTTGAGTGGAACGACGAGGTTCATCTGGCACGCTTCATGACGGCTCTCTCCAAGTCGTTCGCTGCGGGCATTGGGCGATACTGCGAAATCGTTGAGCAGCTCTTCGCCAAGGAGATGGATCGGCAGAGTGCACAGGAGGCAGCAGTGGCTTCCAAGACGGCGCAAGAAAGGTGGCTGCAATACGCCAAGGACGCCTGGAATTCGAAGGAGAAGATTGAGCCTTTCCAGTTCTTACCGGAGGTCAGTGATCGCCGTTTTCTAGCTGGTGCCGGAACTTCGTGGTTACTGACCCTATGTTTAGTCCTTCGTGAAGTTCAACAACATTGAATGGGCCATGCAGGTCATGGATAAGTTGGAGAAGCGGATGAACGTGGACGCCTGCGCCGAGGTGCTCAACAGAGTTGACGGGCCTAAGCGGCTTGCCAGGAAGCCAGCTCACTACGTGTTCACGATCAAGATTGTCGAGGGCGAGGAGCTGAAGGCTTGCGATCCGACCGGGACTAGTGATCCTTACGTCGTGCTGTGCGATGAATACCAGAAACGCCTTCACAGGACAAGGGTCATTCCGCGGAATCTCAACCCGCGTTGGGACGAGTCGGTCGATATTACCGTGTCCGGGCCGCTCAACCTCATCGCCACGGTCTGGGATCACGACATGTTCGGTGACCATGACTTTGTCGGGCGGACGTCGCTGAAGCTTGATCCAGTACACTTCAGCGATTACCTGCCAAGAGAGTTCTGGCTGGATCTAGACACGCAGGGAAGGATCTTGATCAGGGTCAGCATGGAGGGCGAGCGTGACGATATCCAGTTCTATTTCGGAAAGGCCTTCCGTCATCTGAAGCGGACAGAGCGAGATATGGTGCGCAAGGTTACAAGCAAGGTATGTTTTCGTATCAAAGATCGAAGCCCTCTGTGGCAAGACGATGACACTAATCGACGTAGTTGTCCATGCACATCAACTCCTCGTTGTCCCGCGAGGCTCTGCGCGGTCTTCTGAACAAAGGCATTGGAGCCTCGGTGACCAGCCTCTGGAAGAAGAGGCAGTCCCACGCCCCGGCGGTCACGCCAGCGGAGGTGGAAAACGCTCTACAGCCGCTCTTCACCTACTTTGACGAGAACTTCGCCATCATGAAGCAGACACTGACAGACGCCACCATGATGGCAGTCATGACCAGGCTCTGGAAGGAAGTGTTGCTGGCTATCGAGGCCCTGCTTGTCCCACCGCTCTCGGACAAGCCATCGACTCAGAAGCCACTTACCCAGGCGGAGATGGACGTTGTCTACCGTTGGCTGGAGCTGCTCTTCGCCTTCTTCAACGCCAAGGATGAGACGGGCGAGGTCCTAGGAGTGCCGGCGGACGTCCTGAAGTCGCCTAAGTGGCACGAACTGGCATCGCTCAACTTCTTCTACTTCGACCCGACCGAGAACCTCATCCGCACCTCGGAACGTATGGCCGCCGCTAATGCCGAGCGCGCCAGACAACAGGCCCAAGAAGCCCAGCAACGACTGCAGGCGAACAACCGACTCTCCGCCCCCGCGGCGCTAGGTGTGCCATCCTTCGGCGGTTCGTCCGGCGCGGGCGCGGTCCCCTTCGGTAGTCTGGGCACGATCCGCCGGGGGAAGAGCATCATGATGAGCCGGAACCTGGGGACCATGCGGCGGGCTAAGGAGGAGAAGCGGAAGGAGGCGCAGGCGGATCCCAGCGACGATATGATCTTGCGGATCCTACGCATGCGGCCCGAGGCGGCGAACTACCTCAAGGAGAGGCAGCGGCAGAAGGAACGCATGCAAGCTTCCCAGGCAGCGGCTATGATTGTCCGACAGAGTGTGCATCAGGGGTTCAACTCGGGCGGACAACCCGCGTTTGGCGGAGCGCTGTATGCGAGGGGTCCTGGTGGGGTGTCAAGGCGGTGAAGGTCAGAGCAGGTGGTGATTTATCTACGGGCAGTTCCGAGCGACTAGGGGTGGGAAGGTGGAGGCAGCAGAGTTAAGAGGATGAGGTGAGGGCAGGATGGGTAACGATATTCTCTTTCATCACGGATGATACGTTGCGCTGCTTTCTTCCTGTTGGGTGCTTGTTTACCCGGGTCTGCAGTTACCTGAACGGATTATGGGGGCGTTAGGGGAGCAGGTAATACCCGACAGTAACGATTTGTGGAAGGTTGTCTGGTCGATGGAAATAATAATATCTAGGGTGATGCTTTACGGTTGATAACTTTCCTTGGAGATTTTGCGTGAGAGCAGCGGTGAACGACCAACGGGGGCGGTTTGACCTGGGAAAGGAGCGCCAAGACTTGCTTCCGCTGCTGGGCAACGGAAAGGGGGCCGGCAATGCTTGTTTGGATGGTCAAGCCACAATTGAGGCTGGGATGTCAGGGGTTCTCGCGCTCATGTTAGGTACAGTAAAAATCGGAAGCAATTGTACCGGAGTGATATTGACCTCCAGCATGAGACTGTTGTATAACTAATCGTCAGGTAGACAACACTTGCGGCACACAGACCGTTCGCGAAATCGGCAAGCCGAGGGTGACAGATCTAACCGGCATAGCCTGAAAAGTGGGAGCTCCGAGCCGGGCATTCGGAAGCTCCTGGACGCACCATAAGCCAGCAGCACTGCAGCAGTGCCGCCGTCAAACTTGACGTTGTCGAGGGCTGCCACGAGGACGAAAGTCGAACCACGCACTGCATCCTAGACCACTCCAAAGAACGGCCATCTGCATGTCGGCCCTACGAATGCTGCAGTCGAGGCGGGCACTGCCTGTGGGATTAGCGAAGGGACTCTTGACACAACAGCAGCCGCATCGCTTCGCAGCCCAAAATATGCCGCTGCACCCATTAAACCGCCCTGGCCAATCACAGAGCCGCTCGCTGTCGTCACAAACAGGGCCCACCGATCTCTCTGGAGCCCCTCCCCCGCCTTGCACAGAAAGCCTCTCCGCCTCGGGTGCTGATTCTGCTTCCACCGGTGCGATCTCGCTTCCTGCCGCGTTAACAAATCCCTCGACCGCTCAATTGCGCCCGGGAAGAGCCACGGCTACCTCACCCCTCTTCCGAACCACCCAAATCGTCCGCCACCTCCAAGCCCGGAGCTACAGCACGAGCACGAGCTCAAACAGTACCAGCAACATGGCCTCGCCGTACACCGTCCGCAAGGTCGGCGTCCCTTACACGCTCGAGCACCGCGTGTACATCGAGAAGGATGGCGTGCCTGTCTCGCCTTTCCACGACATCCCGCTGTACGCCAACCAGGAGCAGACGATCCTCAACATGATCGTCGAGATCCCGCGCTGGACCAATGCCAAGCTCGAGGTGAGAGCTCTCCGTTTATTTTTTTTTTGGCTGACTTGTGAAAGTCCTCGAGACGCTAATGCCCCGAGCTACCCAGATCTCCAAGGATGAGCTCCTCAACCCGATCAAGCAGGACACCAAGAAGGGCAAGCTCCGCTACGTCCGCAACTGCTTCCCGCACAAGGGTTACCTGTGGAACTACGGTGCCTTCCCGCAGGTATGTGCGAGAGTTCGTAGGGGGTGTTCTGGGATAACACAATGGCTGATAATCGTGCCAGACCTGGGAGGACCCCAACGCTATCCACCCCGAGACCAAGGCCAAGGGCGACAATGACCCGCTGGACGTGTGCGAGATCGGCGAGCTGGTCGGCTACACAGGCCAGGTCAAGCAGGTCAAGGTGCTCGGCGTCATGGCGCTGCTGGACGAGGAGGAGACGGATTGGAAGGTCATCGTCATTGACGTGAACGACCCGCTGGCTCCCAAGCTCAACGACGTCGAGGACGTCGAGCGCCACCTGCCCGGCCTGCTGCGTGCCACCAACGAGTGGTTCCGTATCTACAAGATCCCCGACGGCAAGCCCGAGAACCAGTTCGCGTTCACCGGCGAGTGCAAGAACAAGAAGTGGGTTTTCCTGTTCTCTCCCCATTTGACGGCTGAACATTTGCTGACAGGTGCAGGTACGCCATGGACGTCGTCCGTGAGTGCAACGAGGCTTGGGAGAGGCTCATCACCGGCAAGACCGCGCCTGGCAGTATCGCCACGTAAGCTACATTCCTCCCACTTTCTGGAGTGAGGAGCAGTAACTGACAGTGCGCACAGGACCAACCTGACGGTCAGCCACTCCACGAGCCGCGTTACGCCCGACCAGCTGCCGCCCCTCCCCCAGAACCAGGAGCTGCCCCCGGCCCCCATCGACGCTTCCATCGATAAGTGGTTCTTTATCAGCGGTGCCTCGGCCTAGTTCGCCTTCTCCCGCAGAGGAGCCATCCTCTTTGTTATACATCGGAATCTGTTTTAGACTAGGCTTGAGTCCCGATAAGTAAAAGTAAAATAGCTAGCATGTGTGGCGAAATGAGAAAAGCGAATGCTCAAAGTTCCACCCTGTGGCCTCATTGACCTAGCTGTGTGTTTTGAGCCCCTAAAGTGGTATATTCCGACCTGGTGAAAAATCGCACAAACGCCTCCCAATGCTTCCTATCGATACAAGCAGATTGTATAAGATACATCTAGATGTACAGTGCGCCTCCCCAAAAAAAGATTCTTCAGCCGTCTGCGAGATCGGCCTCCTTCTGCAGCATGCGCGAGTGCCGGTCGACTTCCTCGATGATGCTCTTAATGCCCATGCTCTCGGGGTCGAGATTCATCTCCTTGCCATCCTCTGTTTGGTTTCAGCGCTGTCAGCTTCCTCGTGTAATTTTGTATTGCCGCACTGCTATATGCAACGGCCCCCTCTGTCCAGTCTTCCCCTCACCTCACAAAACAGTATACCACCACCAGGCAAGTGTAACAGACTGTCTTCCTTACCCCTGCAGTTCCTCCTCTTGTCCGATTGGCGATATAGAGGATAGGAAAGGTAGAGGTAAGGTAGGTGAGTAGTCACGTACTGAACTTAACAGAGAGGGTGCTCGGCTCCGTCGAATGCCGCGGCAGCAGCTGTGCATTGATGTTCATGCCCTGCGCGCGGGCTGACGGGGGCAAGAAGGACAGAAAGAGCCTTGCGGATCGGGCGCGGGGCGAGAAGGGGTTGAACCGCGTCGTTACGTCCGTTATGAATCTGGTGATCATTTTCCTTTCTTGCAACCACTCTGGTTTAGGGAGGCTGTAAGAAGGGGGTTTGGGTCGTGGTATCCGGGAGAGAGTGGAAGCGGCGGGGGTGTTTGGGTATAGGGGCTCGGTGCGTCGTTCGTGGGTGGGATGTTCCGTGATCTCGATCTCGAATTGGAAAATTGGTGTTGATAGCCAGTTGCAGTTCGATTGCGACGGGATCTGCCGGACGGTATGCGGGACGGAGGTGAACGGAGGAATACGGAGCATGTCAGGGGCCGTATAAGTTGCAGCGTTTTGAGGATGACCCACATGCTGTGACGTCCTCTGCAATTGTTCTCAACTTCCCATTGGCTTCGGATTCAAGATGCCAGCTCTCCAAACCAACACAAAGCAAACATCACAACTGAAGCAGTATCGCCAAGGCAGCTCTGACTTCCCGTTTGGATTGGATAGCGCAAATTAATCACAGGAGTAAGCAAAGATCCAAGCAATGGCGACATTCGAATCGCTGCAAGAGCGTCTTGCAGCTCTGCAGGAAACCACGGGCCAGCTCAGAGAGCTCATCGACCGCCTCGCCAACATCAAGTTCCAGCCTGGATCCGTTCCTCTGAGCAACAGCGACGAGGACAATGTTGCGGCCGAGTTAGCCACCGAGATCAGCCAGATCCTGCGTGAGGAGGAAGAAGACTTGGAGCTGCTCCAAGAAGAAATCATTGACCTACGCTCCGGCCGGCCAGGGAGCGAAGCTGAGCACCGCAAGACGAGGTTAAAAGAGGGCGCGCACCGGCTACAGACCGAGCTAAAAGACTGCCGCACCGCTTTCCGGCGAGCCCAGCTGTCTGCCCGCCGCAGCCTCGAAGCCGCGCAGAAGCTCGAGCGCGAGCTCCTCCTCGCATCCTACGCCGCGTCAGCGACCTCAGCCGCCTCGTCCACCGTCCTCACCAACCCCGACAGCAGCAACATCACCAATTCCAGCGCCTCGACCGATGGCCATGCCGCTAAACCCGCCTCCTTCCCCCAATTCGCCACCGCCGAAGACCCGCGCAACCAGCTCTTCACAGCCCGCGACCGCCGCCGGCACGGCCACAACAAGAAGCCCACCTCTTCGTCGGACGGAAACAACAAACCGGAGGAGGTGGTGGCCGCGTCCAACGACGTGACCCTCGCGCTGCGGCGCACCCACCAGCTGATCGCGGGGGAGCTGGCCAAGTCGGCCTTCGCGGCGCAGACGCTGGCCGAGAGCACGGCGGCGCTGGCCGAGCTGGAGCGGAGCTACCAAGGGCTGGACGGACTGCTGGCGCGGTCGCGGGACCTGGTGGCGTCGCTGGTCAGCGCGCAGAAGAGCGACACATGGTACCTGCAGATGGCGCTGCGCATGCTGCTCGCCACGCTGGCCTGGCTCGTGTTCCGGCGGTTTCTGTACGGCCCGCTGTGGTGGCTTGTTTGGTTTCCCATACGGACGGGGTGGCGCGTGGGGAAGGGGGTGTCGTCGTCGGTGGGTGGTGGGAGGCAGGCTACGATGCAGGTTGTTCAGCCTGGTGGAGAGGGGAGGAGGACGGTTGCTGTGGTGGGGGTCGGGGAAGAAGGGGCGGTGCCGACTGTGCGGGTTGGTGGGAGCGAGACAGCAGAGGGGATTGATCCGGACTCGATGGTTGAGAAGGTCGGCAGGATGGTAGAGGATACACTGAATCGGAGGGACGAAGAGGAGGCGAATAGGACAGAAGTGGACGAACTTGAACACCAGCCAAATCCGAAGAAGAGGATGTGGGAGGAGCAGGTTGGGCCGGAGGCCGGAGGCGTGAGGGATGAACTGTGATTATCGGGCAGATAATTGTTTAGAGGCACTTGCTTGAATAACAGATACCACTTTTTCACAGTTCAGCATGCTGATGTATGCTATTATTCCCATCCGGATACCGATGTTCCTCTCATTCCGTTGCGCCCTTTAGTGTACAACCTTTTTCCAACGCTGCTCAAAACGCTCAATCCCAATCTGCTATGCATATCCAAATACAGTAATATGTACTCCTTGCACCACGAACCGACCTCGTACAAGCTGTCCCTCTTTCTACATCCTTTTGTGTCCCTTAGTAGAAGTAGATCAGAACCTCCGCCCTTGCCCATTACTCCAATGCAATCATGAACCTCTCAAAACAAGCCTGCCATGCCATGCTCTACCCATCAACGCCTTGATACAACGAAAAAGAAAAATACAAGAAAATAATACAGAGTGTCTCGATGACAAAGTTTAACCAATGCAATCAGGACTGATTTGCCCAAAATCGGTGTTACTCAGGCATGGACCTTCCCATGATCTTCCCAATCACCATTGCTCCGGCAAGCAACATCATCATCCTAGGCAGCACCGCCACCTCGCCATCTCCATCTCCATCCGCTCCAGTCAGCTTGCTATTAGCAACACCGGCCTCCCGCTTCCTCAACCCCGGCCCCTTACCGCCGGCTTCAGAGGTCGGAGCGCTTGGCCGCTCGGCCGCCGCCGAAGATCGCCCGTCCATTGTCTCCTGGTCCAACATATGCTGGAGGGGCAAGCTCAGCTGGCGGGCCTTGACATCACCCAGCGCGCCGCGCAGCCCGACTTCGACGAAGTGGGATCCGCGGAGGCCGATGCCGAGATAGCCTGCCGTTGCCGGTCTGAGGCGGCTGGAGCTGGTATGGTCGGGCTCAAGGGTAGGGGTTGGCAGGTGGCTTTGCTCGTCTTTTGAAGGACGGATGGTGTCGACTGAGTTGCGGGCTGTGCTTTTGAAGGAGGCTGTGTCGGAGGAGAAACTCGTTCGGGTTGGCGCCGGGAAAAGTATCGACAGGTCTGGCATTGGAGCGAGATGGGGCTTTTCTTTTACTGGATCCAACGACAGTTCTGGAGCGGGCCCAGAGAGGGGTATTTCGGTGGCCAGAGGTTCCGTTGGCAAACTGTCGATGCAAGCCGGCAGACCTTGTTTGCTGGTGCTGACATCGGCCTGTACAGTCGAGGCTTCGGGAACCGGGACAGTGACAGTGAGGTCTGAGATAGATGGTTCGAGCGCAGCAATCTTGTCGCAAGATTGCGGCTCTGCGGTATCCGGTTCGACGGGAATACTCTGCTTGAGCTCGGTTCTGCCGGATTCTCCCAGGGACTCCTTGGACGGATCAGTTTCCGCCTCGGGGACAAATGCGTCGCCCTCAGCGCCCTGGTATTCTTCAGCCACGGCCTCCGTTTCAGTTTCCGCCGTCAGATCAGGGCCATAAGCCTCCTCTTGTCCAAGCCTGATAGTTTGGACATCGAGTTCATGCTCAAGTTCCTTCGGCTCGGTCTCAGCAGCTGTCTCCATCGGTCCCTGGCTCAGATCGACGCATTCCCCGAGTTGCCTCTCGCAAGTCTCGAGCAGGACCCGTTCCTCAGACGCGGGCGGAACACCGGTGTCATCGTCGACTCGGACGTTGCGCTCGTAACTAACATCTACATCGGCGGGTTCGAGATGCTTCGTGAGTTCCTCCAAAATAATGGGAGGCTCAAATCCCATTGCCTCGCTCTCAGCGGTTATTTCCGTCAGTCCCTGACTGTGGTCGGCGCATTCAGTGAATTTCCTCTCGCCAGACTTGGGCTCCAGGACCTGGCCCTCAGACACAGGAGCGTCACCGGTATCACGATGGGCTTGAACCCCGAGCCCGTAACCAACGATTATATCGGCAGGTTCAAGATCCTTCGCGAGTTCCTCACCAATGATCGGAGGCTCAGAACCCGCGGTACCGCTCTCAGCAGGTTTCTCCGTCAGTTCCTGAACCTGATCGACCCTGGTTGCAAGCTGTTCCTGGCCAGACTCGAGCTCAGAAACATGCTCTAGAGTAGCAGGCTCATCAGCGGCATCACGATCACCTCGAACGTTGAGCTCATCATCAGTGTCTACGCCGGCGGTTTCAGTAGAGACAGGTGCCTTGGTGACACTCTCATCGTCAAGCTTCATCCCGTCCGAGACGTTAGTTGAATCACCGAGCTCGCGCTCGATGTGCCTGCCGAGATTCGCTTCCGGGGTTCCGGGTTCGGTTGTGCCGGTCCCGTTCGGAGCCATAATCGATTCTTCCTCGACTCCATCGGCAACATCGGGTTGCTCGGTTCCGATGACACTGGCTACGGTTGGCACCGCGATGAGTTCTTCTTTGACTTCCTCACCAATGGCCTGTCCCAGAATGCTGGCCTCGGTAGTCTCAGTCGCTGTCGGAACCGTGACCGATTCCTCTTCGACCTCTGCTCCATCCGGTGAACTTGTATCCCCGGCATCGGACGCTGCAGCTTGAGCTTCGGGTGCGAAGTCTTCAACGGCGGTTCCGACGTCTTCATAAAGCACTGGTTCGATATCCGAGAGGGCAGCACCGGTCATACCCTTACCATCGGGGCCGATGTCGAGTTCGACCCCATCCTCGACTCCGGTACCTGTTGGTGCCGAGCCGTAACCGTCATTCTGCTGCCCTGGCTCCGCCACGGTATGTTCGGGCACAGCAACCGGATCCGAAGTGCCCACTTCATCCTTGACGCTTGTCCCGTTTATTGCGGGATCAGCGACAGGTGTGACGGCGGCAGAAACTCGGTTCTCGGGCTTATCGAGAGCTTCGGTCCCAGGTTCAGACCCATAGGTCTCCGCTGCGCCGTTGCCCGCGGTTTCGAGTAGCTGAGCCGCAGAATTATCGTAGCCAGGGGCATGCTCGCACTGCTCGGCGGAACCAACATCCGCACAAGGGATGTCCACATTGTCAGAGGGCTCCTTTTCCTTCTCGGTGACGAGCCCGGGCCCGTCATCAACCGCCTTTCCACCGTCATGGCGCACAATATCCGCGTCGGATCCGACATCACTGGCCGGGATCCGTCTAGTGTCTGTGCATTCGCGACCTTGATCACCCTGGGGTATGTTCTCGGTGACCTGCTCGGTTCCTCGAGGAATCTCGTCTGCGACCTCGGACTCCGACGGGACCGCCTCCGGCTCGGCACCACCAGCTTCATTCGGATTGCCAGGAGGCGCTATAGACGCGTCATCTTGAGCACACCTGCTCACATTGTCCTCTGCGGGCTTCACTTCGGCACCGCATCCGGCGCCGAGTTCACTCCCGGCGGCTTCAATGGCAGAGGGCTCGGCCCGTGCTGAAGACCCCAGTACATTACTGGGAGAGCTCATGGCAGAGCTGACCTTAGAACCATGCAAAACTGAGGCATGGCCTAGCTCCTGGTCCGTGTCCGACCTCCGGACTTCAGGAGTGGGGAAGTCCGAAGTATGGGAGGAGCTGTCGGATCCACCATTGAACTCGGCCCCGAGAATCCCAGTATGGTCCTGACCCTCCGATGCCGATTCGGATACAGTGTTGGGCCCGTACAATGCGGTAGATACCTCTGCAGTGGGCGTTAGAGCCGAAGGAAAGCTGCCGGGCATGACCGCATCGAGTGACACAGCCCGAGCTTCTGGGCCGATACGTTCCGCCGAGCTCAGGCTGTTGTCCGCGTCATCAGTGTGACTGCCTTGTGCTGGAGTCAACTGGTCGGGTACTTCGGTTACTTGCAACGGTTTCCAGTTGCCCTGTGAGTTGTTCTGGCTGACTGTTGACTCGTCCGTTGCGGGGCACTTCGTGCCCTCTTTAAGAGCATGATCCGCAGCAGCATGCCCATTCAATTGTACTTCTGCATCCCCAAACTCGAATTCCGGATCAACCTCCTGGACAATCGGACCTTTCGCTTCCAAATCCGTCCGGGCTTGAACCGGTGACATTAGGAGACTGTGTCTTGGCGAAGAGCCTCCCATGCTTAACTCAGGGGTTGATGGCGCAGTCGAGAATGTGTCGTCGTCTTTGCCTCTTCGGGCTTCATCCTCCAGCATCCCGAACCGCTGGCAAGCCGGGGGCTCTTGCGCCAGCGGAGTGGCCACGTATTCACGGGCATCGACAAAGGCATCCGGCGTGTCCATTCTGCTATGCCTGACTTGGCTGACAGCCAACGATGCATCTTTGCTCTCGTCATTCTCGGGTAGGATCACGGGTTGCTGAACCGCGGGGTCGGAGGCAACGGCTGCAGGGACAGTCCCTGTTAAGTCAACCGGAGGGTTCATCTCCTCCTTGCCCGACGTCATAGCCTCGCGAGCGCACCCTTCTGCCGGAGCTTGGAGCACATCCACCGAATACTCGGGAGGAGCCCGCTTACCACTCTGGCTGCCCTCGTCGCAGTTCACAGCTTGCTCCTCAGCAGGTGTAGAGGAGTTGCCGGCACGCAAGAAGGTTGGTGACTTCCCAGGCACCAGAGAAAATGATCGTCGCGCAGGCCTGATATCAGCTGCAGCAAGCAGAGACTCACGACTCTGAAGGATGTCTCGTCCTCCATGTTGCTCCGATGCCCGGCTGCTAGCCCCGCTACTGGGCCTGCTGCTGTCATACGGGAAAGATTCAAACGCTGGCCGGAGAAAATCAACCGACCTGACGGACTCGGTAGAGCGCCTGGATAGAGAGAATACACGTTGTGGGCGCAGCCTTGGCGAGACTTGCATGAACGGAGCCCTGGATTGCTTTGGCGGCGAGGACCTAACTGACGACGGTGAACACGCTCCCTCAGGCAACCCGTACTCAGGCGGCATAGGTGTCCTGGGTCGGCAGAAATAGTCCTCCTGATCCTCGGAGATGTCGTTGATAGAACACGAATCCTCAAAGATCTTGTCAATGTCCTTCTGGATCCGAGCTTTCAGTCTGGTAACCAGAGTTGCTTGTTCTTCCTTGTATGAGCTGAATGTCTCTTTGGGCTTCCCGCGCTTCTCGTGGGCGACAATGGCTTTGTCCAAGACAATGTGACCTCGTTTCCGAGCGTTGATGTGAATCGCGATGTTGTGGCCGCGAATGACGTCCCCGATTCCGGTTTGAACCCGTTCAAGTGCTGCTTGGATCGTCTTCCGATCATGAGAGGTTTCCGGTCCCAGAACGAACTTTGCCGGCTCTCGTAGCGTCCAACCCACGCCCTTGAGCTCGACTATTCCTATTTCCAGGTCATTCATGGCGTCAAGTGCGGCATCAACCTCATTCCTCATGTGGCTCAGGACATTTTCAATGTCGCAAAGGAATTCTTCGCAATCTCTCGCTTCGCGGTCCTGGAAGAGCGCCAGCTGGCTGCTGATGCTTCTGTGCACATGGCTGTAGACGGGGCCTAGATTGTTGCATATTCTAAGGTCCATTTGAAGTGCGCCGTCATCAGAATACTGGCTGCTGCCCGCCTTAGAACACCGGAGCTGGTCCTCAAACTCCCGCCTCCTGGAGTCCAATCTCTGGTTGAGGACTTGCTCCGTCTTCCAAAACAGATTCTCGCTCATGAACAAGGTCAAGGGGGCAGTTTGGGTGCTATTGACCTTAACCCTTCTCTCGAAGCTTGGGATTTTCCGTTGCAAATTGCTGCTTCGGAAGCAGAAATCAATGCTGTATCCGGGTACGAACTCGAAGGTCTGGCTGGCCTCGATGAAACGAGAGCGGGGAATTGACAAGAGCGACAAGGGGCAACCTCGAGACGGGACGAAAGTCTCACTTCCTTCGGACTCTCCATCGGGCACTGGACAGTCGAGCCACTGAAACTTCTCGTCGTGGCGGCGCAAGAAGAGTCCGATCATCCTATGAGTGGCAAGGATGATTTCCTTGGTGAGCGCGACGGTCAGGGGCTGTTTCTGGTAAGACCGGTATGACCGTTCAGCCCATTCGCCCTTGTCCCTTGTCGAGATCCGAAACGTCATCTCGAATCTCAGCGGCTTGCGCTCGTAGCTGTCACCCTTGAACACCTCCAGAGCGCCCGAGTCCTTGCGGGTAAGAAGCTCTTCAGAGCAGCGCTCAATGCGCCGCACGAGACCTCGACATATCCTGTTGGTGGCTTCAAGCCCGGGCGAGCTGCCGTAGCTGCGGCAGTATCTGGACCGGATGACGGGATCAGTGAAGCGAATCTCGACATGAACCGCCAGAGCCGGTGTCGAGGGAGGGCTTTGCTGCTCCTCGAAGACAGGCGAGAGCAATGCGTTCTCTCGCTCCATTTTGGCAGCGTGTCTGTCGATGTGTCTAGGCTCTAGCCTGGGGAAGACATCCCCCATAACGAGCCGTGGTCTTGGCCGCGGCGAGGCACCGACAGTTCGGTGCTGCATATCCCACCACGCCATCGATGGGGGAACGTGGACCTACTCCACCAGCCGAGGGAGATCCTGTGGGGTTGAGGGGGAACCTTGAGGCGATATGCAGTGGTGGAACGATTCCCGAAGCAATGGAGACACCGGTAAGATCGGACTATGGAACCATGGTATCCATGACAGATCGGACCAGGGACGGCGGGAGGGCCGATGCAGACGGGGAAATGAGTTCGACAATAGTAAGGTACACAAAATGCCGCTGAGAGATATTACCTCTCCAAATAGATGTAAACAAGGGAGAAACAACTCCGTGGGTCGAACTCTTACAAGCCAGGGCATACATAAGAACCTGGAAGTCAAGAACAAGGTCGGGTCTTATCGGCGCAGCCCTGTACTGCGATCGGACGCGCCTATCGAGCTCCCCGTGTTCAAGCAGGATCAGCCACCTCATCAGCCTAGGTGCGAGGGCCGATTGGGGGGAAGGCGAGACCTATCATGAAGGGCTGCCTGGGGCACTGCCGGTTTGTGGCCTGACACGTAGCCGCGCTGACATCAAACAGCTACCTTGTGCACCGCGTTGACCCGATGGAAGTTCTGTCGCTTGCATCAATTCCATGGCTTTGCTCGTAACACCTGAAATAACCCATTAGGGAAATGCGGCCGAGGGGAGTGCATGACGAGGCGGCCATTGGGACGGGAGCTGATAGCAAGCCAGCTCCCGTCGTCCCGGGCCTCGACTGTTTTGTGGGCGGGGTGTGAAACAGACGCAGCCAACTTCGGCGAGACCTGGAGCAAAACCCGTCTCTTAGTCGGGCGGCCGGGCACCCGACATAATTTCATTTGGAACTTTGGATCGGGTTCCGGCAACCCAACAACAATCAGGACGATTTGATTGTCGATAGGTTGCTTCGGAATAGCCCGGGCAGTGGGAGGTTTGAAGGTGGAATTCCATCTGGAGTGCATTGGATCCAATTGCGCTAGAATCATGCCCGATCGGCGATCCTCGCAGCTCCCTTGCTTCCGTCGGGAGCCGCTGCGGGGCCTGCAGGGGTGCCAAAAGCGGCAAAACGTAATTGGTGGGCTCAGGGAAGTTTCACTAAGACTAGTACCTAAGGCCGGGTACCTTAGGTAGCGGACTCAACCCTAGAATTGAACACTGGCAGTTAAAAGGCTCCTCACAACACCAACACTAACGTTACCGGTACGTGGAAGTCCCATCCACTGCGAGACACGTGAGGGCACCCCGCGTCTTTCTCCCGACTTTCAATCCTGAAGATGGTACGTATAAGTCGAGGAGCTGCTTCGGCTTACATGCTCTCCGAGTTATGCCAGGCCCAAAGGATCCGAGAGGATACATGTCATAGCAACCCCGAGAGCTGAAAGCACATGATGATCTCGCCATCTTCCAAAAATGCAAATGAGCTATTATTCAGGCGGGCGCTGCTATGAGCAGTTACTAGGACCTCAACTTGGACCGGCTTTCTCTCTTCTCAACTTCGTCGTTCTCTTCACTTGACCTTTTTGATCCTCCTATTATTCTTGCTGCCCCTTGTTCTATCACTACCGGGAAAAACTACAGAGGTCCAGTACAAATGAGCAAAGGCGATATTGGCATTTGAGTATATAGGTACATGTACCGGTACCTAACATGCATCTTAAGGGTCACTAACCTACAGTTTCAGCCCTTCAAGTTCAAAATGCTGAACCCTCTTATATTGCCCATGTCTCCATCGCTTCCTACCTGAAGGCTACGCAAGACGAGTACTAGATACAGGTTGCCGCAAGACGGGACCTGGGTCTCCTAGGCCGCGTTGAACACCCATTTGTTTACCATGGCAATGGCTCGCTCAATCTCCACCCCCTGTCTTGCTGCTATGGTGTCGATGATCCAGCCTCACTCTCAGGTGTATATCACACGCTCCAAGTTCGCACAATCCGTTTTTCTTTATGCCCAACTCAGAGCATTCTCGGACTCCTGCTTCGGGATGGGGATAGCTGCAGGCCTCTGTGCATATGCTTTAACTAAGGCGTTTGCCCTAACTTTGTCCCTTCCCATAATGATATGTCCAAACGCAACATAAAAAAGAAAGCTTTTCCATCCAAGAGCTTGAGCTCCTCGGTCTATAACTTCAAACGTATTGTACACGCTGCGCTGAGCCAGGCATCTCCAGCATTTCCCCGCTCAGTTCAACCCCTGAATTCCGCGTCGCGAAGGTACCTTAGACACCACAGCCCGAAGACCACCGGCAGCCCACCATGGGGAAGAAGAAGAAGGGCCATTCCATCGTCCAAGAGTTTAACGACTACTTCGGCACGGGCACACTCGATGACTGGCAACGCCTCTGCCAAGATATCGGCCTTGAGGGTGATCTGAGCAGCATCACCAGGTGTCGCAAGGTAAAACCCACCCTCATATGCAGTATGAAAACATCGCAATGGCAAGTCAAGCTCAACAATGGGTGGTGGGGGAGGATACAGGCTCTTCGGACAGTTCACGTCAACATCCACGACCTCATCGACGCCGTCAAGCAAGGCCGAAGACCGCGCCGCTTCAGAAACGCAGAGCAACTGGCCCAGTACACGGTCGCGACCGGGAAGATATATCCGAAGAGATGTGTCAAGGAGATGGGGCCGGTGAAGGCATTGATGCGACCTATCCTGTGAACGGAGGGAGTGCATAGGACAGCACGCGGTTTCTGTCTGTAACCTGGCCCGTTGGATATCTACCACCGCTAGCTGTATCCCAAACCCCAATGTGTACATAGCCGTCATGCTCCCATCAGCTCCTGATCTCCCACAACCGGATCTTGCCGACATCGTTGCCGACCGCAAGCACATCACTCCCGGAACTGAACGCCACCGCCGTGACTCTCCCCAGCGGCGTCTGCTCGGTGGGCCAGTTGCGGTAGACAGTGCAGCTCGGGAGGTGCACCAGCCTCAGCGCATCCTTTTTGAGCTGGCTGCCAAACGCAAGGAGCTGTCCGTCTGGGGAGAAGGTAACCACCGAGATGGCCGTCGTCAACTGCTCAAAGCTGCGCGTTGGTTCAGGAAGCTTCTTGACCTCCACGGACGCGAGCTCCGCTTTTGCCCCCTTTTGTTGTTGCTGTTGTTGTTGTTGCTGCTGCTGCTGCTGTTGCTTGGGCTGTCTCACGACGAGCTCGTTCCGATCATAGATGTTCAGAATACCGCTGTTCGACCCAACGGCAACCCACCTATCCCCTCCCAGCTCGGCCGGGCCGTTCCGCCCTCCCATCGCCATCACCGTGCCGCCAATGGACCCTTCATCCCTCCAGATCCCAACCGTCCGTTTCGCAACCACGCTCCACTCCGTAACCTGCCCGTCCTTCCCGGCAATGGTGAGCCCATTCCCATCGCTCCACCACGCGAAATCCGCCACGCCCCCGCGGCCATCAATCCTAGCCTGTGCAATCCACTGCATGGTCGCGATGCTGACCACGTTCAGCATCCCGCCCCCCTTCTTGTCCGACGCCTGCACCGCGAGATAGCGCCCGCAGGGGCTCACGCGGAACCGCTCCATGGTCCGGTGCTCCTTCTGGTGGCCGGCGATCCTGCTGACCTTCTTCACCAGGCCCGACGACAGGTTCCAGCTGTGGAAGTAGCGCCTGCGGCCGGCAAATACGACCTCGTCGCCGGAGCGGCCGACGAAAGCGGCGCGCCGCAGGTCGGTGCGCTTCACCTGCACCGACGTGAGCAGCGGGTGAGGCGTGGGGTGGGCGGAGGCGTCGAGGTGGTGCAGGTACATGATGGAAGAGGTGCTGGCGGACAGGAGGATGGGATGGCGCGGGTGGAAGGCGAGGCAGGAGACGCCGGCCTTGTGGCTGTCGGGGATGTCGCGGGTGCGTTGGATGTCGATGGTCTCTGGGCGGAGTTTGCGGCGCTTCGCGCGGGAGCCGTCTTCTGCGGCGGTGGGGCGGAAGGAATTGGCGTCGCGGAGGAAGGTGTCGAGCGGCAGGGGGTTGTCGATGCTTTCGCCGTCGCTGTCCACGTCCATGTTCGAGGCGGAAGAAGCGTCTGACGCAGCCGAGGAACGACGTCTTGTCCGTTTACTTGGCGCCTTGGCCCAGTCTGGCTGAGGATACAGACGGAGGTATTGCTGCCGTAACCGCCTTGCGTATTCCGCACCGCTGACGACGTCTTCTGCTTCGGAGGCCCTGAGCTTCCTAAGCCGGGTAGCCCCAGCAAGGGAGACGGTCAAGCGTTCGTCGTCGCTGTCCACCCAAGCAGGCGCCTCCTCGTCCTTCTCCTGCGGGATCTGACTTGTCTGTACTAGTTCAGCCGCTCCTTCGTCGTTCTCCCCTGTTGTATCCAGCGTAAAGAGCATCGAATCTGGGACATGCTCGTGGCCGGTGGCATCCTCATCTTCAGCAGCTGCTTTTACTAGCGCTTTGGAGTCGGTGACCGAAGGAAGGAAGTCGTCGCGGAATAGTAGCTCGCGGAAGGTCTCTTTGCTCCCTAGCACGAAGCGCTCGAGCTCATCCTCGTCCGAATCCTTTTCCAGCAGTGCATTTTCCCTCTCCTTTTGAAGCTCGTCGTCGTCCGACGCAGAGAAGGCATCATCTTCGCCAAAGCTGGCAAATGAGCCGTCGTCTGAGAGAATATCCTCTTCGTTTTGCTGTTGGCGGCGGCGTGACATTATGACGGCTGTGAGAGGTGGAAGAAGTTTCGACTCAAAAACACCGAGGGGCAGAATGCATCATTTGCTGGGACAGGAACTTTTTTTTTCGGGATCTCGTAGCCTTGCAGATGGAGGCCCTTCAACGCCCCACTTATTCCCACTTATCAGGATCTGTGACCTCAGCCTCGTTCATTTCACATGTCAGGGGAGGCGGAAGAACATGAACGCAGATTGTCCTCGTTTCCTCAAAATCTACATAGATGTCATGCGGATAATGGAGGAGAAGATGACGCGCTTCAAAAATGTGTTGCTCTTTTCAACATTGCCACTGGCTGGGCTATAACCATAACACATTCAACCAACTCCTTCCAGGGCCCTGGCGAATTGGCCGACTCGCAGTCTTGTGATGATCTCATTCCTCTGATTGAGAGGTCTCAGTTCATTCCTGCTTCCCACGCTCCGGTACCACCAATAAGAGGTGCTCGGCCATCCATCAGCAGTACCTTACAATAACAGCGCAGTCACCACACCAGCCAGCCCGATCCAGCCCATCCCTTTCTTCCAGCCAGCCGCGGCATTGCCTAACCCCTGTCCCTGACTCGTCTCTACAGCGGCAGCATCGCCAGGCGCAAACATGACGGGCACGTTGAAGTCGGCCGACGCGCGGATCTCCTCGGGCGTCAACATGTCATTGCTCAAAGCATCACACGAAGGCCTATCGGCCCTCTCCGGGATGCTGTTGGTCACCGAAATTGGCAAGTCGAAAATGGTGTAGTGGTCCTCGCCGTTGAGGCGGAAGGACTGGCGGATGGAGATCTGGAAAGCCCTTCCGTTAGATCCCGAACCATGCTAACCAAACGCAAGTGAGACCGGCCTGGCTTACGTTGTACACTCCCCGATCGGTGTCCCCGAGACCCTGCTGGTCTCCGCCGTTGCCAACTAAACAGTCGGGCCACAGCCACCTGACGTGCTTCACGGTGCTGCCGGGCTCTTGGAGCATGATGTCGCCCAGGCTGGCGTTGTTGGCCGAGGCGGTCCCATTGGTGATGGTGAAGTTGCGACCCTTGTCATAGCTGTAAAGGAAGATGTTGAGGTTATGGATGAGACTCGGGCTGTCATCTGAATAAGGGGGGAGCGGGAGGCGCCCATTCGCTGAAACGTCGAGGGCAATCTCAATGGTATCTATAGATGGGTCAGTAAGCTTCAGAGGCTCAGAGGATCTTGAGAAGCAGACCTCCGCCGAGCGGCGTATCCGGTTGCGGAGCGTCGACGATGACCAGACCCGGGGTGTAGATCTGGCCGTTTGCAATGGTAAAGTTCAGTGCTGAGGATATTCGGGCAGCGGACAAAAACGCTGCACCCGCGTATGCCCTCAGGGACTTGGAGGATACCATGCTCCCGGAACACACAAAACACAACTACAAGGAGCGTGAAGAAGAAGCAGTGAAACACCTCCAGGTGTGTAAGAAGCGTAGAGAAAGTATTATTTAGCGAATGGGAGAAGGCAACCCGCCATTACCGGATTACTAGAAACTAGATAGAAGACGGAAACTGTGGGAGAGAATCAGAAAGGAACGGAATGAAGTTGAGGCCGCTCAACAATATCGAGGGCCGACATGGCAATAACGGAACGAGATTGTCAGGAAGGGACTAAGGAAGAACTGGGTTCGCTTCCAGCCCTGTCTCGGATCCGCTTCGTGAGAATGCAGCATGATCGGTCTCGGCAGGGTGCCGTGCAACCGAACGCGAGGCGGCGAGACCAGCAAGTGGTTCTGTCTTTGGGGAGACGCCCGTTCACTTCGACGACACCGTATGAATGATGAGCAGTCGGCGACAGCGAGTGCCATAGAGAGGGCCGAGTGCCGTTACAGCACACCTCCTGGATATATAAAGGTGCTTTCAGCGTGTCGTCCGAAATCCGGTGTGAACGGATTCAAGTTTCAGATTAAAGTTAAGGAAAGTTCCTCAGTAGGATCGGGCGCCAACACATATTTGGCAAGCTTCGACATTGAATGTGGGGGCTGCTCGCGATGCAGGGCCGAACCGCCCGAGCGCAGGGGCCATTTCGAGCAGCTTCGCTGCCAGTGGTTGTGCAGCGTGTTTGGCTGAGGTTCCTGAGATGCGCGCAACCTTCCATGATAATAATAGACGGTCCTCTTTTGGGCTACTGGTCAACCAGGCGGAGAGCTTCAATTACCGTAAGTTGGCAACCTGGCGGCCATCACTTGAAATGGAAACCGTTAGCGTGTAAGTGCGCTGATTGGTCAATCAGCACCAAGTGCCTTAAGGAGGTAACTCAGGTATCCGCGATGGACCTCCACTCCTTCCAAAAGTGGTCTCACGATCACAACCTTCATCTCAACCTATGTCCCATATGACCGCGAAGGTTCCCAACGTTACATGATCTGCGGCGGTGCTCACTGTCCGTCCGAAGCAGATTAATCCCGTAGTTTCCCCGATTCTTGGATCTCAGAGCTTCCTGAAGAGAACGTGAACTCTCAGGACTGGAACCTCCTCATCTCATCCAAGACAACAACAACAACAACCAAAACTCCAACCACCGTCTCGACCTTTAAAATTCGGAGTTACCATGACAATACGCACCCTCTCCCGAATCCCCGCCGTCACCCGCAAATCCCTCCTCCTTCCCCGTCTTCGACCCCGTCATTTCACCACTCACGGGCCCAACGGCTTCAGTAGTCCGTCCCTCCTCAAGATCTCCCCCGAAGTCTCCGCCGCGCTGGCCTCCAACGGCCCCGTCGTGGCGCTCGAGTCGACAATCTACACGCACGGCGCCCTCGGCAGCGACCTCGACCTCGAGTCCATCGTCCGGCAGCACGGCGCCGTGCCCGCGGTATGCGGCATCCTGGCCGGCGTGCCCACCGTGGGGCTCGCGCCGGACGAGATCGAGCGCATGGTGCGCGAGGGCGCGAGGAAGGCCTCGCGGCGGGACCTGGCCTTCCTCGCTGCAGCGAGCATGCTTGGTGGCAGTAGTAGTAGTAATGGTAGTAGTGGTGGTGGTCACGGCGGGACGACCATCTCCGGGACGATGGTCTTGGCCAGGCTGGCGGGCATCCGGGTGTTTGGCACGGGCGGGCTGGGCGGCGTGCACCGTGGCGGGGAGAGCTCGATGGATGTGAGCGCGGACCTGACCGAGCTGGGGCGCACGAGGGTGGCGGTCGTGAGTAGTGGGTGTAAGGGGTTTCTGGACATCCCACGCACGCTGGAGTTTCTGGAGACGCAGGGGGCTTTTGTGGCCACGTTTTCGGACGGGAGGAAGGAGGGGCAGAGCGTGGTGGATTTCCCGGCGTTTTGGGCCAGAGAGAGCGGGACGCCGAGTCCGGCTGTTGTCAGGGATGAGCGGGAGGCGGCGGCGATTATCCTGGCGCAAGAGCGGTTGGGTGTCGAGTCCGGCCTGTTGTTTGCGAATCCTATTCCCGAGGAGGCTGCCATTCCGCGCAAGGAAATGGAGGCGGCCATTGACCTGGCCGTGCGGGAGGCGGACGAGAAGGGATTCACGGGCAATGCCAACACGCCGTATGTGCTAAAGAGGATCAGAGAGCTCACAGAGGGGAGGAGCGTGTCGGCGAACAAGACGCTGGTCCAGGCCAATGTTGCCCGTGCGGCCAAGATAGCGGTCGAGCTGGCCAAGATGATGGACGGCGCGCCCGTCACTCCGGGGACAGTGACGACTACGGTTACAACAAAGACGACTTCTTATTCGGGCATGGGCGGGGCTTCGGTGACATTGTCGCCAACAGTGGAGGTGCAGTCCAATGTCAAGACAGAGGTCCAGAAAGAGGTAGGGTCGAAGGAGATCAATGACTGCCGGCAACCAACCACTGACTAGGTCTAGCAAAGTCATTATCCTGTGAACGTCCTCGTGGCAGGCTCGGTCGCGCTTGACTTGAACTGCGATTACACCGGTGGCGTCGCCCCGGGAGGCGGTATGGCCGTCTCACCGGCATTACACACGTCGAATCCTGCTACGATCAACCAGTCCGTAGGGGGAGTGGGACACAACATTGCCCTGGCGGCACACAGGGTCAGCGAAGAAGGCAAGGTCCGGCTATGCAGCATGGTAGGCGACGACATCGCCGGCTCGACCGTCCTTTCGGCCCTGCAGAGCGCCGGCCTCGACACGTCTTGTATCCGCCAGCTCGGCCACGAATACCCTTCCACGCGAACGGCCCAATACGTCGCCGTAAACGACGCGCACAAGAACCTCGTGCTCGCCATGGCCGACATGGCCATTTTCTCGACCCACTCGTTCCCAACCTACTGGAACTCGGCCGTCGCGGCCGCCAAGCCCAAGTGGCTCGTCGTCGACGCGAACTGGTCCGAGGCCGACATCCAGACCTGGATCGACGCCGGCCGGAAGCACGGCGCCAAGGTCGCCTTCGAGCCCGTGTCGGCAGCCAAGTCGCAGCGGCTGTTCCCCGCCGTCAAGAGGCACTCCCACACCAAGCTGCTCGACGTCTACCCCTACGCGAGTGTCGACCTCTGCACGCCGAACCAGTTCGAGCTGCTCGCCATGTACGAGGCGGCCAAGCGCAACGGGTACCTCGACAACCACTGCTGGTTCGAGGTGCTCGACGCCTTCGGCATCACGCGCGGCGCCAGGGCGCAGTTTGTCGACATCACCTCCCCCGAGATGACGGATGCGGGCATCCCTGTGCAGAGTGTCAACCTGCTGCCTTACATTCCCACCATCGTCACCAAGCTGGGCGCGAACGGAGCGCTGTTGACGACGATCCTCGCGAAAGACGATCCGCGGCTGAGGGATCCCGATCATGCGAGGTATATCGTCAGCAGGTGCGTCAACGACCACCGGCATGTCGGCGGTGTGTATATGAGGCTGTTCCCGGCCGTGGAGAGGGTGAAGGACGTGGTCTCGGTGAACGGGGTCGGGGATACGGTTATGGGCGTGCTTGTTGCCGGTCTAGCGATGGGTGGGAAGGTGGAAAGCTTAATCGATGTCGCGCAGAGGGCAGCGGTCTTGACATTGAGGTGTAAGGAGGCTGTGAGCGAGGAGGTCGGCTCGTTGAAGGGGGAGCTTAGGAGGGCTGTCGAGGAGTCGCGGTGAAGGTGGACGGGGAATTGACCACCTTCGCTCTGCGGTCCATGTGCAGTCTCCTACACTACATAAGAAGAGACGAGAGGAAGAGAGGTGCATCATGATTACCGTGGAATCAATGCCTGGGCCCCGGTTCATGGCATACACCAAACCCGTCCCCCGTCCCCAATGATTGACAAAGCTATCCCGGGAAGAACCTCTAACAAGCGAGGACCCAAGACAACACAATGCAACCACATCTTTGCCTGATCGAGGTCGACGGCCAGCTTCCCCGCATCAGACCCCAAAGCAACCTCGGCAGCATGCATGCCCCACGTTCGCCCTGCTTGGCAGGGATGGACTACATATACGGATGTATCAGTCCTCTCAAGTTGGCAATTAGGAGACATCATGGATCCAGGATTGTCCTGTCCAATTCAAGACTTCTCCATACCACATACACAGCCCACATTGATTGACCTGGATCGGCGCCACCATCAATGCCAACATGCCCATGCACAAGGGCTTCCTTCCCCGGGAGGGCTTCAAGGGCGACACGGTGCTCAAGATCATCCGCAGCACGGCACTCAACCCGAAGCTCATCCTCCCCCTGCTCCTGCTGGCCAAATACACCAAGAAGGGCGAGAACTGGGCCATATTGCACCCAAAGGCCTACTCCCGCCTCAAGACGTTGCTGGTATTCGGTCTCCTGAGGTGGATCAACAACTACTTCTCGCGGGGCGTTCTGAATAACTGGGTCAGCGACGAGTATGACTGGACGAAGGAGATTGTTCTCATCACAGGAGGCGCGGGCGGCATTGGCGGTCAGGTTGTGCAGCTGCTGGCCGAGAAGGGCATCAAGGTCGTCGTGCTGGATATCCAGCCCCTGACCTACACTGCTGGTAAATTAAACGATACTTAACTATATATATCCCTCCCTTACCTTCGTCATTACAAAACCCGCAAACTAACGCAGGGAAAACAAAAACGAAAAAGGACCTACCGTCCACTACTTCAAATGCGACATCACCTCCCGCAAGGCCCTCCCCCGCACCGCCGAGCAAATCCGCCTCGCCGTGGGCCACCCAACCATCCTGATCAACAACGCCGGCGTTGTGCAGGGGCGCACCATCCTCGACGCGACCGAGCACGACATCCGCTTCACCTTCGACGTGAACACGCTGGCGCACTACTGGACGGCGCAGGAATTCCTGCCGCACCTCGTCCGCCTCAACCACGGCATGGTCGTGACGGTCGCGTCCGTGGCCGCGTGGGTGGCGGTCCCCAACATGGTCGACTACGCCGCCTCCAAGGCGGCCGCGCAGGCCTTCCACGACGGGCTAACCGCCGAGCTCGGCACGCGGTACGGCGCCCCGCGCGTCCGCACCGTGGTGGTCAACCAGGGGTACACCACCACGCCGCTGTTCGAGGGCTACCACAATGACAGCCCCTTCCTGATGCCTGCGCTGCATCCCGAGACGGTGGCCGAGGCGATTGTCGCGCAGGTGCTGAGCGGCGAGAGCGGGCAGGTGATCCTGCCGGAGTTTGCGAGCTATGCGCTGCCGGCGCTGGCGGGCATGCCGCATTGGTATCAGAACCGGCTGAGGAAGAAGAATCAGAGGATCATGCGGGACTTTAGAGGCAGGAAGGTGGTGCAGGATGTGGAGGGGTTCTATGCCGAGCGGGAGAAGGAAGATGGGACAGGGGAGGAGCGTGGAGCAGGAGAGGTTGGGAGTACTGTGTTGGTTGGAAAGTGAGGGGTTTCTCTCAGTCTCTGACGTACGGCGGCGAAATGCGATTATTTGGGTACTCATGTTCTTTGTGCGTTGTTCATGGCATATTTGGAGCCTACTAACTAAGCGTTTTGGGGGTCATGATGATGATGGTCATCGAGCTTGTCCAGGGCGGCTGCATTCTAAACCTGATCAAACGCGCCGAGGACGGCAATGGTCAAACTGTTGACCCCACGCTGCTCTCACCCGAGTCCTTTCGGATTCGAGTGGTCCCAATCGATTTCAACTACATCAAGGTGCTCTATGGCCCTTGGGTAACTATACGCACCACATCACGCCCTGACTGCGTATTGAGCTCGTGTAGTTCTCCCTCGATCCGTTCCAACTGAGACTTGATGGTCCTAATCGAAATGCCTTCAAAGTCTCATTTTCCTTCTGGAGGCGAACATCCAGAGCTCTAACACGACTCGTCAGAACATCCATGGCTTCCTTCTGGTCTTTGTGAATGTCCTAAGAACACACGGATTTCGGTCAGGAGCGTAAGGGAGGGATCGGGTGGTTCTTGGGGGGCTGCCTGTTTTGGCTGGCAAAACCGAAGAAAGAGCCTGATCGTAGACCAGGCGGCAAGGGCGGAAGTAATGCCTCCGAGAGCAGTGAAGAACGCCATCCAGATGTTAATGAACGACATGGATGCTTGCTTCAGTGTCAGGAACAGAGTTGAAACAATTTGCGGTTCTGTTATGACGAGAAGAGAAGAGAAAAGGAGAAGAGGCGTCGAAAGCCATTTTGACGCTATGAACAGCACCCGACGGCACCTGCTCAATACCCGAGTCTTGTGACAACTGGCAGGCGCGAGGATGAAATCTGTAAGAGCAAAGATGGTTGTCCCCCGTCCACCACCTTCCTCCTCAGATAAGAAAGTTATTCGCAACCAGTGAGCGAGGTCGTGCTATCCATATTTACTTTTCTCGCAGAGACGAGGGACCAGACGTAGCAAGATTAGAAGGCACGACAGTCATACCATTGTCGCTGCCGGGTTCTTGGGTGGTCTATTTATTTCTTTTTTTGGGGGCGTGGGGGAAGAATAAAAAGAAAACCGAATGAAAGGAAAAGGGCCCGAAATGTCTTGCGCTCGATCTCTCTCCCGAGCGCTAGGTTTTCAATTTTCTCAACCGGGATTCCGTTCCCCGTCTGTGTATATCCGCCCGTCTGGGCTGCCAGCAGCACCGTCTCGCTTTTGGAAAGAGGAAGAAGCCTGCATCCCACGTTGGGACGGCAGGTAGCGCCCTCAACTAGGTCTTCCGAGCGGCAGCAGTCGCACTTTCCATATCTTCCATGTAGAGATAACCCAGGTAGAATCACAGTCAAAAAGTTGGGTCACACTTTAAAACCGGGATTTATATGGCAATTTGTATAAGGGCGCTTGATACACTTAACAAAAACCAGAACCCATCTCTACCTACCGAATGAAAATGGAAAATGAATAGCTAGGTAAAGGCATCTTGTAAAGATCCCCTTGGAGGGATTTCCGTGGCTTTTTTTTAAAAATTCATCTATACCCTTTTGTGATGTGTTGAACATGGTGAGTTTTGGTGGGAACTGGGGAGTGTGACCCAACTTTTTGACTGTGGCTTTAAGGAGTTCAAAATCGTACAATCTACCTACCTTTCAAGGGTAATGAGTTGGAAGGGATGACGACCCCAGGCGCACTCTGAGGGACCGCTTGGAGGTCTTGCTGTTCGTTGGATTCTGATGTGCTTCCCATTGGCCGAATTTGGATTTCCTTGTCTGGTAAATACCCGTCTGTTTCGTTGTGTTGCCGGTGTCTGAACGAGAGTTTCAATACCGCGGCTCGTGAGATTCCCACATGGCCTTGACTGCGCCTGGAGGATACGCCGACATGTCTCGCTGCGTGCGATGGGCGGAGACGGTCATCGCGTTCCCAAAAGCCTCCCATTTTGGATCCATGGGCGATCGGCCACTTCCCAATCGCTGATAGGAAGTGACGCTAATGAACCAAAATGCCGCAGGCTGCTCCTCTACACAACCCTCTTTTACATCCTCCAGCCTCTGCTCCACCGTAATCGCGAAATCCGTGAGACATCGACGGCATGACTGGATCAGGTCATGACATGGTGTAAAGATATCCACAGAAGGGGAGGTGGGACGGAGGAGGGCACGAATATAACAGAAGTCCGACCACGTGGGAGAGGGACGGAAGGAAGGGTTGGGAGAGCAGAAGGCCGGGCCCGATGTCCTGATGTGACCGCAGATATGGCGCTCTTCGTGGTCGATTGCGGCTCTCAGCGAGTCATCAGTCCAGCCAGCGCCACTTAGGGTCCGGGTAGCCGAGAGAAATAGCTCGTCTTGTACAATCCGGGCGGACCATCTTTCTTCCCAAGGCAGCCATTTTCCTTGCCAGGGGACCAGGGTAGTTGAGCTAGCTTCAACGCTAAAGCTCTCTAAAGGCAAGCCTTTCGAGGGGCCGAAGAAATAACGGTTCATGGCAAGGCGGACGCTCTGGTAGTCGATGCTAAAGCTACTTCCTTCGAGCCAACGTCTATTGTGGTAAGGGTGGCTGGGGTACCAGCCGACCATCCACGAATAGCTATGGCGAGTGCCACCAGTTGGTCCTCGAGTGGAAATAGGATGTAGAAGGGAGTAGTAGTGGCAGCACCACCAAGTGTGTCCTAGGTCCTTCTCGAGTAGTAGCTGTAAATCCTGGCGCTCCACTGCATTCATGTCGAGGCCAAATCTTGCCCTCGGAAAGATGAGGTTAAAGAGAGCCTTGCATGTCAGCGACAAGGCTACGGCTAAAGCCGGCGGCAAGTGTTCGCGAGAGAGGTAAAGAACGATATCGGCAGGTAACTGCAAAAAGGCTGGCAGCGGCTGCAGCGGTGACATTGCCGAGGGTGGCCGCTCTACCAGCAGAGTGCAGCAAACCTCCCGCTTTCGCTTTCGCTGTCCGCACAGGCACGACAACAAAGTATGAAAACTGATTTGGTCCATTCTGTTCGCTGGTCGTCTCAGCGGGGAGGGTATGGGGTCTTGGAGGAGAATCAGAAGACGACGAGAGAAGATTTGTATTGAGAAAAACGACCTCCATGTGGCGTAGTAAATGGATTGGTTGACGCTGACATCATGGTCGGTCACCAGTGGAAACCTACGTTCAGGTGCACACACACAAGCCTGACTGGAAGAGCGAATTCCATCGTCGCCTGCCCATCGGCCTGTCAAAGCCGTTGACCCACTAGTTTGTTGATAAGGCTGTCACTTTCGAGGAATACACCCATATGGCGGCCGAAATCGTGCGCCGACGAGAAGAACAGGAAGTTCAGCCTCGTCGCTGGCTGACTACCTACATACCTTGACGAGAAGAATCGACAGATCAACCGGCAAGACCCGCGCATAGTTCCCTAACTTCCCTTGGCGAACCGCTCCCTAGACCGTCGTCGCTTGAACTCCCGCCGCTGCGCCAAAAACTCAAGAGCACCCCCTCAGCAAGGTGACAAATTGGGAGGAACAGATCAGCAGGATCTCAAGCAACACGAAGCCATGCACTGGTCGTGGACGGTCCGTTCGAGTTTCGACGCCATCCGGCTGGGGGAAGCGACATCCTCGCGATCCGCCCAAGAGCGTAAAGGCAGTGCCATAGAGCCAGCCAACGATGAACGAAGAGGGTAAAAATCTTTGGCTCCTCGTCGGGAAGCCTCATCTCGTCGTGGCCCTGGGAGAACCAGTTTTTGAAGACCTCGGACGGGCCTGGTCAGCCACGCCACATCATTGACCACCTGAAGTTCACCATCGCCAAACCGACCATCGACGACCCAACGAGACAGTGACTGGCGCTATCGATTCACCGATCCACGTCGATAGCGGCTGAGCACCCCTCACATCGGAGACACCGTCGCGGCTCTCACCCCTTCGCGATCCCACCCTTGGCGGCTCGCCCCCGTCAGCGGCTGGGCTCATCGGACCCAGAGATACCGGATGGCATATGTTCGTCTCATCATTAGCGTCTAGACCAGACGGACATATGCCGCCCGAGTTCTCCTACTATAGTCGGAACTTCATCTTCTCTTGCTGTAATCGGAACTCACCCTACTGTAATCAGAACTCAGAACTTACCCTATTCTAGTCGGAACTTGTTCCGCCCTTCGATCAAAGGAGTACCTGTCATCAGAGTCCATCATCTTATAGTAGTAGAGACGGCTACTAGTAGCTAGCCTGTAGAGCATCTTCTAATGCAGTTTTATTGATGTTCTGCAAAACTGTTGGAAGTTTCTATTGAAATCCATATCCCGAGTTATACCTATTACTCTAGAATATATGGTTCTACTTCGTAAGTAGTTGGTATCAAGTCTAACCCACTACCGAATCGGGAAATTATAGTTCTCTCGTATGTAGCAAGGATGATTATCATAGTTCTTGCACTTACATCTTTTCCTACTGTAGCAGACAGGTGAATGAGATTAGGGACAATCAATTATCATCATCAGATTAACACAAGTTGCCGATAAGCAAAGGCTCCTACGGGATACAGATATACACTCTTCCCTCATTACCTGGTAGGCCGCAGGGGCAGGCAATTCTTATGTATGTAAGGTATGTAGTACTGAAGCAAGCGTCGTCGGCCCGGCCGTTGACGCACCAGGCTCTGGAATGGTGCCAGGGGGTCCGAGCACCCTGAATCGGGCTCGCCTGAGGAATGTCTGCCGAGCCATTCTGGACTGGGCTGCTTGACCGTTAGACGAATTCGCGGTAGCCAATGGGAGCCTGCGGAATGGAAGCACCTGCGGAGCCACGCGGAGCGCCGTCTAAGATCAGATCATCCCCTGTGTCGAATCAGCCCACTTTGTGCCGCAAAACGGGGAATCATGGAATCGCTGATATCGCGATGTCCAGTGCTACGAAATCCGCCTTTGCGCCGTCGATGATCAAGGCATCACCGCCGCCGGCCGCCCGCCACTACCCCTTGACGGGGTTAGTCGAGCCCCGGAAAGCCCACGGTTTTTGGCGCACTCCCAATGCCCCTCGTTCCCACCTGACGTGTCGCCGGGCTTGTTGCTGGGAGGAATTCCCTGAGCGCAATGCCCCTTCAAGCTTTCCACGTACTCTCCCCGTTGAGCCCAATCGGCGCCCTTTCCAAAGGGACATAGCGGCCCTTGTGATTCGTTGTTACATACCCCAGACCAGCAGCTACCTGCATCCCAGCTCATTTGCAGATCCCTCATTCCACCTGGTCCCCTAGTGGCGTTGCGTCTAGCAGATTATCTTTCCGACTGCTAGAGAGACCCGTCTTTGCATTTCAACCATCTACCACTGGGGATTCCGGGTTTTGACAGCGACTTCTCTCTGTGGTAGTGTACGCTGCTCGGAACTTCGCAATAAAGTACCAGGTGGAAGCCGCCGTCGAGACACCCCGCCTGCCTACGTCCCTCCTCCACCCCGCGCGCAGGCCCTACCTTCCCTGCCCTCCGAGACTACGGCCTATATCTCTGACGATATCATTCCTTGCATGGTAACGGTCCTTGCCAATTCCGTTCCTGCTCAAGATTTCGACACAAAGACGTCCCTCTCGGTCGGCGCCTCCTTGCAGTCCCAAGCGGACCGCGGCCGCTATGGCACCCGCCGCCGTTCTGGAGAAACCCGGGGAAGATCAGTCTAGCGAAGACCGGATGGAGTCGATCGAGTGCGCAGACCGCCTGACACTGCTCCGGAGCATGCCCGAGGCGCCGCTCGAATGCCAGGTCTGTGTCGTCGGCGCCGGCCCGGCCGGCCTGATGCTGGCGTGTAACCTGGCACGGTGTGGCATCAAAGTAGAAGTTGTGGACGACCGGGCGGACCAGACGCCTGTGGGTAGGCAAGTCACGTAGACCAGCTTTGTCCCCCATGCATCCATGGTCTGACCAGTCGACTTCACAGAGCCGATGGCTTACAACCCAAGACGATCGAGACGTTCCGACAAATGCGCCTGGCAGACCCTCTGTTGCAGCGCGGCGTCCGAGTGTACGACATCTCCTTCTGGCGCAGCACGCCGGACGAGCCACTCCATCGACTGGGCCGCGAAGTCCACTACCCACCCGTCATTGACGTATTGGATCCCTACATCCTGCTGGTGCACCAGGGCATGGTCGAGAGCTTGTTCATTGAGGACTTGAGGAAGCGCGGTGTCGAGGTGCGCAGGAACACAGCGTTCGACTCGTACAGTGTCTGTGACAACAAAGGCGGCCCGCTCCAGATTAATTGCCGCACGAATGTCACGCAGGACCGCAAGACGCTCCTGACACAGTATCTTGTCGGCTGTGCGTATTTCCCAAAGAGTGCATGACGAATAGCAAAGCCGGGCTGACGCTTTATGCAGGTGACGGCGCACATTCCAAGGTCAGAAAGAGTATTCCAGATGCTAAACCTGTGGGCATGTCGCAGCCTTCGGTCTGGGGTGTCTTGGACGGAGAGCTGATCACCGACTTTCCCGATATCTGGTCCAAGACGCTTGTCTATTCACAGGAGCACGGTTCCATCCTGATCATCCCCCGTGAACGCAACATGACGCGCTTCTACATCGAGCTCAAAAGTTCGGGGAAGGCAGAGCGGAACCAGCTCGGCCAGGAATTTGTCATGCAACGTGCCAAGCAGATCATGGCCCCGTTTGAGGTCGGGTGGAAGTCCATTGAGTGGTTCGGCCGCTACCAGATCGGTCAGCGAGTGGCAAGCCGCTTCTGCGACAACCATCAGAGGGCATTTCTTGCCGGAGACGCCAGCCATACACATTCACCCAAGGCTGCTCAAGGCATGAACACCTCAATGCACGATGCCTGGAACTTGTGCTGGAAGCTCAACCTTGCGGTCCGGGGTCTCGCCAAACCAGCATTGCTGGAAAGTTACGAGGAGGAGCGGAGGAAGATCGCTCTGGATCTGGTTAACTTCGACTACGAGCATGCCAACCAAATTGCCGGGGGTGACGCTGTGGCCCTTGCGGAGAACTTCAAGACCAACGTTCGGTTCATCTCGGGCATTGGTGCCGAGTACGGCGAGAACGCCATCAACATGACGGAACCCCAGATTTGGGTCATGGGAGAGGCCAAGCCGGGGTGCCTCCTACCACCAGCCAAGGTCACCCGCTACCTGGATTCCAACCCGGTCGACATACAGCTTGACATTCCCATGCTGGGCCAGTTCCGCATCTATCTCCTGATGTGGGATGTGCACCAGTCGCGCATCTTCCTCGAGACATTCTGTGATGCCATTGCCTCGAAAGACTCGTTGGTGAGCCGACTTTCCGCTGCGGCAAGCATCTCGTATGCCAAGCAGCCCCGTGCGCCCGCCCCCGAGGATATCTACCTACGCCCGGAGCGCTACACGGCAGTCAGCCATCTCTTCACATTCGGTCTGATCAGTACGTTAACTCACTGTTCAGTTCTGTTTCTCCTCTTTGCTCTGTTGCTGCTTTTGATACTAACCTGTTTCCTTAGCAACCATGCCCAAGTCGGAAATCGAAGTGACAGACCTCCCCGCCCTCCTCCAAGACAGCCGCTGGACGTTCTACCTGGACGACGTTCCTGAACAGGACACGCGGGGCTCGCTCTGCACCAACAAGTGGCTCGGCAGCCTCGGGCCGGGCGAGGTCGCCATCGTGAATGTGCGGCCCGACGGCTATGTTGGGTCCATAGGCCGCTGGGACTCCAGTATCGATGAGGCCGGGGAGGACGCCGCCAAGTGGTTGGATGCGTACTACGACCGGTTTTTGCAAGTGCCGGCGACGGTCCAGGCTTAATTTGACCCCGTCGTCCGTGACGGCGAGCTTATAATCTGGCGAGCCGGCGAGTGGCACGGGGTGTGGCACGGGGTGGGATGTTGAATATAAAATAAAGACGGGGTTAGACGTGGTGGTTGTTAACCCGCTAGGGGTGTGCTTGTATGTTCGTACCTTATCTACCATGGTTCGCTTCTTCTGCATGGCGCTCGGAGTCAACATGGCATGCAAACAAATACATGCTGGGTTCAAGATGTAGTTCTGTCTGTAGTCTTTGGGAAGTTTGTTGTGCTTCTATATCAATGGCACCGTGCCTTGGATTTCTATTCACGCCATATGGTATGCTTTGATGTCTTTTTTTGGGAGTCTATGCTGCGTACACTCCCACTCTCCAACATCGGCCATGGATATCTAACAGGCAATAAACCACGATCACGTAAACGGAAATTTCAAAAATGTCCCTTTGCTTTCCGGTCGAAAGAGTCCATGTGTTGACGTATTGCCTACCAGCCTAATTATAGGGCGCTTCGATAATAAAGTCCGGAGCAGGCGGTCGGATTGTTGACAGCCGCTCTGAATCTGAAGTCATCTAGTCCGCGCATCACGTCTACCGAGAATGAGTTCACTCATTTGTCACACTCATTTATCCACATAGCCACGAGCCTAAACATTGAAAGTACCTAAGAGCAGATTTGGGTTCTGCGGCAACAGAACCTTTCGAATTGGTCCTGGTTCGAAAGACATATATTTTCACGAGGTAAACATTCAATGGTTCTAATTGATTTGATTCAACGGCCTAAGAGACAACTCATAATACAAGAGATTTCATATCGTTAACATCATCGACTATCCAACACCCTTTATTTCTTGCTGCCAGTGTCGTGGATGACGTTGGGAACAGCCCTCTCGATCGACTCGGGGAGCTTCTCCTGGACCTTCTTGGGGACAATGGACGCGTTGCCATCGTCCTTTGCGTGTGTCTTGTGGGTGCTCTGGCCGGGTTCGGCGCCTGTTGGGTGGAGCTGTAGTTCCGTCAGTATCTGACGTGAATTCAACCTAAGGACTCTATATATAGAGTATTTTGAAAGGCTCAAAGCATACCTTGTCGGGGAGAGCCTCTTCAAGACCCTGGGGAGCGGCCTCCTGGACCTTGCCGGGAACCTTGGAGTGGCCGGTGGCGTGGGACGCGCCCTGCCCGTGCTGGTTGGTGGACTGCATTCTGACGAATGATGATGCTGTGATGCGGGTGGCTTGTACAATCGGTCGTGTGAAATTGCGAAGTTTGAGTGCAATTGACATGTTCTGGATGAAGATGGAGGAGTAAGATCAGGCCATTGGGGGTTACAGATCTGGATGTTTATATAGATCTCAGTTCTCTATCCCTCACTGCAACGCTTCACGTTGGATTCCTTTGCCAAATGCCAGTTGAGGGCTCATCATGGTCCGCTTTCAATTCCTTGGCTGAGATCATGCCGCAGAGTGGTGGCGCACTCACGGCTTGCTAAAGCGCATCGAGCGCTCTCGATCCCCAGATCTTTGCAAAAACGTCATTCATTTTCAACTTCGATCGGGTGCGGGAAACATGATGCAAGTGGCGGGAACCTGCTGTCATGGGCGGGCCATGGAGAATCTCATCGGGGAGTTGAGCGGTCCGAGTCGCCGCCCATCTCGATCGTTAGCAGCCATCGCCAGCATTCGGCTTGGTCACTTTCCGGACCGGACTGCCGGGAAAAGTACCTAGTCGCTTCCTGCCTGTGATGACTTGCAGCTGCAAGCCATCGGAGGATGCGCCCATGGGGTATATGGAATATGGAAACAATGGTAGAACGAATCATGCGAGGTTGTGTCCACTACGTCACCAAGGCTTACCAATGTTATCCAGACTAACGTAAGTGTATAGCGAAAGTTACATGCATGCGAAAGTTACACTAAACCATACCCCCTTAACTTTATCTATATTAATTCCACCCAACCAGCTCAAAACCAACGAAACTACTCGGAATCGTCTTCCTCGGACGTTTCAACAACTATCTGACAGGTACGCGTATTGTGGCCAGGCTCGCCGCAGTTGCCACAATACCGCGCGCGTATCTCAACCCTCGGCTTCCGACCACTACCCGCCTGCGTTTCCTCCTTAATCTATACCTTAACGTCTCTCTGGCCCTATAGATCCTATACATCCTATATAGAAAGTGATCCTCCTTGTCGGAGCCGTTGTTTTTTGACCCTTCGGCGCTTGCTTAGTGCCTCATTTGCTGCTCGGAGGCTCTGGTTCTCTGCCCTTAACAATGCCAACTGATATATAACCTTGGACGTCCCTTTAGCAAATATATCAACCGCCCTTAAAATCTCAGTTGGAGAGCTATTTTAATGTCGGGCAATTCGATTCTTAATGAGGGTAGACTATAAGGAGGCTTCGATTAGGTTGTTCGGGGTCTTAGAAACCTAGGTATAGGCACTATTAGGCGGCGAGTTTAAGGGCGTTAGCGTCTTTAGACGGATATCGAGCTATAAGATTACTTTCTCGGGATTAAAAAGAGCAATTCTAGCACCTTGAAAACCTCCTTGAATGTTTTCAGGAGTTATAGCGGCTTAGAAAGCAATATAGAATATAGGAAAGAAGTCCTTCTTAGTAATATAGGTTATGCTTGCCTATATTATCCCCTTGATCTGCTTGCTATATGCCGTCTTAAGTAGGCTAAAATACCCAATATCGAGCGGCTAAAGAATATAAGATAAGTAGGGAGGTATATAGAGGGTAATAATATTATTCTCCTTATAATAGAGCTCGAAGTCGGTCGAGTAGTAGCTATCGTGGCCGTCGAGGACTAGGAGGCAATAAACCCCAGCTGTTCGAGCTTTAGTATACTTATCGAAGTACTAAATCTATTCTAGGCCTCTCTCGTTGGTTGTCCAACCGTTTTCGGATGTCGCAATAACCTAGTCTTTCGGCAATAGGCTATTCTTATACTAAGAGGAGAGGTAATGTTTGCCCTTGACGATAATAAACGGCGGGATCGCCTAGCTAGTTATATTAATACCCTAGATTACCATTGCCCACTTGCAATTGCCAGGCTGCTTCGACTTTACCTTGCCACGCCGTTCGGAGCTTATAACAACTATTGCCGTTAAGATAATACCCATCTAAAACCTAGTCTTATCGAAGTTATAGATATCGGCCTCCTAGATACTATACTTCGCGATTGTATTCCGTATAAGCGCAAACCAACCGCGAATAATCTCTAGATCTTTATATTAGGCCCTCTAGTAGTTATATTTCCGATTGAAACGTATAGTAAGCTCTAGGTGCCGTTTGACGAAGGTTAAAGCCCAACGCGTTCCGACACATCCCACGTTGCGTTTGGCAAGCAGCCGATCAGCCATATCTTCTACATCAGATAAGCAGGGAGGAAATCCTTTAGAATCTAGGTCGAGGATATATTAAACAATAATAGCCTCCTCTAAATCGGTCAATTTCCGCGAGTTGGCTAGAATATCGTATCGTGACTGCTGACCGCGCCGACGGCGGCTAAGCTTCATTGGGTCTATAGAAAAGATCCGAGCTGCAGCTCTAAGACTTAATTTTGGATCATTCTCTAGAGCCTGGAGGGCTAAGATAACTTGGCTTTCGTCGTTTTTCTAAGGCATATTAGGTTGTAAAGGAAGTGGGTGTAGAAGTAAGATGTCGCGTTGGTGTAGTTTAGTGTAACTTTCGCATGTATGTAACTTTCGCTATACACCTACGTTACTACTACTAGTAGTATCTTAATATCAACCGACGAGATCAAAGAAAGTAGGCACCTATTTCGCATCACATCATCAGCGCCTTACGTTACGGCGGTACACAAATCGTATAGTGGGTGTTAGTATAATCAAGCACCGCATCGTGTAAAATACCATGTGACTGTGGCCTGTGTGGTTCCGGGCCCAGTCTTCCGCAACGCAGGCCACAGTAAATGTCAAGCGAAACGTCGTATCGTTCCTCGCCCCAGTCGGCCTCCTAAACGGCCATGCTTACGACACTGCTTACCCTTGTACTAGCCTACGTACTGGACCGGCCCGCATGCCACAATGCCACTTTAACATATACAGTACGTGTCCAAAAGTCTGGAGCACCCCGCACCAACCACCCCGCGCCACACGATTTTTAACATCATGACCAAGACACCTATCCTACAATAACGTTCCACCAGATGAATTTCTAGCAATGCAGATATATACAGTTTAAAGCCCTGGTTCTAGCCATCAATATTTTGTATACCAACCCCTGGCTTTCTTGACTGCAGCCAATCGCCGGGGTATTGAGTCGACCAGCCTGTCAATCTAAGCCTGGTCAATTGACCACCAACAACGCCGAAGACATCTAGTAAACTCAGCAACATCCACGTGGTTCTTCTTGAGTAACCAGATATCTGGATATTCCTGCTTCATCCTCCGTTTCAATAGAGCCTACATATGCTCAATAGGGTTAAGATCTAGGCTATGAGCAGGCCAGTCTTCAAGGACCTCAATCATATAATTTAGGAGCCACTCGGTCGAGGATAACGATATATAGACCCGGGCGTTATCCTGCTGGAAATACCTTATACCATCGTAAACTGGAAGAAGGCCCTTTTCCAATGCCCACTGATAGCTCCAAGAGCTATATCCCCCTTTTTACGGTGGTTGATAGTCACGTTCCATGACTATAAGGTCAGTCCTCCCCCCTTTCCAGATTCCTGCCCAGATTATAATCGAGATAGTGCCTTTACCATAACTTTGTATATTAACAAAGTTCTTATCCCATTTTTAAGAAGGGAACCGGAATGCCTAAGCTGCTGGGCTACTTGAATTGTTCTGGCAAGACGATTCGTCGGTGAAGATAGACTAGAGGTTGGTCAGTAGATTCAAGGGTAAACTTCAGAGTCACTTACTCGCATTAGCACCTCGAGATTCTCTAACCAAAGACAAGCAAACTTATATCTGGCCATTGCTACAGCCTTTGTCAATGGAATTCTCTTTTGTGCACGCCACTTGCGCATTCGATGATGGCAGAGAACTCGGCGCACTATTGATCGAGAGATCCGAGCATCAACTATATTAGTGAGCAGTTGCGTTGTAAGGCAGGGCTTCCGCTTTGCAAGTTGGATGATGTACCGCTTCTCCCGACGCGTAAGAATCTCTGGCCGGCCAGTTCTAGGCTTGGATTCAAAGGTGGTAGAAGATTCGAAGCGTTGAAGTGATAGTTGGACTGCACGACGGCTAATGGAAAACGCGTTGGCAACAGCCGTCTGGCTAGCCCCCGCTGCAACGGCACCAGCAATGGCTGCACGTGCAGCTGGTGATAACTCCTGGCCAGGCTGACGGCCGACCGTCAATTTGGCACCAAGCTCGGCCAAATTGAACATGGTGGGCTGTATTTCTGTTGGTTGGAAGGTTGATGATGGGGGGTGTCGTGTCGCGATGCGCGTTTAATTAATGTGGGGTGCTCCAGACTTTTGGACACGTACTGTACCTCAGACATTGCATTGTCTTTGCCTCCGGCGGCACCTTCAGTGAGGCCCCTGCGGGGGGCTCCTCGCTTCGCTCGAAATCAGGGTATTGTTATAATGATCAGGGTGCCAGGACAGGCGCGCTAGATATAGACACTTGGATTCCGACATCACCGATATTCTGTAGTTCCAATACATGGTGTTGTACCTATAGTGCCTATGCCCGTAAATGCTCGACGACCGTTGCCTTGCACATACATACATTAAGATACATTATACATTCACGACCTTCCCCCTACTGAGATAGAACGATGAGGTCTCCCATCAACCCCAGCCCATCAACCGGCTCCGTTCGCCGGACCCCCCGTCCGTTGGGGGGGTTCGCGAGAGCTAGGCTGCCTGTAGGTTCGGTCGAGACTGTTGTCGGTGCTAGCCTTCTCCTTTTCTTGGGCCTCCAACAATTCCTCCCATCACCATATTCCCTATCACAAAGGACGAAACTCAATCAGGCTACAGTGCCCACCGTCTCCCTAGGCTGCGTATCGCCCTTCTGCCACGAGACCAAGTCATGATACCCATACGCCTCGGGGATATACCTGTCCTTGCGCTTCGTCGCCTCGGTCATGGCCGCCGGCGGCTGCTGCGGGACGGGCACGCCGCCCACACCCAACGCTGATTTCACGGCGTCGCCCGCCCTTCCGAAGACGCTCTTTTGTTGCCCTGCGGCAGCCGCCGCAGCAGCATCATCCATCGTCATCGTCATCGTCATCGTCATCGTCTCCTGCCACCGCACCAGCTTCTCGTTGACCTTGATGAACATGCGCTCCCACATCCCGATTTGCTCCTCGGGCAGCTCGTGCCCGTCGCCGTCACCGTCGCCCTGATGCTTCCTCTACACTCAATGCGACCGCGGTTCCGGCAGCTGGCACAGGTCGTCCTCGTGGGGCTGCTCGACCTTGACCAAGAAGGGCTGCTGGTGGTCATCGTCCCCAGCGTTGCTGGTCACGGCCGGGGTAGTGTTGTTGGTGTTGTAGCAGGAGTAGTAGTAGGGCGTGACGGGACCACGGACACTGTGGTATGTGTCGGGGGCTCTGTGCACGCCGGGCTTTCCTCGGACGACGGCAACAATGGCCGGCGCGTCGCGGCGCTCGAGGCGGTAGCCCCGCTCGGTGAGGGCGCGGCATGTCCACGGGCCGGCGTCGTCCAGGTTCAGGCCGCCGTAGAGGTAGCGGATGCGGACGCAGGGGTGGACGAGCTCGTTCGGGTCGACGAGCTTCCCGTCGCCGTCGTCCTCCTTGTAGCTGCCCGGTATACGGGTGATGTAGTCGGTCGTGCCCTTCGTGAGCTTGCGGATGGGCGCGGCGACGTAGGACCAGATCCAATCGGGATACGATGTGAGTCCGTTGGGATTGCGGATCACACCCAGCCCCCCACGGGCGCGCTTTGGCCCCCGGGCGGATATCGTAGAAGGTGCACTTCATTTCTGGCGTGCTGAACTCGACGCCAATGGATGTCAGCTGGTCGGCCATCCCTGTTGTTGTTGTTATTGTTGTTGTCCTGGTCAGCCTGAGCCGTGTGCGCCAACGCTTGGGGCGTTTAACGACTAGTAGGACCTAATGTAGGTAGTACTTACATGCGAGGGCAATGGTGGCAATCTGCTGGTCTTCCCGGCCGCCGCCGACATTGCAGTGGCTGTGGGGAACCAAACCTGGCGCAGGTGTGTCTCCTGGTTGTCTCGCCTCCCCCACATGGTGCAGTCAAATGCCTGCCGCCACTCGTCCAGCGAAACAGCATGGAAGGCATACTCGACCCTGGGATGCACGTCGAGACGCTCGAATCGGATCTGTGTGTGGGCGGGGCGGTCAGCGATGCTTTTAAATTCTGCTACGCCATGTCGGGAAACAAGTTAGTTAGACAACACACCTCTCTGTCTCCCCGGCCGCTATGGTAGAAAGGCGGGATTTCGGGAATCCCGAGGCTCCCAACAGTGTCCCAGACTCCGATGGCCTTGACACGCCCCTCGATCGGCGCGTACTTGAAGTCGTCGCTGCCCGGCACCGCATGCCGCAAGCACAGCAACAGTTGATACTACACACAATTATTTAGTAACGTTTCAAAGAAAAAAGAAAAAGAAAAAGAAGAGAAAAGAAAAGAAAAGAAAAAAAGGAGAGAGGGCAATACCTCCGCGAGCATGCCTCTGTAAGCATCCGCCATGTGTTTCAGATTGGCCTTCCCATCAGAAGAAGTCATGGCTGCCATCTTCTCGTAGAGCTGTCTCTTCCTCTCCCCGAGTTTCTTCGCAAGCGATTCTTCCGACTCTTGCTCTCGTCATGACAAACCCTTCTTCGCGACCTCGAACCTCTCGATCTTCTTCACATTCTCGAACGTGATGCCAACCAGATGCTTGTGCTCGTCGTATGGCTCCTTGTGCCATTCATGCCAGCCTTGGTAGTCGTTGAAGATGTGGGGGAGCTGGTCGATGCCGGAGCGGTTGAGGAAGCCGAGGGCGCAGACCATGGCCCCGACCGACCGGGCCGTGAAGGCGCCGCGCGAGAAGCCCACGATGACGATCTCGTCGCCCGGGTTGTAATTGTCGCAGATGAACCGGTACGACTCGGCAATGTCCTGCGCGACGCCGACGCCGAACGCTCCTCCCACGGCGCGCGCTACCCTGGACGTCTCGGTGCCGGCGCCCGGGTGGTAATACACAATCTGCGGCATGCCGGAGCAGCACTTGTGCGCAACCGCGCCGGAGAGCCAGCTGACGTTGGAAGGCGGGCCGGCCGCTTCATTGCTGCAAGAATTTGAGGAATTGTTAAGACAGACCATCCCATTGAAAAAAGCGGATCTGCGATGATCAAACTCACGTATTGTTCCATGTCCCATCACAGCAGATGATGAGCCGCTTCGTGTTCACAAACCCCGATGCCTTGTGGGCACACTTCACTTCCTTGGAAGCCATGTCGTCGTTGCTTAAGTTATGAACTACTACTAGTAGTAGTAGTAGACAACGGGCCGAGAGAAGATGGACGAGACGTGAACTCGCAGCCTATGAGCAGCCACGGCCGTCCATTTATATTCGAGAGTCGCATGTCTTGCACCTCGACGAGTCCACACCAAGCGGAGATTGGATTTAGAATTACTAGTACCTTCAGTTCAATACATTATTAACGCCGCCGTTTTCTTCTTTGACCGTACATCAGAGCGCCTCGACTCCCAGAGAATCCATCCATTATTATCAAATCTCACCCCTTGGATGCCTCTTCAATCTAGGCTCTAGCTTGATGGCGGGAAGTTTCAGCGTCGATTATTTTCCCACAGCCCTTGCTGAATCTAGCATCTCGATCTGGAAACATATTGGAAGGCGGCGAATGGCTATTCTCCGTTAGCAACTCCCGCTCACTATTAACTAGCGGTTTTCCGTCAATAGTACGCGACCGGCGAGGTTCAGCCGCACAGCCCTGGCTTTGTCTAGGCCCATAGTAGCGCATTTTGGCGCAGTCTATTTAACCCCCCGAAACCCACCCCCCCCCATAGGGGGTAACCGGTAAACGGGTGGCGTTTTCGCCCCAGTGGATATTGGATATTGGCTCTCTCCGCCAAAAGTGGTCTGATTACGTGGTCGAGGCGGTATTCAGCCCACAACAAAAAGATATGGTCTCGGATGGCTTGCTCGTGATCCTGGCTCTGCTGGTAAGTCGGAAAGACACATCAGAGGGGATGAAAAGTTGGCGCTCGTTGGAACTGTAGCCACCGCGACTGAGAGGTACAGACTGGCTGTTCCAAAAGACGGGTCGAAGACAAAGTCTTTCCCGAACTCAAAAACGCACAATCGTGATCCTCCGCTTATAATCCTCCCCAATCATCCACCTCTCTTCGCCAGCGATATGGCCTTTACCCACAAGCTCTGACCACATGTCGTCGTGGAAAAGGACCTCCTTGCTTCTTGCGCTGCTCGGTCGCCGCTTGCCGCTCGTCTTGCTGCTCCCAGCACTGCCATCGTCGTCATGCTGATCGGTTGCCGGCAGTGTAACCTTGACCGAGACCTCCGGTCGAACATGCTTTGACAGGGTTTCGAGCATGAAGCAATGACGAGCCGCGACGCGTACGCCGGCGGCAAAATCAACCATCTCCGTGACGGTGAGATAGGGGAATTCTTCGTGCCGCCAGCAGGGCGCGCAACCAGGCCGGGGAACCGATTCGGTGGAGCCGATCCAAGGCCGATCCGCAGCGGCGGCCGATGGTCGTGGCCGTGGTTGGTTGCTAGGCTGCTCTGGCTCTGGGCCAGTGGCATCTGGGTGTCCCGCAGGCAGACGAGGCCGAGTCTCGCGCGCCGTGCCAGAATCAGCAGCGCTGTTCGAGCCCATGCGCTGGCAAAAGTTCATATGGACATCCCCGTTCGCGCCGCATGTGTCCACCCAGATTGGGCCATATACCGGCCCATCGACGCTGGGAAAGAGAGCAGCCGGCGCAGAATCGCTGGCTGGCGCCGGAATCACGGGAATCGCCGTGCTCCGGACGAGATGGGCACGCGGTGGGTTGAGAGAGCTGTGCCGGCGCTCGGCCCACCGGTGCTCCTCTTCGATCATATAAAGGTTCCGGTCATCCAGAACGAGGCTTCTCAGTCGGGGGTGTGCGCCTTGGCGGAGTCCGTAGAAATCAAGGTCCGGCCCGACCATGCGTCGGATAACTCGTGGACCAGCGGTAGCTGCCACGAGTGATAAGACTGATGGCCCCCTTTGCGCTTCCGGATGGGGGCCAGGTGCCTCTGGGGTCTTCATCGTGTTAGCATCTGGACTGTTCTGCCCGCCCCAAAGGCCGGTGGTCAGGGCCGACGCCGATGTCGACGAATGGATTGGTCGTTCATTCCCTCTTGGGTCTTCAGAGGGCCGGTATGGGCTGGGCGAGGAAATGTCCCATATGGCCAACTGCTCGACGGGGTCTTCCTGGTAGAGTGAGCGATCAGATTTGGACTGCCAAAAATACACAGCATAGTGGGTTGCCGTGTGCACCGAAAAGAAACGGTCGGAGCCGCCATCCGGCCAGCCGAGGAAGCGCAGACTGTGCAGCTTCCACTCGGACCGAAACTCGACCGTCCACCTCTGGCAAGAAGCAGCGCCGGAGGCGTTGCGGATGACGTCGAAGGCCGTCGCGAAGTGGCGATGCGGGATTTCCGGACCCCAAGGATTCACTGGTTGATACGGCTTCGCATCGGCCCATTCGAATATGAGCACGCCTTGCGCCAACCGGACTCGACGGATGTGCTTGGCATGCACGTCGAAGGGCACAGGGACTCGCTGTCCCGTGGACACGTCGAGGATGTGATAGAATTGCTTCTCTCTCCTTTTCGACGGCGCAGCAGGGTCGGTATCGACGGCAGCCGGATAGACTAGCACCCCGTCTTCCTGGCTGTACGACCAGACCGGGTCCGGGTAATGGTAGCTGGACGTTTGATTGTTGTAGCGCAGAAACCGAGTCCAGGGCGCTACCGCCCAGAATGAAACCCCGGAATCCTTTCCCCGCGTCTTGACATAGAGCTGGAGCTTCTCAATGACACGAGGCTTTGCTTGGGCTAAGTGGAAGTACCGGCGTGCCACCTCGGCAAAGGCCGCCGCCCAATCGTACGATTGCTCGGCGATCTCAACCAACTCGGCCTTTACGTTTCTGGGCAAAGCTACTAACGATGATGAACTTGACGCTGCTGCTGATTTTAGGCGAAGTTCCCGGCACAGCGGGAAATTCCAGCGCAGAAGTAGCTGCGAGGTATGCTCGCTCGTGAAGGCATCGCGCCATCGGCGGGAAACGGCGCGGCATCGCACGCACGTTCGTGGCGGGAGGTACAAAATGATGTGAAGAAAGATGTCATATGGCAGTTCAACGATATCCGTCATCTTGCCTGGGTCCGTTTGAATTTGGTGTGGGAGATTGCGCTTGCTGAGGATGCGGGCTAGTGGGAAGCGTTGAGCAGGTAGGTGAAGCAAAGTAAGCCGATTGAATGAACGCTGGTGTGGTGGCGGACATTCTTATAAGTTATGCTCTTCGTGCCGCTCAGTGTCTCGGCGGCGGTCGGACCACCACATCGCACAGTGCGTAAACAACTTACAATAGGTGTAAACCAAATCTGGAGCAGTCTGAACTGCGATCTTGTTACGATCCAATAGGACGCGTGTATAGATGGCTCGGTGCCCATCTTGAAGCAAAGAAGTTCGTCATTAGACATCGGATGGCGATGCGAGAGTGGCGAGCTCGCCACCCTAACCCTGTAACACTCAACAACTTCCATTGTATGTATCCATCCATACTAGTACCCGGATAACTGGGGGACATGCTCTTCTGCCTACCAAGTGTTGGTACATAAAATACCTAATACCCTTATGCAATTTCGCCTCCTCGATGCTGCATGCCCTGGCTACCCTGCTGCGGACTCAAATGGATGTCATGCCGCGACTCTCCGTGTCCTATTGCCAACTGCCAACCACAGAAGACTGCGAACGGAAATCGAATAATAGCCGAAACTCCATTTACGGTAAATAACGTTACCGAGACTACGTACAGTACGATCATATTGTAGGCCATCGATGCCTTTCTCCGGCTTCAGTGCAAGCTTCAAGTTGGCCTCAAGTCAGCTGGTTTCCATCTTCCCAGGTTCCCGCGCATTAACGAATAGCAGCTGCTTAACATAGTATGCATACTAGTACGAAAACAGCGAGGCATTTCGGATATAACGGACACTACAGTATGGATAAGCCGGGCCCATGGTCGCCGCCAGGGACTGAACCAAGATGCAGCCTAGAGATAACAACCTGAACATTAGCTAGGTAGGTAGGACATGACAGACAAGACGTCTCACTTTCCCGTTTGTTCTCCCCACAACCATCGCCTGCTGATAAAGTTGTATAGGCGGTCCAGCTGACAGCAGCGAATGGACTGACGTCTCACGGTGCTAGGTCAATCTCCAGTAGCATGGGTTTAGAAGCCTTTTATGTATTAGGTAATATCTTCTGAAACTGCAGTTCCCAGCGTTGGATCAGCCATGAGAGTCAAGCTTTTTCAGCTGGGTCCAACGGGGAGGTCCCGGGTCCCCCGCGACCCGACCCCGCGGCCCCAGCAGGCCTTTCGAGCCGTCTCTTATTCGTGCGTCGTCCGCCTCCCTCTGCTCACCCCAGGATTTCTCCTGTCCTCTTGGCAAAAGCCAAGCATCCAGTCCGTCTCGCCTTGGCATATGCAAACTCCGAGCTTCATCGACCACGATCTCTTGGCTTTTCTGCCTTTGTTGACCCGGTCTTCGAGACTCCTTCTTGCGATCCGGACCCGGGGTCGGCCGCCTGCAGCGCAGTCCCTGATCACGCTGTCGCGTGGCCCAGCGACGCCGACGCCCACGCCCACGCCCAACACTCTACCGCGGCTGCCCAACCCTCCCCGAAGACGCGGCTTCCCGAGCGCCTTAAACACGTGTTTGCACTTCCCGCCGCCGTTTGTCTGCCGAGGTAGCAAGCATAGATGGGCTTTTCCAAGAAGCCAGCCGATAACCGCGCCGCCGACCCTGCCCCTGCGTCCGCGTCAGCCTCCGAGGACCCGTCGCCATCGAGCAACCTCTCTTTCCTTTCGCGCTTCAGTCTGCCACTCCGGTCGCGCACCCGCTACATCGCCGACTTCCACATCCGGCCGGCCGAGCCTCACCGCAAGTATGGCGCCGGCGACCAGGTGCAGGGAGCCGTGATCCTGACCGTTGTCAAGCCGGTCCGAATCACCCACCTGGTCGTGTCCCTGCACGGCTACATGCGCGTCTTCAAAAACCCCGCCATCGCAGCCAGCGAGCCCGTGATCGATCCGGCCGACGTCCCGGCCCTCCCGAGCCGCAGTTCGCGTCAGAAAAGTCATGGTAACGGCTGTGTGAGGCTGTTCCAGGATGAACAGACGCTTAGCGGCGACGGGAGGCTGGAACCGGGCAGATACGAGTTTAACTTTAACCTCCTCTTCCCTACCGACCGCCTGCCGAGTAGCATAGATGTAGGTGGCGTGCTTAGAACCGTCGCTCCTCACTGCTAGACTTGCCTGCTCACCTCTGTTTGCCCCCTAGTTTGAACGCGGGACCATCTCATACATGATTACGGCGACCCTAACCCGGCCAGCATCGATAGGGACCAAAGGCACGCCCAAGACAAGCTGTGAACGGAAAGTCTACCTTGTCGAAAAGGTCGACGTTGGGCCCCTAACTCCGCCAAGGCCGCGGACAATCTACCTCGAGCCCATCTCGAAACGTGCCAAGAAGAAAAAGCCGCCCATCGCCAGCCCGGAGAAGGGACCCGTCGGAGCCGATGCAGCGATATCTGCCTCGGATCAGGATTCCACGCGAGCGAATGAAAACTCCACCGAGGGTTCGCTGTCCGTCATTGGCGAGGACTTGGAGCACGAGCCGACGGGCCACAACCCTCGCAGCCCTCGGCAGAGCGATGTCCGGAGCATCAGCAGCGACAGCGCCGGCAGTGGTAGTACTGGTCGGAGCAGGCCCAGCGACGGACATGTCGTACTAGCCACGACGGCCTCGTCAGGCGGGAAGAATGGGCGGGCAGTGAGGGAGCGGACCATTACGGCCACGGTTGAGCTGCTCAAAGGAGGCTGTCTCCAGGGAGATGTGCTGCCCATCAAGATATCGGTGCAGCATATCAGGCGGATAAAGAGTCTGCATGGCGTCATCGTGACCTTTTACAGACTGGGGCGCATCGACTCATCGCCCCCCTTGCTTACCAAGGATTTGCCAGAGGCCGAGGCCCGGCGGCTGGAGAAGGAGGAATATTACCCCAAGTCCAAGACCGGGCTCGGCGGGCTCTCGCTGTCGTCGGCGGGCTCCTGCAGCGTATTCCGCAAGGATCTGTCTCAGGCCTTCGCCCCGCTCATCATCGACCCGGACACTTTGACTGCCAACCTCACGACATCGGTGCGGGTACCCGAAGATGTCTTCCCCACCATCAAGGGCGTGCCGTACGAGATGATCTCCTTCCGATACCATATCGAGGTGATCGTAGACCTCGGGGGCAAGCTGGCCTATCAGATCCAAAGCGGCAAGCCGTCTGGGGCAAGGGTGAGCCCGGTTGCCGGGCCGCTCGGCGTGACTGGCAGCTCTTACGATGCGAGCGCGAGCTCGTTGACGTCGTGGGGCACGAGCATAATCGATACGGACCGGCTCAGGCGGCAGAAGGGGGTCATCTGCGTCGTGTTCGAGGTTGTCGTTGGAACCACGGACAGCAGCCGGTTACGCGGCAAACGGCCGATGAAACCTGAGCCTACTGTCTACACCGTGCCGGTCCACGAAGCCGAGGTGTACGACGGCGGCAGGAGCGAGAAACAGCCATGGCCGACCTCTCCTCACGGTGAGAATGGCTACGCTCCAGGCGAGTACTCCCAGGATTATGCACCCTCCTCCCATACCCACGCTCCTCCTCCGCCGCCTCAGCCTTACGGCTACTGGAGCGGCGCTTCTCCGCAGCCTCCATCCGCGCCACACTACATCCCGCCACCAGAGTTGCCGGACGAGAGCACCCTCACGGAAAAGGAGCGCGTCCGGCGTGCCGAGCAGCGGTTACTCCCGAGTGAGCCGCCGCCCGAACCGCCCATCGCGGGGCCCTCTAACGCGTATTTCCACAACGGCGAGAACATCTACGACGCCGACGACCAACCACCACCGCCGCTAGCACCAGCCCCACTACCTCAATCCCATCCCGAGGAAGATGCGCCCTCCGCCCCGACGCTAGAAGATCTCTCCCAGGCCCACCCCGTCGTAGAAGACAAACAGGAGCTCGAAAGAAGACGGCTCCTGGCCGAGGCCAGCGCGCCGCCAGAGTTCCCGGAGGACTACGATCATACCGCTGCTGGACCGAGCAGCAATAGCCCGCCGGGCGCCGCGCCGCCACTGCCGCCGCCACCGCCAAGGCCAGTAGGCCCGAGCGCCCCGGCCATGGCCGAGCTGGATTTTGAGCCCTCGGCGCCGGTGCTGCTGGAGGATGAGGACGTCTACGGCCCGCATTATGCCTATGGCACGGCGGGGCCTGAGACGTCGGTGGCTTCGTCGGCGCGGGCTGGCGGGCCGCTGGGAGGAGGGGCGGGGTCTCTGGAGCCCTTGCCCAGGTATGAGCGGTGATCTTTTTTTTTTTTTTTTTTTTTGGTCTGCGGTTTGCTTTTGGGTATATTACATCACTACTAGTAGGTAGATAGGTATGTATCTATGCTGGGCAAGGAGTTTGGGCGGGGGAGGATGTATGTTCCTGGTTTGGTGGGAAGACAGGCAGATGGAGATTGGCTATATCACTATGAAACCAGGAGATGGTGGCTGAGGAGTGACGGCTTGACGATAGTGTATATCACCATATATAATAACCAATGGGCTGGGGAGTCTTTTGCGAGGATGAAAAAACATCCCTCTGCTCTGTTCAACCAAGCATGCGCATCGGGTGGCAATTTGTCATTTAACTATCTTGGAAGGGGAACGGAAATTAGGGAAGAGCAATACATCTACCTCACGTATTCTAGCTTCAGGATATCTCTGGCCTCTGAAGGAGGGTATCTCTTCTCTGGTATCTGCTCAGACCAAAAAAGCAACGGGCGATGCTAATAAGGTTCAAGGTGTGCTCTCTGATCGAGCTTCTGTGACAAGCGAGAGGTTGACCCGTATCCACAACCGAAACTTCATATCCCGTATGCTTGGATAACGCCTGTCCTCGCTATTCCCATTTTGCTCCCTTTTTGGTTTTTGCTTGACACTCTTGTCCTGACCTGTCCGGTCCCAAGGACCGTATGGTACCCCCTGGCCAAGCTCTGATTTTAAACGAAAGTACGCCGTGGTATCTAGTAGTCGAAGGCGAAACCCCTCGGGGAAAAAAAAAGAAAGAAAAAAAAAAGAAAAAAAAAAGGAAAAGCGGAAAAGGGAGCCACGGAAGGAGAATGAATGACCTCCAATTTCACAGACGTCCCTAACACTAGAGTCACGCCCGCGTCGCGTTCAAGTCCATCGAGCAAACTCCCGAGCCGCCGTTCTACCCCCTTCCAGCTCCCCTATCGGGCCCCGACGGCCCGGTGCCCGAGCCGGCACAGGCGGCGGGGAGGAAGACACAGGTCGGGCGCCAACGGGACCCATACCATTGCCATCCACCTCGGCTCTCTCCGGCCGGTGGGTTGCCAGGTTCTTAGGCGTCGTCCCCTGCACCTCTGCAATGTCTGTTTCGTGCTGGTGGTGGTGGTGCTGGTGGTCCTCCTTCTTCCCCCCGACCATGAACCCGAACCCCGGTGAGGTAGGAGACGGCGTGCCGACGAGGGTCGTATAGCCGGAGCCGTTCCTCTGGTGCTGGTTGGGCCGGGTCTGAGCACCGGTCTGGTTTACGCTCAGGTAGCCGTTCTCGTTTCCGTTATATTGCTGCCGGGATATTACTGACGCCGGCAGCTCGAACTGTGCTGCGTGGTGCGCTGGGGTGGTAGTTGCGAAATGGGGGAGTATTTGTGGTATTGTGGGCTGTCGCATGTCGAACATCCGGTCTTCGTCATAGTGGGGAACTTGGTAAGCGTCCGGGGACGGAGGCGGTTCGGGAGAGTGGTGGTGACGACCGCGGAGGCGGCGCCGGATGGAGAGGATCACGAAGGCGGCGAGAAGAAGACCGAGGACGCTGGCGCCTGCTGTGATGCCTGCTATGGCTCCGGTCGAGAGGGTTTGAGATGGGTGTGGTTGAGGGGTGGTCGAAGCTGATGAGGTGGGCGTTGGTGTGGTCGACGATGCCGGCGCTGGGGGGATGAGACTGGCTGTTGTGGTGAGGGTCACAACGGATGGTGCGTGGGAGGTGACTGTGAAAGTAGATGTTATGTCCACGGTCGTCTGGGCGTTGAGGACTCTGTCAGTTTATTAGCAATGGTGAGGATCTTGCGGTAACCTGGAAAATGTATAATCTACTACTACCTACAGTGTCGTTGTTTGATAAGCCGTGGTCACAACAGTTGAAGTCGTCTGCGTCGTGATTATAGTAGAGGATATGCTCGTAACGTCGGCGGTCTGAGTGACATACTCCGTAACCGTCGGGGTTCCCGGTGCTTGTCTGGGGACAGGGCCAGCATGAACGCTAACACTAACACCATTCGACAACGCGCTCCTGGCAGGTTTTACCGCGAAGGCACTTGTGGCTAGAGAAACTAGATTCGAGTTTTGAGGTGTGGTAACGGCCCTCTTCACAACTGCGGTCGCTGTTGCTGTCACCCAGACGATGTTTGTCTGTGTTGCTGCACTCGAGACAGTGACTTCGACCGTCGAGACAACGGTGGACCGTTCAATCACAGCTACCACAACGGTGGCCCTCTGCGTTGCAATTCGGGTGACGGTCTGGATGATAGTGGATGTCACGGTCACGGGTTCCCTTTTTGGCCTGTCAACCTGTCGTTCCACAAGAGCCAGAGATGAGCTCCAACGTGTGGAAACTTACACGGGGGCCACCGAGGAGGCCGACGGGACTGCGGGTGCTGAGGAGATGGAAACAGTCGAGGATACAGAAGGAACTGCCGATACTGTGCTGACTGAGGCGACCGAGGTGATCGAGGCGATCGAGGTGGCCGAGGTATCCGAAGAGATACCGGTAGAGGAGACACATTTCCCCTGGCTGCAGGTTTGATCGCTTGAACAGCAACCTGATCCGCAACAGATCTCTCCACTCCCGCAGCAAAACTTCCCCTCAACACAGCAGTTCCCGCAGCCAGGGCAGTAGTCCACATCGTTGCCGAAGCAGTAGTTGGAGCCGTTGGCTAGGCAGTCTCTCCTCGACACGTCCAAGATGCGATCCTGCAAGCCGTACAGCGGCTTCGTGCCGCGGACAGGAACTGTCCATATGCTGTAGCAGCCAATGTCTGCAAGGGAGCGGCTACGCCCTGTCTCCGATCGGCTGCCCGGAACGCACAAGGCTCGACAGACAGCAAACCATAGGATCGCGGTGGTGAAAGCGGCTAGTCGGCTCCAGACAGAAGTCATCGCGGAACCGGGTCATGATGCAACACGACGAGGAAAGGAGGAGACGTGAAGGGGACGCCCGAGTACCATTGCGACCACCCGATGCGGTGCGCCTCGAGGACATGCTTCCCAGTTATAGTTCACTGCTCTCATCGCGTCTGTCTGACGACAACAAATAGAGGGCCAAGCACGTGTGGCGGGCGTACAGGCCACCGGCATCCACAGTACAGTACACCGACTTCTCAGCTGCCGGCCAGGAAACGCGGGCACCACTGCGGGACTACAGCACAGCCAATGAAGCGCGGTCGAGTGGGTGACGAAGAGGCGTCTGTCACCTAAACCGAACTTAAAACCCACGACTCAGTTCGATGCAAGCCATCGGATAGACTAGTCCTCGCAGCCGTGGAACCACAGCAGCATTTGACTGATTTGCGGCGGAAGGCAGTGCAACCCATTCTGGCAACGGGAAACAATCGTACCGGACTCTGCCACTGCGGCTGGCAACCTTCTTGTTGGTAGGCTTGACTCGTGTCCTGAGGGCAGGTCGGAAGTCTGGACCTGGCGATTTCCAGAACTTCAGATGCCCTGCAGAACTCGGGAAGACCTAGAAACAGGTAAGATGCAGTTGTTGTTGAGGGGGATCTCGGCACCGACAGCAAATGTCCGATGCATTATGATTGGTTGATCTTAGCGACTCGGGCCCGCTAAGTGGATTGGATGAGGTGTCGTGGGTGCGTGGGTGTCACACACAGAGAACAGCCCATGAAAGAACACCAACCACTAGGAACAGTACATCAGGGGTTGAACCTTGAAATGTCATCACCACGGTGTATTTTACTTTTGGTTGAAGTAAGGTGTCCTACCTATACAAAGACATAATAATACTTTCACAAATTGCTAGGCTCTAAAACTGTCAACCAGCGGCCTGGGGGTTTAAGGTTGCCCTAAATCATCTTGTATTGTACTAGTAGTCATTAAACTGCGTTTCACTGTATAGCATAGTAAAACATATTGAGCACCATCACTCCTGGAAGCTTCTGATAATTCCAAGCTCTGCCTGGTCCATTGGTAACCTGTACAGGAGTGTTTGTTGACGACAACATGTGAGCTACTAGAACTTTGGAAGTTTGTATTGAAGTCTAAGTATTGATAAGATAACGCTGTGTGGGGTGGGTGTGTGTCGAGTCCCGCGCCATTGTGCAAAGCATCGAGCTAGCTTCAAGGATTCAAAGCCTTCCTTTACGAGAACTGCACCCAAAGACGGCGCCGCCATGGACATTGACGACATCCTGCGAGATGTCGACCCGACATTTCACATCATACCGCAAGAAAAAAGCGATCTCCAAGAACTGACGCGTGCATGGATCGCAGAAAGATCTGCTCCCGAGCTCCTTCCGTACGAGATCCCGCCCTACACGCTATGACCGTGACCTAGATGCATTTTCGCTTGTCTCATTACCTTAGTACTGCTTCCTTACTCTCACTAACGCACAAACACAGCTGGCCCGCGAACGGCCTCTTCGAGCGCATCAACAGCAGCATCAAGCGGCAGATCGAGAAAGTCGAAGAAATGACGGGCGACATGGACCCGAAAACCAACTTCGCCCTCATCGTCATCCAGACCGAACTCGAGCGCTACCGCTACCTCGTGCGCAGCTACCTGCGCGCCCGGATCGCGAAGATCGACAGGCACACTCTGCACTACCTGTCCACCGACGAGCTGCGAGCGCGCCTGTCGGAGATGGAGCTGGCCTATGCCACCCGCCACCAGGCCCTGCTGCACAACCATTACCTGTCCTCCTTCCTGTCCTCCTTCCCGCCGAACCTGCAGAACCTGAACGACACGTCCGTGGGGCTCAACATGATCGACGCGCCGGACCTGGAGTCCGCCGTGTTTATTCGGCTACTGAAAAATGCGGTTGTGAAGGGGCGCGGCGTGGATGCGGATGACGTCTTCGACGCGAGGGAGAGCGACATCGTCATATTGCGATGGGCGGATGCGAAGCCGCTCGTTGAGGCTGGAAGTGCAGAGCTGGTCTGAGTTTGAATGAAGTGCAACTCCAGGTGCAGAAATGCACAACAAGATCGAACGTCCAAGAGCGGTTACCATACCCGAAGCACATCAGATGTCGGTGTGGGTCAATTTGGCTCCGCACTCGAATACCGCGACCAGTGTGTACGGAGTATGCTGGATTCAACCTCAAGGATCATCAGTCCTCCCAGGCTGAGGGGCTCTGGCACCACTCTACGATTGTCCAGGCCGAACGCACTTTCAGAGAGCCGGAACGTGGAAGAGAAAGTCTCGCCAATGCACTCCTCACAGGTTCGGCTGCTCCAGCTTCCCGAGAAAGAAGCCCACCATGCCGTGTATATCATCGTGACGGGCCGCCGAAGGAGTAGGCCCGCAACGTGGCATACACCTACATCTGCAGCGCCATGCAGCCATGTCTTCCCCGGACTTGGCCCTTGCGGCATCGGTAAGCCGAGCCTCACGGTGTCGGCGCCGCACTACGTGCCACGGTTCAGCAAAGGAGCTGTCGTAGAAGGCGCAGCTTCACTGTCTTGTCTGCCGCTATCGCGCGACGCATCTGACGAGCCGTACACAGGCAGACTGGACAATATACTGGGCGCTCGGTCCTAACGAGGCGAATTCGAACGCAAAGGCCGCACATAGGACGGGGCATCAACGTTATACCTCCCACCACCGGCTCGGCCCGGATTTTGAACGTGGTCGGCATCCAAGAAATGACCGGGCATGGTTCTCCGTTGTGGAGTCAAGAAAAGCCGATCGGTAAGATGGCAACATGGGCCCATCGTGGACGAAGTGGAGTGTTGAGGCTGTTCTCCGCTTTCTGTTGCCGTGGCATGTGATTTATTTTTATCCTACACTACCACTTGCCTACGAGTCCCATCGCATTGATGGTGCTGCGGTGTTTGGAAATTTCTGTCGCCTTCTTCTTTGCTTTTCCTTGTTTCCGTCCGAAGTACACAGTGCAGGACGAAAGGGAGACATGGTCTCCCTTGAGTGCCACTCAAGGATAAGGTTGGTGTTGCTAGGGCCCAAAGAACGTTCGAGAGAGATGATTGGCACACGCAGCCTCACATTCAACCTCTCCCTCGTATCGGGTGCCAGTAGGTAGGCTTTTCTGTCTGCCTTTCCAGCTGTATTGAGCAAAAAAAGATCGAACATAACGGAACATACCTAATACGGTAGTGACCGTAGCGTACTGTCGTCTGAGCGTTAGGTGACGTGGACGGCTACAGCTCCGTCAACATCAGCTGCAAAAATCAAGTCCGTTGTCAAGTGATGAGATGGATTGGTGTTAGCGGCTCGGCGCGAACCAGGGCCAGTCGGCTTCCCTAGCTTGGAGCCTCTCACCAATGACTTCACGGGAAAAGCAGCCACCTAAATTTTCACCCACGACTGTGCGATCCTTGGCAGCTTGGGTTCGCAGAGTCACATTGCATCGAGAGAGAGAGTCTCTGGGAACGGAAACTCGTAGTGTACAATTCAGTTTAAATACGGAATAAAGCATGAGTGTTTTCAACGCCTTCTCGAGCGCAAATGTCCGCTGGTCTGAAAGCACCTGCGCCTTTCCGTCCGGCGTCCGCCCTGCTTGCCAAAAAGTCGCTTCTACCCCGGCACATGTTTACGCGAACTGCTGCATCCTGATTGGTGCCCAGAGTCGCCGGACGGCTAGATCGGGCAATGCATGACTGGGCTGACTTGGCTTGCAGTCGCAATTTTAATCTGTTTCCCTCGCAACGAGTCGCCGAGCAACTCTCGTCACGAACCGTCACGTAGCACTTGTGTTTCGTGTAGAATGGGAAGAAAAACCGATAGCAGAGAGAGGGCGGGCAAAGGGAGGAGGAGGAGCAGGATCGCAACACGAGACTCGCCTCCCCCTTAGGTGACTCCCTTGACTCGCCGGCCTTTTGCCAGTTTTCCTACCTACCCATTGCCGTGTGCCGCGAACGGGAGGGAGTCGGAGCATTAACCCCCCTCGCGTTAAGGAAGTGGGGACATACAGTATGGCACAGTTTGATGGTACGGCTGGGGCAGCATGCCGAGCATGCCAGCTTTCGCAGGCTGCAGATCCGAGTGGAGGAACTGTTCTCCCATCGCTCACTGGGCAGCCAGAATCGCGCCGTCGAGCTGCAGCTCTGATGAGTGGCGCCCGGCGTTGATATTAAAGAATGCCCAGCCCGCGTCGCAGAGAGGAATTCAGATTCCTCCTCGTCTTGTTTTGGTCCAGCTAACCTCGACGCTCGCTGTCCTTGTCCTCGTTCATATTGTATTGTATAGTACTACACTCGTTGAAGCAGTACTTGCTCCTACACCTGCTCACTTAATAGCTGTAATATCATCACACCATCCAAGATGCGTTTCACCTCGATCGTCGCCGCCGGCGCCTTCGCCCTCTTCGCGAACGCTCAGTCAACAACCTCGGTCAGCAGTGCCGCGTCCACCACTATCGATGCCGCCCAGGCTTCCCAGAGCGCCCTGCAGGCCGAGATGATCAAGTGCATCGAGGCCTGCACACCCGGCGACGTGGCTTGCACTTCCAAGTGCATTGCCGTCCCCAACCCCAGTGACTCTCAGGTATGGCTCCCCCCCCCCCCCCCCCCCCAAAAAGAAACCATCTGCCGCCGCCCACAGTTCCGATCCCAACCACGAGAACCACGCCACCAAACCCAATTACAAGACGTGTGAGCCTACAACTAACAATTGCGTCCCCCAAGGTCAACAACACCAACAACTGCGTGGGCAACTGCCCCAAGGGCAACGGCACCGAGCCCGAGGTGGCCGCCTACCAGAAGTGCGTTCAGGACTGCATCAACTCCAACTACTTCACCGCAACCGCCGGTACCCCGTCGCCCACTGGTTCCTCGGGTAGCGACAACAACAACAATAACAACAACAATGACGGCAACAACAACGGTGACGGGTCGTCTTCTGGCAGCGGCAGCGGCAACGGCAACACCAACCCGTCCGGCACCAGCGGCAACGGTGCCTCGGGGACTGAGTCTGGCGCTGCTGCTACTTCTTCGACTGGTGCCGCTTCGCAGCTGATGCAGGTCTCCGGGAGTGCGGTGGGCATCCTCGGTTTCTTGGCTGCTGTTATGGCGCTCTGAGATAGTGAACTTCTGGGGGTCTGAAGACATGAGTGAGGGTGAAGGTGAATGGTGTTGGGTTCTGGGTTCGGAGTGTGGGTTAAGGTGTTGGGTGGAGGGATGTAATGGCTTTTGGGGATGAGCAATGGCTTGGGTACGGTAGCTAGGGTGGTTACTGTATAATGCAGGTTATAAACGATGCGTGTTGCGTTTCCTCCGCTAGTCAAATTGTGTCTTTGGGTGAAGGTTGAACGGTGAACTGAAACTAGGATTGGATATTGCTATGACCCCCGAGGCTTCACCGGCTCGATGTCGGTTACCCACGGCAGGTTGAGCTGCTTCATTTCGACTGCAAGTTGGAATAGGTAGTCGAGGCTGATTCAACGTTAGCAGGAGCTTCGACCTTCGGGGCTGAGGAGAATGCGCTCACCTCTCGCACTGCGTCTTTGCTTTGTGCACATTGTCGCCCCAGACGTAGACGCCATGCCTCCTGACCAGCACCGCATAAGTATCGGGGTACTTGTCCATCGCCTCCTCGAGGAACTCAGTCAGGTCTTCCTCGTGCGCGGTATTCTCGATAACAGGGATCACCAGCGTGTCATGGTACCCCAGGTTGCCGCTCTTCTCGAATCCTCTCCCAAAACCCTTGATCTGCTCGATATTGTTGATGCGGAACTCGCGGTCTTTGCCGGGGCCCTGTGTCTCCAAGATCAGGGTCACCAACACCGCCCAGTGCGAATGCGTATGGATGCAGCAGCCGGCCCCCCGCTTCGTGAAGGCAGCCAGGAAGAGCGGCGTGCACTGGCTCGGCTTGTAGTTGGGCGGACTGCGCAGGTAGACACGGTTGCGCCTGTCGAGGGATTGCGCTTGCGCAGCTAGTGACAACACGTAGATGTCGGATGGCTTCATCAACTCCTTCTGTACGCCTGACGGCGCAATGTAGACCAGGTCACTGTTGACGGCGCGTGGTTAATCATCTTCTCCCATCCGCGGTCGTGATAGTGGGGCAGGGAGGGGTCCAAAGTTGATAAGTTCGAGACACATACTCTTCGCGGATCGAGGCCCCTCCTCCAGTGCCTGTGACCCAACCTAGCGTCCAGAACTTTGCACATAGTGATGGAATCAGGTTTGCCGGATGGTCAGGGTTGTCGGACTGGACCAGATGGTCATTGTTATCGGCCGGTTGGCCGTTGGACGGCGTGGTCATCTTTGGCCTCTGGCCGAGGTTTGTTGGCGGCGTGATCGAGATATACGGCTCTGGCGTTCCACAAGAAGAGACAGCCAAGGATGTGTATTTCCCGTCCAAGCACTGTCTTATCGGGATTTTTGATGCGCCGGCAGTATCAAGTTGCAGATGAGGCAATTTGGGGCTAAATGGACGAAAAAGCCGTGGTTCACAAGCAGGTGGTTCTTGAACAACCGGACCCTTGTCTCTACCCTAGACACTCCAACTTTCTCTAACTGCCCGTAATGCTCACAATCATAGGATATCCGTCAAGGTTTAGAATTGCAAGGTGTCTGCAATGCCTTTTGGTGTTGAAAATGCCAATTGGCGTGTAACTGCTGCATATGTATGCTATTCTACCTAGTACTACTGGAGTAGTACCATACACCGTCATTTACCTATTCAAGCAATCTCTAGTAGGTAATCTGATCGCCCTATGTGAGACTCCCAACCTAGAAGTCCCGATTCTTTGCCGGCACTCTTTGGAACAACACTGGAGACAACACGGAGCGGCAAATGCTAGACCCCATGTGAAACGGACAGGGAAGCTGAGTAAGCGCCTCGCGGCCTTCTGGGAGGGAATTGAAAGCCTCTAACAAAGACATTCAGAAAAGTGGTGGTGGTTTGAACTGAGTGAGGTCTGCTGTTGACTCTGCATGAAGGCTCAGGCTGTCCAATAATGGAAGGTTCCAAGGTGTTCTATGTAACATGGGCTGTTCAGGCTAGGCACTCGGGCCAACCACCCGGCCCCCTTGCTGCCCCCGCAGTTCCGAGGCAGCGCTCAGCTGCCGGCCTAGGATGGAAGCTCAGGAGCTCAGCATTTCTGTTAAAGACACGTTGTCAGAAATCGCCTGCCCGAGCTTCAAATTCACCACACCAGCTGTCTGCAACGCGCTCGGTGATTTTCTCCTTTCTTCGAGCTCTGGGAGCGACATCCATTGACCTACCCAATTGTGTCGTCTGTCTCTATAGACGGTTCCTTTCTCCATTGACCGACCCTCCCGTCGGTGTGTGCGTATTGCTCCAGTCGGCCCACTCGCTGAGTCGCTTGAGATAGCACTCGGCGCTGCAAAATGAGGTTCAACGTCGCTGCTGCCGCCGCCAGTGCAGCCCTTTTGGTTGGTGGCGTGAACGCCGAGGATCAGAAGGTGCTCAAGGACGAGAGCTCGTCCAGCTCGGTCGCCGAGTCTGCCACCCAGAGTGCCCCGGAGCTCCCAACCTTCACCGTGAGTATCTACCGAGCTCCGATGAAGCTGCCCCCCGCATATTTCCGTCGCAGGCAACTCGGGTGCCATTCGTCATTGGAATTTACGTTGGAGAGTCACATGCTGACGCATTGGTGCAGCCGACTAAGCTCAAGGCCCCGTTCCTCGAGCAATTCACCGACGATTGGGAACAGCGATGGAAGCCCTCGCATGCCAAGAAGGATACCAAGGGCAGTGACGAGGAGTGGGCGTACGTGGGAGAATGGTCAGTTGAGGAGCCCACAACCTACAAGGGTATGGAGGGCGACAAAGGCCTTGTGGTCAAGAATGCCGCCGCCCATCACGCCATCTCTGCCAAGTTCCCCAAGAAGATTGACCCGAAGGGCAAGACCCTGGTGGTTCAATATGAGGTCAAGCTGCAGAGTAAGTCTCTGTCGTAGTGTTCACTTGCATTTCCCCATGGCTAACTCGTTGGCTCGCAGACGGCCTGGAGTGCGGTGGTGCTTACATGAAGCTGCTGCGGGATACCAAGGCCCTTCACCAGGACGAGTTCTCCAACACAACTCCCTACGTCATCATGTTTGGTCCCGACAAGTGCGGCCACACCAACAAGGTCCACTTTATCTTCAACCACAAGAACCCGAAGACGGGCGAGTACGAGGAGAAGCACCTGACGTCTCCTCCCACCGCCAAGATCGTCAAGACCACGGAGCTCTACACGCTCATCGTGCACCCTAACAACACCTACATCATCCAGCAGAACGGCGAGCAGGTCAAGGAGGGCAGCCTGCTTGAGGACTTCAACCCTGCCGTCAACCCTCCCAAGGAGATCGATGACCCCAAGGACAAGAAGCCTGACGACTGGGTTGACGAAGCCCGGATCCCTGACCCCGACGCGAAGAAGCCCGACGACTGGGATGAGGATGCCCCGTACGAGATTGTTGACGAGGAGGCTACTATGCCGGAGGACTGGCTTGTTGATGAGCCGCAATTCATTCCTGACCCCGAGGCTCAGAAGCCCGAGGACTGGGATGACGAGGAGGACGGCGACTGGGTCCCTCCCACTGTTGCCAACCCCAAGTGCGCCGAGGTCTCTGGCTGTGGCCCGTGGACCAAGCCCATGAAAAAGAACCCCGACTACAAGGGCAAGTGGACTGCGCCGTACATTGACAACCCGGCCTACAAGGGTCCCTGGGCTCCCCGCAAGATCAAGAACCCCGACTACTTCGAGGACAAGAACCCGGCCAACTTCGAGCCCATGGGCGCGGTGAGTTTTCTTGCTTCAGCTTGTAGTTGAGCTGTCACTGACATGTTGCTAGATTGGCTTTGAGATCTGGACCATGCAGAACAACATTCTCTTTGACAACATCTACGTCGGTCACTCCGTCGAGGAGGCCAAGAAGTTTGCCGAAGAGACCTTCTTCAAGAAGCACCCCGTTGAGAAGGCTGCCGAGGAGGCCGACAAGCCCAAGGCTGACGACACTCCCAAGTCGCCTAGCGACCTCAAGTTCCTTGATGACCCCAAGACGTACATCCTGGAGAAGTTCGATCTCTTCCTCACCATTGCCAAGAAGGATCCCATTGAGGCGATCAAGTTCGTGCCTGAGATTGCTGGTGGTCTCGCCGCTCTTTTCGTTACCGTCGTCGCCCTCCTCGTCGGTCTCATCGGCCTTGGTTCCTCTCCCGCACCGGCGGCCAAGAAGGTTGCTGCTGATGCGAAGGAGAAGGCCAAGGAGGTGAAGGACAAGGCTGCGTCGGCCGCGGCGTCTGGTGTTGACACTGCCAAGGAGGCTACCAAGCGTGCCACCCGAAGCCAGTCGTAGATGGCGCGGTGCGTTCGGGGAGAGGGCCATTTATTCTGTGTTTTGAACGAACACAGGCTTCACCCGCGTCTAGCCTACTCGGGCAGTTGGGTGTGGGGGCGGAGCCGCAGATTTCGAGACCGATACGGATAGTTTTGCTTCACCCTTTGCTTATCTTTATGGTCTTCGGGAGTCTCATGGCGTCTCTGTATTCTAGGCACACAAGAAAATACATGGGCGTTAGTATTGGGCACATAGCTAGTATAACGTTTGTCTCAATCTCAGTTTCCTGAGTCAAGGATTCCGCCTCAAACCGAGCTCATCCCATGACTGCCCCAAATCGGATGTTCTCCCCAGATTCTTGGCAAGGCCTACCCGCGGACCCTTGTTGCATGCTCGAATTGGGGATCACTGATTGGCGGTCGGCAGGACACGGCTTTTGAAGCGTGCGGAGAGAATCCACAGTTCGCCGCCCGTTGCCCCATGTCCGGTCCTCACCGCGGCACTTGTCCCGAGCCGCCTACTGGGTGCGACATCGCAGCGGAGGGTTGGATAAAGGGGACCAGTCCCGCATGCCACCGGCTGCAAGTGCCCACAGGTTGCACCTCGATAAACCGGCGCAGGGGGGCGAGCGAATTCCAATCAAATCTTCGGCAGTAATTGTAGCGACCGGCGGCGCCCTCCGACCTGCAACTGACGAGACGGCTTCCAAATTACAACGATCCCAGCCACTTCCTCCTATCCGCTCCCAAAATCTCACAATGCGCCGTCTCGCAACACGAGCTGCTTCAGCGTCTGCCACAGCCGGCCGTCTCTCAAACTTCTCTTCCACTTCCACCAGGTCATCCCTTCTCGCCTTCTCCGCAAGAATGGCGCCGGCCAAGTCCGCCATGTCGGCAACAGCGGTGAGGAGGTTACATGCCACGGCACAACACCTCAGTCCGGCCGCGGCTGCAGCTGGGCTGGCCAGCACGGCAGCCAGCTTCCCTACCGCGCACGACCAGGTCCGGGAAGCGTACGATACCCCCTACTTCATCGACAACAAGTTCATCCAGTCCAGGGCGGCGCAGTTTATCGACGTCCACGACCCCGCCACAAACAACCTGGTGACGCGCGTGCCGCAGAACACGGAAGAGGAGCTGAAGGCGGCTGTGGCGTCGGCACAGAAGGCGTTCGAGACATGGCGTACCACCAGCGTGCTGCACCGCCAGCAGATCATGTTCAAGTTTGTCTCGCTCATCCGCGAGAACTGGGACCGTCTGGCGGCAAGCATCACGCTCGAGCAGGGCAAGACGTTTGCTGATGCCAAGGGCGATGTGCTCCGTGGACTGCAAGTGGCCGAAGCGGCTTGCGCTGCCCCGGAGCTGCTCAAGGGTGAGGTGCTGGAGGTGGCCAAGGATATGGAGACGCGGACGTATCGTGAGCCGCTGGGCGTGGTGGCCGCCATCTGCCCTTTCAGTGAGTGCCCTGCTATTATCCACTTTTTGCTCTGGCGGTATGATGAAATGCTGACCATCCCAGACTTCCCTGCCATGATTCCGCTCTGGTGCATCCCGATCGCCACCGTTACGGGGAACACGCTCATCCTGAAGCCCTCGGAGCGGGATCCGGGCGCCGCCATGATCCTCGCGGAGCTCTGCCAAAAGGCGGGCTTCCCCGAAGGTGTCGTCAACATTGTGCACGGCGCCCACCGTACCGTCAACTTCCTTCTCGATGAGCCCGCCATCAAGGCCATCAGCTTTGTCGGCGGCAACAAGGCCGGCGAGTACATCTTCTCGCGCGGCTCGGCCAATGGCAAACGCGTGCAGGCCAACCTCGGCGCCAAGAACCACGCGGCCGTTCTGCCCGACTGCAACAAGAACCACTTCCTCAACGCCGTCGTCGGCGCCGCCTTCGGCGCAGCCGGCCAGCGGTGCATGGCCCTGTCCACTCTCGTCATGATCGGCGAGACCAAGGAGTGGCTTCCGGAGCTGGCCGAGCGCGCCAAGGCCCTCTCGGTCAACGGCGGGTTCGAGAAGGGCGCCGACCTGGGCCCCGTCATCACGCCGCACAGCAAGGCGCGCATCGAATCCCTCATCGCCTCCGCCGAGGCCGAGGGCGCCACCATCCTCCTCGACGGCCGCGGCTACAAGCCGCCCAAGTACCCCAACGGCAACTGGGTCGCGCCGACCATCATCACCAACGTCACGCCGCAGATGCAGTGCTACCGCGAAGAGATCTTCGGCCCCGTGCTGGTGTGCCTCAACGTCGACACGCTGGACGAGGCTATCGACCTGATCAACGCCAACGAGTACGGCAACGGCGTCGCCATCTTCACCAAGTCGGGCCCCACGGCCGAGACGTTCAGGCGGCGGATCGAAGCGGGCCAGGTCGGCATCAACGTGCCCATCCCCGTGCCCCTCCCCATGTTCAGCTTCACGGGCAACAAGAAGAGTATCGCGGGCGGCGGTGCCAGCACCTTCTACGGCAAGCCGGGCGTCAACTTCTATACGCAGCTCAAGACCGTGACCTCCATGTGGAGCGGCGAGGACGCCATCTCGAAGAAGGCCGACGTTGCTATGCCGACGCACAGCTAAGACGTAAGGAAAAAGAATATGTGTACCGATACGTATCTATACGTTACGTCTGAGGGTGGACTTCATTGGCAACCTGGGGAAGAAGATTGGTCATGTTGATGATGTAATGGTAACGAGTAAGCAGCATGCATTGGGAGCGGTATTTATGAGTCTTTCTTGGAGTTCTTATACACTTTGAGTACCTAGCGGTGATACTGAATCCAAGTAGCCGGCTTAACACTTGTGGAAAGAAACGGCCAACTTGAGTGGTCGAGGGATCAATGGGCACAGTCACATGCTCGAAGCACTCGAATCTAGGTTGATCTTCAAAATCAGATATGATTATTCCCCTACACCCAAGGGCGGCGGCGCACAGTAACAATGTCAGTCAAACCAACAGACCAGCCGAGTAACAGGTACGTCCGCAAGTGTCAGTCCACCCCTCCCTGAACGCCTATCCATACTGTATGGATAGTAGCCCAAACACCATAAACGCCAACACAATGCCGCAACCAGGCTATGCCATGCATGCATCCGGCCCATACCAAAAACACACACCCCGTCTAAAAAGTAAAACCCCAAACCAGACAAACAGACGCCGGAACCACAAGATCAGGCAGAGGGGTTCAATCCAATGCCTCTCCGCTCAGGATACTCCTCAGAATGCCGGCCCCCATGCCCTCCACAGCCGTCTCCATCTCCTTTTCCCCGACACAGCTGGCCACCCTCTTCTCGTCCCCCAACAAACCCCCGCTTCCGCCGGCCCCAAAGGCGAAAACGTCCTTCTTCCTGCCCCTTCCGCGGCCGCTGGTAGGTGTCGCCGTGCCCCCCGGAACGGCGACAAACGACCCGGTCTTGCCGTCCACGGGCGTGATGAGGGACAGTGTTTCGAGACTGCTCGCCACCTCGCGAAACTCGGAGCTCGAGAGCGGGTGGAGGAGCGAGTCCTGCGTGCAGAGCGTGCAGTAGGCTTCGTAGAGCGTCTTGACTGTCGGTGCCGACACCGATGTTCGTGTCTTGGTGGAAGGGGTTGTCGGTGTAGAAGAGGAAGAAAAGGATGAGGATGGAGTTTGGGCGACGGAGCGGTTCCGCTTTTCGATGGCCAGCAGCGAGCACAGTGCGGCTTTCTGCTGCAGGTTGAGGGTCTTCAGGCGCTGGCTGGCGCCGTTGCTGAAGGCGGCGGCTGTGACTTTGTTGAGATGGGCGATGGTCACGCGCGGGGCGGTCTCGACTGTGAGGGTCTGCAGGGATTTGTGGAGGGCGGTTGAGATGGATTGTGTCCCGAGGAAGGGACGTGCCGATGAGGAGGCGAGATTACGGTTCTCGCCCAGCACCTTGCGGGAGGGGCTCATGAGCAGAATCTGTTCTTTGACTTCGTTTTCGTGCTTGAGGCGGGTTTCGTTCTCGACTAGGTCGAGGGCCCGTCGGCAGATCTCGAACGCCCGGCGCAGGTCGCCGGTCTGGCTGGAGACCTTGCGAGAGCAGAGCTCGATGGCCGCCGGGTGGAAAAAAGGGATGAAGTCGGCTGAAGCACCCTTGGGGGCGAGGCTCTTGAGGCGTTCCGTTATGATCCGCTTCACCTGTGGTGCGGTGTAGGGCAGGAACGGGAGAAGCTCCGGCTTGAGGTTTCGTGACTTGAGTCTCGGGAGGAACCTGTCAGTCAGGTCCAGCGCGTTGGCGATGCCGACGAGGGTGAGCCTTGAGGTTGGTCGCAGGGCCCACTCAAATACTCGGTAGAGACTCTCGGGGTCCATTGTCAGGATATGGTCAATCTCGTCCAGCACGACCAAGAAGACATCAGTTGTCTTCTTCTGCAGGAACAGCTTCTGCAAGGCCTCCACAATGTCGCTTTCCGACATGTCGGTGTCGCCGGCAAGTTGCTCCAACAATGCGATGTACAAGTCCTTCGACGACTTGATGCTCATGCAGTTGATGTACGCCTTTCGGATGCAACCCGACTCCGATACCGCCTCCTCAGTGATCCTGTTTACCATGGCGCTCTTTCCTGTTCCGGGGGGGCCGCTGACGTAGAGGCACCCGCTCGGCCGAGAGGTCTTGCATCGTTCAAGGAACTGTTGCAGTTGCGTGCGCTCCTCGTCGCGTCCGATCAATTCCCCGGGATCTGCGCTGCGCGAAAAGAGTTGTCTCGCCTGGTGGTAGACTGTTTGTTGTGTGCTTGGAGTCAGGGGAGATTGGGGTGTCATCCGCTTCGAGAGTCTGCCGACAGACATGACCCGGTGACGGGGTGTCGTCGTGCCCCGGGCGAAGACATCATAGTGGCGCGGCGTCGAAGGAGTGACGGGAGCAACATTGTCTGCAACAGTGTCAGCAATTGAACTGTGCTCATTCCCTCCGATGAGCTTACAGCTCTTGACCGTGCTCGCAATCGAGGTCCGTCTCGATCGGGATGTTTTAGGCGTCGACTTGTCCCCCCCCTGCGAGCCATATTCCGGCTGTTCATTCTCCTCATTTTCAGAATCGTGGATGGCAATTTGCTCCTTCTCGGTGGTCTTCCTGGGTGTCCGCCGTGCCCGCTTTACTGAGAAGTCGAGACTGAGTGTCGATTCTGTAGTACGCGTGTCAATTGCTGTTTCCCCCGGCGGAGAGAAGGACGAGCAGCACACTTACTCGTTTCCTCGGAGCTCCGAGTCCTCTTTCCAAGTCTTACAGATGTCATGTTTGCAGCCTGGAAAGTACAATTGGCAGGTGTTGACGTTCAAAGTGGAAGGTCGAAGCTGCAGTGGTGAAAAGAAGTGTGCTGCAAGGAAGGCACTCCTGTCCCACTCGTAGTTTAAGCTTTGGAGCGTCTCGCTTTCTGCATCGCGGGACGCGACGCGTCTGTGGGTCGGCTAGGCGCGCGCTCCGCGTCTCCCAGCGTGTCTCAATTAAACCTGGTGGCTGGGGAAGGTATGTGGCTGCTCGCCTGCAAATGTGGCGTAACCTTGAAGTGGATCAACAATGTGGCTAGGGGCCACCGCCCCTGGACGGTGTGGGTCTCTCGAAAGACCCACAAACCCCGCGCTGCTCACTGGTGGGAACCGCGGTGGAAGGGGGCGAACTCCGTTTGCCTCCACAGCCCAACACAACAATGGCACCCGCCGACAACAGCCGGGTTTGCTCCGTACCTTATCTACTCTGCGAGCTGATTGATAGAGACCTGCCTGGACGCCACCGGTGTCTTTCATCTCTAGAAGAATGCACAGCTCAGTGTCATGGTCCTTTTGCCTGCAAGCCTGTCTTCGCCGTCGGATTGTCACAGGCTGGGCTCTTATCACTTGAGACGTAGATACGGATACAACGATGGTAATGACAAGGGTCGTATCAATGGCGAAGAACACAGCAACCACTGGCTACAACGCCCGTGTCGAGGAATTCAGAAGCGATGAGTATCCAATGCTGAATGGTAATTACATCCACCTTGCTTTGATGCATCATCATTTACTTTACTCACTGAACCACAGGGTCGATCTACCTCGACCATGCTGGGACAACCCTCTACCCCAAGTCCTTGATGGACAGATTCGCCAGGGAGATGACCTCCAACCTTTTTGGAAATCCGCACTCAGGCTCGGCGTCTTCCCAGTTGTCAACAGCACGGATCGAAGACACACGCCTGCGCGTCCTTCGTTTCTTCAAAGCCGATCCGGCCGACTTCGACTTGGTGTTTGTGGCGAATGCGACAGCGGGAGTCAAGTTGGTGGCCGATGCCCTGCGAGCTGAGCCGGATGGCTTCGACTATGCCTACCATCAGGCGAGCCACACCAGTCTTGTTGGTGTTAGAGAAGAGGCTCGGAATAGCCTTTGTCTTGACGACCAGCGGGTTGGCACTTGGCTCATGGGGGACTGTCCTTTTGGAGATGACGGTAGAAATCAGCCAATTCTCTTCGCGTACCCTGCACAGTCGAACATGGACGGCCGCCGGTATCCCCTGGCTTGGGCAGAGAAACTTCGTTGTGGGAGCAGGAGAACCTACACGATGCTGGATGCCGCAGCGCTGGTCTGCTCCTCTCCCCTGGATTTAAGTCATGCTGATGCGGCCCCCGACTTCACCGTCCTCAGCTTCTACAAAATATTCGGCTTCCCCGACTTGGGTGCGCTTATTGTGAGGCGGAAGGCGGAGGAGGTGTTCAGCTCGAGGAGGTATTTTGGTGGCGGGACTGTCGACATGGTAGTCTGCTTGAAAGAGCAGTGGCACGCGGCCAAGAACCGATTTTTGCACGAACGACTCGAGGATGGCACACTGCCCATCCACAGCATAATTGCCCTTGATGCTGCACTGGACGTGCAGAAGCAGCTCTTCGGCTCGATGCTCGACGTCGCAGCGCACACTGCTTTTCTAGCAAGGAGACTCCACCGCGGGCTCAGATCGCTGAGGCATGGTAATGGCGAAGCAGTCTGTGTTCTTTACTCCCCGGACCCGGAGAGAATAGACAAGAGTGTCGGGCTTGGCCCCATTATTGCCTTCAACGTCCGCAACAGTCTGGGAGCCTGGGTGAGCCTGACAGAGGTTGAAAAGCTCGCTACGCTAAAGGGCTTTCATATCCGCACTGGCGGCGTCTGCAATCCCGGCGGTATCGCGTTGGCGCTCGGCTTGGAGCCTTGGGAGATGAGACAGAACTTCAGTTCGGGATTTCGCTGTGGAGCCGAGACCGACATCATGGCGGGGAAGCCAACCGGCGTGATTCGGGCAAGTCTCGGTGCAATGAGCACTATCTCGGATGTGGACAGCTTCTTGGGGTTTATTGCCGAATTCTATCGGGATGTCTCTCCAGCACCAGTCGTCCGGGAGCCGGTTTTGCAATCCCGTGGCTCGTCACGATGGCGCGTTCACAGCATATTTGTGTATCCCATCAAGAGCTGCGGAAGTTTCCAGGTTCCCCCAGGGGTCCACTGGGAGGTTAGACGGGAAGGGCTCGCTTGGGACAGGGAATGGTGTCTACTACACCAGGGCACCGGTCAAGCCTTGAGTCAGAAACGGCATCCCAAGATGGCCCTTGTACGGCCATGGCTAGATTTTGAGAAGGGAGAGCTACGAGTCACATATACCGGAGACATACCGAACCACATACCCCGAGAGGTCTGCATACCGCTCTCCAAACGGCCATCTCTGTTTCACTCCAGTACTCCTCAATCCAGGTCTTCTCGGGTTTGCGGAGACCAGATTCAGGCACAAGCATATTCGTCGGCAAAGATAAACGACTTCTTCTCCGGCGTTCTCGGAGTACCATGTGTCCTAGCCCGGTTCCCGCCTGGCGGACAAGGCAAAACCGCCAGATATTCCAAAGCCCACCTGCAGAAACATCAATTACCCTTCACTGCGACCAAAAGGTCCCTTCTCCCCGGCTCCTTCCCACCGTCTCCGCCAGACTCAGACTCAGAAAAGGCCGGGCCGCGACGGATCCTCCTCTCCAACGAAAGTCCCATCCTCGCCATCACCCTCCCAAGCGTCGACGCCCTCAACCGAGAGATCAAACACGCCGGAACTCATACGAAGGAGATATCACCCGCTGTATTCCGAGCTAATCTTGTCATCGCCCCGGCGGATGCCGACGCCCATATGGCACCCTACGCGGAAGATGCATGGTCAGGCATCAGGATCGGCGGCGAGCAGCACGAGTTCGAGATGCTCGGGGCGTGTAGGAGGTGTCACATGGTCTGCATCGACCAGGAGACGGCTGAGAAGAGCGAGGAGCCGTTCGTCACGCTGTCGAAGACGAGGAGGTTTGATGGGAAGGTGTTCTTTGGAGTGCACATGTGCTACAAAGGTGGCGAGAGAGAGCGCACCGAGGCGGTGTTAATCACGAAGGAGAAGCAGTTCCCCACGGTAAAGGTTGGGGATGTCGTCGTGCCGGAGTGGCGGCGGGCCGAGTAGATTCGCTGGCGGAACTTGGAAAGCCTTGACGTTGCCTGAGCCAGGGTAGATGCTCTCTGGTGCAGTAGTTATACCCGAGTTGGAATATCAACCAGACGTGGTGACAGTATCTTCACCAAAGTAAGCTGTGTAGTTCTATTGCACGCCGTCACCCTCCTCTAACGGCGACGTCTTCGGACCCCAGTTGATAGCCCACTTTGACTTTATTCTCCTTTTTGAGCACGACGTGCTCTCTATCGTACAGTCCGCAGTTTTCTTGGTTGCCGTGTCGTTTAGGGTTCACGTGCTCCTACGGACGGGACTAAAGCAAGCCACTATCACCCGATACAGGACGACGGTCCTATCTGCGATATTGCACTCGCTCTCGGCACCCTAATAAATCACCTGGAGCTCAAAGCATCCGTAAACAGTTCGCTGCTTGTGAGCAGCCACCTCTTTCCTTCCCTCCTCCTTGACTGTCATGTTTCTTAGCAGAGACGCTTGTATTAGTTCATCTGAAGGCCCAAACCCCTTATCTCCCGCCACACGGGGACAGTATATGGGCAACATCATTCAACCGACTTCCAACGGCGCCACAAAGTGGTCGAGTGACCACCTCGGTGCACCCACACAAATACCACGGCGCCGTAGACCCTCTCCCCCGAGATGGCCTGGGTTCGATTCACATCGTGCCCAGCGGAAACTGACTCGCCAGTTTTTCGAGAACCCCCCTCTGCTCGGGGCGAAGTAAAAGCCCTCTGACGGTTTTCGTAGCCACCAACCTCCCTCGCAACAAATCCGACGGGGAGCTTGGTGGTGAGCTTTTTTTCTTTTTCTTTCCTTCCTTCTGTACCCCATTCTTTTGTATCTTCTATTAATTCATTCCATGTCCCATCACCCCCATGAGCGCTGATGTTAACGGACTCGAAAGCGGGAGTGATGTTTATCCATGACACATGGGCTTCTTTCGTTGAACTTCGAGTACACATTCAAGTGTAATTATCCTTTTACCGAGAAATCGACACGCCTTGCTTCCTACTAGTAGTCGCGATTCCCATCTCGGGTATGTTGTGCGCCTGTAATCCCCCAATCTGATGCCACCTGCTTGACGTCTCTTGCTGCTGGTATGAAGTCATCGCTGTAGTAAACGAGAAGATGTCGTCCAAAATGTTTACTGCCATGGTTTCATGGAACCAGGGGGTGCGCAACCGTGTCTCGCAAACTTCCGCGGTTTTGGGGTAATGGAAGAGCATCAAGATGATGGAGCTTGCCGAACAGTCCCTCAAACACATCAAGGGCCTGAGACAAGATGAGATTCTGCTATTCAAGGCATCCCGACTTCAAATCGCCTTCAATCAGTTGCTGGGTGAGCGAGGAAGGTGTTGTATGACACCTTGAGGGGTTGTACAGGGCACGTGCTAGAGGTTGTGTACCGTCTTGAGATGGTGCAGGGTTATGATACTGTGGCTTCTATGTAGGACGGTGAGGTCGTGGAGGTTGGGTCGCCGGAGGAGTTATTGCGGGGGGGAAGGGGGGAGGTTCAGGGCAGGGAGTCGTGGGAGTGTAGTGAGAAGAGTAACAAATGAGGGCGCGTAGCTTTTCTCTATGTTTATGTCACACTTTAGTATCAAACTTAGTATTGGGCATATTCAGCTCATGGAGCAATACGGAAGGGAAGTCGTACGGTGAACGATAGGGGCAAAAGCCAGGCTGTCAGTTAGTACAGATAGGTGTTCAAGTTGTTTATTCGTTCTTGTTTACGAATAGTAGAACCCTAACCCTAGTTCTCCAAAATCCCGTCACCGGTTGCCTGCCGCCGATCCCAGCATTCATTCAAGGGGCAAGACCCTGAATCGTGTTTGTGTCTTTGTGATCGATTCAGGCAACAGCGGCGAGTTCCGGTTACTAATCGCCGCGCGATAACTTGAGATGTTTTCGTCTTGTCTGACCCTTTTTCCCTTTACATTTATCTCATCTCACGAGTCAAGCGCTGTGTCTTCTTTTTTACATTTCGGTTTTGTGCTAGATAGACAGCGTTAGATTTGAACTTGTTAGTTGGTGACATTCTCGTCTCTTCTCGGATAAAGTTGGCGCATCGGATGGCAACCCACCCTCCCGGAACCGGCCTCGCATCCGGATCAGACCAAGAAAACCTCAGCCTCGCCACTTATTACCAGCATCAGTACCAGAAGACCTTCCACGCAGCGGTCGCAGCCGGCGAGGTTACGCCGTTTGTGATCCCGTGGTCCTTCATTGGCGTCTTTTTCCTTCCGCTCTTTTACCTCAGCATCCCGCACACAACCCGGCCATGGCTGTACCGCCTGCGCTGGGCTGTTGCTGCAGCCGTCATCTATCTCAATATTCGCCTGATGCAGACCACTTCGGCCGGGAATATGGCCGTGGCATATAGCACCGGACTGGCTGCGGTGTGGGGAACCATCTGGAACTTGAGGGTGCTCATATTCACCCACCCGCAACGGGATGCGGCGAGGGTTGAGCGGCGGCCAAGGAGATCCCACGAGAATGGTTTCTCAAAAGACGAAAAGGAAAAGCCAGGCGCCATGGTAGCAGTCGACGAGAGCGTGGCCGCCTCGCTCCGGCACAACCACGAATATTTCTGGCAGCCCTTCCCTGCCCAGGCGTCCTTCCTCACCCGCCTCGGCTGGACGGCCGACCTGCTCACCTCGCTCCGCGGCGGAGGCTGGAACTTCTGCATCTCGTCCATCCCGCACCCTCCCCTACCCGAGCGTCTTCCCGACCCTGCGAGAGGTGGTGGTAATGAGGCTCTGCCACCCGCCCGCCTCGACCTCATCCCGCTCGCCTCACGCTCAGGCACCTCGCGCTCCCGGACCTACGCCTCCTTCCTCCGCTCCCGCCTCCTCCAATTCACCGTCTCCTACCTCACAATCGACATCTTGACCATCACCATGCGCCGCGACCCCTACTTCCTCCTCGGCCCGGACTACGTCTCGCACCAACCCGACTTACCTCTCCCCAACTTCATGACCGCCCTTCCCCTGCCGGGTATCACCATCCCCTTAGCCCGCACCCTCCCAGCCGCGGCGGGCATCCTCGCGGGGCTGCACCTCTACTTCGCCCTGCTCCAGCTCGTCTGCGTCTTCCTCTTGCCTGCCCGCATCGTCGGACCACGATTCGTCGAACTGTGGCAGCACCCGACGCTCTTCGGCAGCTTCAGGCTCTCGGTCTGCGACCGCGGGCTGGCCGGCTTCTGGGGCGGGTGGTGGCACCAGACCTTCCGGCTCGGCTTCACCGCGCCGGTGCGCTTCTTGTTGTTTCCTCGCGTGCGCTTATCACACTCCCGCGGAGCCACAGGGGGGGCGCGGGCGCGGGCCGCGGCCGAGATGCTGCTTGCCTTCTTCCTCAGCGGCGTGCTCCACGCCGCGGGCGGCATCACGTCGGTGGCGCGGCCGACGACGGTCGCGTGGACGCCTGTGGCGTTCTTCGTCTCGCAGGCGGTTGGTGTGATGCTTCAGACCGGGTGGTGCGCTTTGCTCGGCACGCACAAGAGGGAATTTTCCAGATGGGCTCGGAGGGCCGGGAATCTGCTCTTTGCGGCGGCGTGGTTGCTGCTCACGGCGCGGGGCCTGATCGATGACATGAGTCGGGCGGGGCTATGGCTCTTTGAGCCCGTGCCGGTCTCGCCGCTGAGGATGATGGGGCTCGGGTCGCCGGGGGAGTCGTGGTGGCGATGGGATGGCGAGTACGGGTTGCGGTGGTACACGGGGCGCCGTTGGTGGGAGAGCGGGATTCGATTGTGATGTGCTCAACTTGCCATTTCGCTGCCTGGAGTAATAATATCGTTAAGTCGCATATAGATGCCATATACGAGCGTGTGGGTTGTGCCAGAACTGGTCGGATACTTGTATAAACTGGGTATGAAACATACAGCGGTAGACATATAGCATCATAAAAATCATTTCCGAAATCGTGCACTCCTCGCAGTATGTCTCATTAAGTGAACATGCATCCAAACTTGCAATCTCCCGCGGTCTAGTTGTCGAAGGCGTCTAGTGAAGGAAAAGGGCGGGCTACCTCCAACATGACAGCCCGTATTATCGAAGGTCAAACTCGGTACTATCGTTCGTAGTCTTATCGTGATAGTATACGGTACTAGGAACTGGTCCAACCCAAAGCACAGCGCGTGCCTGGTACGTTCTGCGCTTCAATCATCCGAGCAGACAGGCAAACAAACGTCGGTGCTATCTTACCAGCGAGGGGATTATTGCTCAGTATCCAGAAGGAAGACAGAGTAAGGAAAGTGAGGGGGGGAGGCCAAAAAGCGCTAATTGCCCAAATAGAGGAAGCAGACCAAAGTAGAAAGAGAATAGATTCCGTGTAGATGACATCACTTCTACCATTGGCCGGTAGGCTCCATCCCGGCAGTAGTATCAACGAACGTCCTAAAACTGAGCTGGCCCGTCTGCGGATCAGTGACAAAGATGGTATTGAGCGTGTCCTGTCCCTGTATTAGTCTGGTGTACACCCCCGCTTCGAGCGGCACCGATGACCATGAGGTAAGCCGTCATACGTACCCAGTCCAGATCGTGCATAATACTGGCATCCATTCCCGGAGCTGCAGCTGAGGGACCGGCTATGCTTCCGTGTCGCTGAGGATTGCCCAGCACACTGCCCCCGTCGCTGCTGTTCTCAGGGCTGCCGTGGCCGTGGTTCTGTGGCGGTAAGCTCCAGATGGACTCGCCGTTGGTGACGCCTGCGAAGACCATCTGATGAGGCGGAAGGGAATAGTCCAGCTGTGACAGGTGATGCTGCTGTGGGAGTGGCGGTGGTATCATCATGCCCATTGCCAGAGACGAGGGAGGCGATTTGAAAGGAGGGGGAGGCGGAACCATGCCATTCACGGCTGCGGAAAGCGCTGGCGGCATTGCGGAGGGAACGGGTACGTGCATGGCGGGAGGGCAGATGAGGGCCTCGGACTTCAGTCCCGAGACCATACCCGTTCCCGTGTGCTGGGGCGGTGCTGGCGCTTGTTGTTGTTGGAACGACGGCGGGTGCCCCTGAGGATACCCCTGAGGCTGCACCCCAGGCAGGGGCTCCCGGGGTGGCGGCGGCGGGGACTCTTTGACAGCTCGCTTGCCGGGAACGGCCCGGTTGATCGTCACGGGCGCGCGGACTCTGCGCAGCCCCATATAGAGGTTCGTCTTGCCCATTATCTCGGTCAGGATTTGGAGAGTCTTTTGCTCCCGCGGCGCGTTGGGATCAAGTTGGAAGACCCAGTCGAGACAAGGCCATATCCGCTCGGCGTCCTTGCGGTGTGGCCGGTAGTATATTTCGGTCGCCAGTAGCAGGGCGATCTGGTATTGCTGGTAGGCCCCGAGGTACCAAGCCCAGTCTCGGAAAAGGGGATTCGTCTCCAGGCAGATGGCCGTCTCGATTATCTCGACACCGCTGGTGACCAGCAAGCCGTTCAGCCTTTCGGGCAGCGGGTTTGCCGTGTTGGAGTGGTATGGGTGCAGCACCATTACATGCAGCCGGTAAGTGAGCAGTTGCATGACAAGCCTTGCGTACTTTTGAATCGGCACACGGTCGTTGAGCCACCGGCTGTACTTCTCAAACATTTGCTTGCGGAAGTTCTCCACCTTGGAGAGCATTGCCGTCAGCGTCGTCTTCCGCAATTCCAGCTTGCGCCGGTCCGTCCAGATGTTGCGCATCATTTCGTTGATCTCGAACCGAATGATAGAGAGGAGCATGGCCGTCCACCTTTCTGCCGGTGCCGGCGGATGCGCAACCTGCGGCGTCAAGTCCTCATCCTCGCAGTTAACCGGCATCGCCGTATCGTAGTCCTCGCGCCGGATGGCCGGTTTCGGCCCCTGCGCCTCGCATGTACGCACGTCGAGGAAGCACAGCTGATGCCAGACCAATCGTCGAACTTGTGCCTCGAGGGGGTTTAACCCGTAGGCCGAGCCGTCGCGGTGAAGACCCATGCACTCGGCCATGCGAACGGCAGCACCGACGAGAACCGAATGTGCTCTGGACACTTCGTCCCGGCAGAGTGGGATCTGGGCCTTGTGTCAGTATGTCTGTTGTTTGCTGGCCGGGACGGAGGTCTTGCGGCACAACTCACCAGATACATGACGAACGCTTGCAGCGTCTCGAACCTCGTCGTACTTAAGAAGTTGGCCTTGCTCAGCGCCGTCTCAGTCCCTATCTTCATGTGAAAGACCAGCTGGGTCTTGTTCCACGCTTGGTCCCGGCAGAAACCGTCATCGACGCTAACCGCGGCAGTAAACCAGGCTGCGAACACAATCGCCTGTGTCGACGGGCGAGGCTCGATGCTCTGCCTCACATCCTCCCAGAATGAGTTATACAGCGCTTCGAACGAAGGCTTGTGGAGGCATCGTGCAATTGGATGGATGGCATCGAAGTAGCGCCGTATTAGCCTGTGGCCGAGCTCCTCTGATGGAAGTAGGCTGATCAAGTCCAACGGACAAGCGGCCTGGGCAAAGAAGAAGCCACTGGTAGGCGCCAGGTATGACTCCCCGGGTCTGAGAAAGTCCGGGAGTTCCCGAGCATCTGGCAGCTCCTCGTGCGCGAACGCGAACGCGCCTTGAGCGCCGAAGAAATGTGGGTAGTTCTCCGCGAGACCGGCTTGTATCTCTTCCGATATGCGCGGCCTGTTCAGACCGCCAATCCGCTCCGTTATCCTCATCTTTCCAACGCGTATTCCCAAATCGATGAGATCGTCCGTGCCGTTGCCGTCGGAGTAATCGTCGTACGTGAGATCGAGAGCCACCATCGGCGTGATCTGTAGGTCACGCTCGTCGCCATGCTCGTCTTCGACCTTGTCCGCCACAAACCGCTGCTGGGCCAAACGGCTGCCGTCACCGATGCGGCCGGGGCTGCGGCTGTGGCGGCGGGCAGTCGCCCCCTTGGCCACGTCCCTCTCGAGCTGCCTCTCTAGCGATCCCACCTGCTCCTTGATCTCGGTCAGGCGCTGTTGGCTGGCCTCGTCGAGATTGGGGCTGAGATACACACATTCCCTTAGGAACCTTTTGCAGTTGTGGCATGGATTCTTCTTTTCGCACTTGAGTTTGCGCCGTCGACACTCGAGACAGGAGGTGATCATGCGCATCCGCCGCCGGATCGGCTTCTGGGAGACGGGAGCTGGAGCTGGAGCTGGACCCGAGTTTCTGGCGTTGTCTTCCCCCTGGTTTGGCCGATCCGCGTGTTCTGCTCTGCCTGTGCTTGCGATGGGATTGCGTGTCGGGCCACAAGTTGTCGAGGGACCGGCCACGCTGTGTCTCTGCAGGCCGGACGGCGCAGTCGAATGAATCCCCATAGAACCTGGGCCGCCACTGGTGCTGGGGGCCATTGGGGACGTGTGATGAGATTGCGGTACGCTATAGTCGCCCTGGCTCTGGCGGAGCGGTGCCGTATGCATGGGGTGTGGCCAGTAGTTGGCGGCCATGGCATCTGGAATGCGATTATCCATCGCCATCATCGGGAAGCCTGGGGAAAAAAAGCAGGAAAAGAGTATTGCGGTAATGCTCTAGCAGTAGGCGTCAGAGGTTCCAAGTTATATGGGTGCAGATAGCCAGTCACAAGCCGAAGATGGAAGGTAGGGGTGCGTGGTCGGAAAGCGACCTAAGCAAGCACCCGAAGGTGGCTTGTGATAGTCAACGCATACTAAGTACTACTAACGTAGGTAAAAGGCGTGAGGTATCCGAGAAGCCGCAAAGCTAAGGGAAGAGCGAGATGGAACAGTAGGTAGGTAGAATCGGACGGGGCCAGCAGGGTTCGAGCTTCTTAGTTAAATAAGGGGATTGAACACCGGGCACAGGTGTCGGTGCTTGTAGTGTGGCAACCCATCTGGGCTACCTACCTAAGCAAGGTAAGGTAGGCACCTAAGGTATCTATCTGCCTGTGTGTCTGCTGCATGCAGGCTGATGCAGTACACTCGTCATGGGCACGCACTGGACTCGGCTTGTTGCTGGAACTCGATCGCCTCGGTCAAACAATCATATCCATGATGAACCTCAGCTGTTCCGCTCCATGCCGGTCCGTCCCGCCTCGAGCAGGGCAGCATCTCAATGCTACCCACGGAAGGTACATCCCGTACGTGGCATCCATCGTGGCTTCCACTTTGAGAGGCGGTAGGTGCCACCGTCTCTGGTAGCCGTATGCCTCGACCTCGTGAGGGTTTCGGGCTTCCACTTATTCCGTATCCACGCCTTCCCGGCGACTTCCCCGTCCTGGGCAACGCGACGCCGTTTCGACACAGTGAACCCTGGCCAAGTCGAAGCACATGCAACCATCCCAGCGCTATTCGAAATCACTGTATGTGCTGCGTCCCACTACCGTCACGGTGTACCCGAGAGTGAGGACCAGCCGAGGCTGAGTGTGTCAGAAAGAGCGATGTTTTGGCGGCCGCCGCCTTGATTCAGGTCTCGTGTAAACCCAGGCTCTTCAGCTCTTCTGCGTTTTCGCGGGAGCCAAATCCCTTCACCAACACCCGATGCACATCGTGCCGGTTGCGGGAGTTGCGCCCGGTATCCGGGCCAGGGATCGTTCGGTTGCGACTCACATCCGGCCCCACAGCACCACCCCCGGACATGCGTGGAGGAGCAACTAATAAAGTGGCTAGGATGGAAGCTTAGTGTAGATCGACCTCTCACAACCCGTTCCACCTTGCCGGGCCACTCTGAAACCTCCGCCGAATGCCGCGGTCCAAACAAGCAGCCGCTTCGGACATCGGTCAGCGCCGATACCTCGAGGACTAGGACTCTTGGGGTTAGAGCCGGCAAGATATCCACGCCGTTTGAATCTATTCTAGCGCAGTTGTTTGTGCAGCTGATCACTCTTCTCGTCATTTCTCTCCGACATGTCCGATCAAGCAATGTCTCCTAGCCGACGATGGTTGCCAATTGTCTCTCGCTCCACAATTCAGACCCCGGCAGAGCCTAACCCACCCGGAGACTGATTCTCCTGTTCGCTTCCGAGATGGCCGACTCCCGAGGTTTCTCTGTTTCCAATGAGCAAACTGTCGCCCTAACGTAGCGCAATCGCGATATGTGACAGGGAGAAATGTATATCGCCCAATACATATGATGAAGCATGCCAAGGCGCTCATCCCAAATCAAACTCTAACCATCATATCTCTCGTTTCCCTTTTCCCCTCGTTTCGGCTGTCACTCCCATGCGTCCCATCGTGATCGAAACTCGTTACCCCACCTTGTGCGCTATTCGATTTCCAGGTTAGCGGCGCAGATCAGCCGACCTTGGCGGCTTGGCCGTTGGGACGAACGGGGCTGGGGAACCGGGTAAGGTATCCATTGCCGGTGGTGGGCGCCGCGGGATTATTCGCAGGATCGGACCGTTAATAAATTCTGCAGTGTCTATTCCGTACAGTAGCCGAACACGCGACGAGAAGCTGGACTTCTGAGACAAGGAGTCACCAGTCTCCCTGCGGGACCACAGCCCACTTTCTCGCCTCCCATGCACGCAACAGACGGGGGAGGATTCAGGATGCGCGCTACCTGATTGGTTTGTCGCGCGCACACATCATGTCGTCACATCAGACATTGATCGATTTATCGGGTCAGAGGGTTGCTGCAGCATCGAGATTAGGTCCATCGGGGAGATCGAGTGCGCGCATGTATGTGTTGACTGAGAATGAAACGACCGCTGCCCACCTCTGTCCGGGCCCCCGGCCTTCACGGCTTCGTTTACCTCTCCACCGGGGAGGCAGTTTGCCGCTCCATACTATTCCAAGACATCCACGATGCCACAAGCAAGGGGCGAGGCCCAATAGAAGGATAGAAGGCTGGAACAGGAACAGCGTTCCGGCTTCCGTGACCCCCCTCCGGCCCCTCCGATCAGCACACTCGCCCGTCCTTCCACCCCTCATCCGATAGCACGCATAGTGACTGAGACCTGCGTCAGGAGACTCTCCCAAGGAGAACGCGCTCGGCGAGATAAACGGCGGGGCCTCGAAATAGGGCCGTCGGAAGCATCTGACAACCAACCCCGCCTGCCGTGAAACGCGAAACGCCTCTCTGTGTGACGATGACCAACCAGGCCCACAACGCGCCAGCTGAGATGAGTAGCAGCAAGTATTGGCGATTCTTGACTGCAGCGCCTCCGAGAGCCTCCAATCCGCTAACAATACCGCCCTCGAATACAGCATTCCTCGAGGTTTTCGGAAACTGGGTGATAGCACGAGCATTCCATGATATGTGTCTAGAGCAATCAAATGACATATGCCTCTGGCAGCGCATCCACAACGTATGAAGTGTATACCACCCATATCGTTATGGGACCCAAGCCGCAATGCCCCTGCTCTCTCTAGCATCCTTGGTCCTGCTCAATCGCGCCTAATGAAGTTCTTGCCCAGCCATTGCTGGACAAGCCTCTTTCTCCAGCGCCTGAGCTGAAGGCGACATGCCCACGCGACATCAACACCGAATTCCTTTTCGACGAGACTAAGCCACCACAACAAGCGTTTTGTTGTTCCGGGCCTCTTCTGCCACAGATCTTGGGTGACGAGGCGATATATAATCATCAGTACAGGGGTGGGAACTTTGCCCTTGATCGCCCTGGTGAAATAGAGACCTTGCGAGACGTGGCGGAAAGCCGACCGCCTCGTCAGATGACGCGTACCGGCGAACGCCGCAGATACTCTCTCCGCAACTGATGCTCTCCGTACCCCAAACGTGCCGCGATGACGGCGGAGTTTGTAGTTTAGGCTGGTCTGCCGCCCTTCAAAGCGATGGATATCCAGAATGCGCCAAATTGTACGCGGGGGAGGTCTGGATCATTGACAATGTCTTCTAGGTATTTCTCGAAGACGCCCGGGTAAAATTGGGGTTGTCGGTCTTCCAAGTTGATTTTGTACCGCCACAAGTCGCGAAGCGCGATTGCGATGTTATGGTCGTCAGACGTCCATGCAAGGTCTTCCAGCATCCGCACTGGAATTTGTTGTCTGCGTCCCGAGTGTCTGGCGGCTTTGAAATTCAGTGATCCTAGCACCTCGTCCTTTCGCCCCAGTTTCGTCAAGAACCGCCAGACACTGCGGAGAAGAGGAGGCGCCGTTCCCGGTGTTAGATGGTTGAAGATCGCAAGAAAGAGCGAGGCGAGCGCCGCCCGGTCAGAAGTGCAATGCGATCTGTAGGATTTATAGACGGTGTACTTGAGGGGAAGGTAATCTCGACTCGCCCACTGCGTCAACAGTAACGAGCACACCTCAACGCACGTTAACGGCTTGGTAATCTGTAATGAACGGGCGGAAAGTCCGGCGGCGGCATCGAACAGAAAGTCTTGGTTGACGTTGGGCATCTGGGCCAACACATAGAGCCAGCTGTAACGCAAAGCGCGCCGGCCCTTTGGCAGGTCGGCCTTCGTGCTAAGGGCAAGACGATGGGCAGCCGAGAGGAAGCCATCCGTCCCTTCAGGAGTAAAAAGATGAAGTGCCTCGGATAGTGCCCTGGCTTGGCGGAGATGTGTCGGCAAGGCGGACAGCTTTTTTGGGTTATCGGCATATATGCCTAGTCGCCCTACGTCCAACAGCCGCTTGATCTCGAAATTGTTAGGGGCGTGCCGGGAACAACCCCACGCGGAAAAGAAGCGGCCCAGAACACAAAGGACGCCCTCGGAAACATTGGATCGAAGGATCGCTGGCACAGCCGCCATGGTCTTGACGAGAAGATTACATAGCGTGTCATCGGCCGGAAGCTTGCTCATCTCGGTAAGGAGTGCACCCCAAAATCGCACATCCAAGATGTCAGGGGGGAAAACCTTGGAATTCGTCAAGCCACTTAAGATGGCTCTGCAGAACGACAAGGAGAGCCGGTGGCCCAGCGGTGACCCCTGCAGCCTCGATCGCAGCGTGTCCCATATCTCAACTGACACCGAAAGGAGATCTTCGGGCGATACCTCGCCAAGGATAATGCGCTGCCGGAGCTGGCGGCAGATGTTGTTGCTGTGAGATGCGAAGGCCTTGTCGTCAGCGTGCGCGGCCGCCCATCGGAAAGCGTCCAGGTCAGCGGTGAAAGGCCGGGAAGCTCGCGTATCAGCCGCGGATGGTGAACTCGAATCTGGTAAAGTAGCAGTGGCCGACGCTGTACGTAGCTCGCCAGCTTCGCGGGACACCGACCCTTGCAACCATCCATCCAACAGGGCCAGGAGCCCCGGGTGAGAATCGAGATCTTGGTGCGACTGGTGATGTTCCGCGCTTCGAGCCGCTGACGGCGGTTTCCAGGTCCATTGTGATAAGTTCAGTGGCACCGTGAATTCCCAGGACGGAGGTGTCGGCGGACAATGCCAGGTACTGGCGTCTCCCATGCGTCGTCGGCCGAGTCGGCGCTGACTCTCGAGCGGTCCCGGGACATTGCTGGCCCTCCTATTCCAAGTCCTGGACACGCGGCAAAATCTCTCAAACGTGCTGCTAAGCAATCCCTCTGTGATCCACACTGCATCTCTGCCCGGAATAATCTGGCGCTGGAAAGCACGGCGGCACTGCGAGGCAGGGGTAGTCATTGCCGGCGGTCGGAGGAGGGGGGAGGGATGCGATCGGCAGACTTCACCAGCTCCATCCACGAATAGCATCCGTATGCTGTAAGAGGAGCGGCATTCGGGTGCGATGGCTGGGCGCTGACGCCAGCTGGTCTCGTCGTGATCGAGTTGATGTCGTCGTGAGCGGGATGCTGGAGCAAAATCCTCGAGCGAATCGCGTACTCCGTAGCGCCTGGAGCTCCCCTTGCTGTGTGGCTGACGACCCACAAGAGGCCCTTAGAGGTGTGGCTCATGTGCCAAGACCGGGGCTGCCCCGCATCAACCTGCGCAGCGAGCTTTGGAAGCTGGTGTTAGCGGGGAAGCCGTCACAGGGTAATAAGCTCGACAACTAGAGTACTAAGGTACTATATCACATTGCAATCATGGAGGAACATTCATTTCCGCCACTTCAGAACGACTTGATCTTGAGGGCTGCATGGGGTTAGTTACCTCCTCTGGGTCTTTATTTCACCTTGTTTTCCCTCGGCGGTAACAGCACGGATCTGCTAACACGGAGCATATAGGTCAGACCGTCGAACGGCCGCCCATCTGGGTGATGCGGCAGGGTGAGCGGCCTAGCCCCTGGTCTTTTCCAGTCGCTGCGCCGGCGTGACCATGACTTGAGTGCGCTGACACTCAGCGCAGCTGGTCGCTATCTCCCCGAATACCACGAAGCCAAGGGATCCCGAGATTTCTTCGAGTGCTGCAGAGACCCGGAGGTTGCATCTACCTTGACACTGCAGCCCATTGAGCGCTATGCCGGGCTTGTCGACGCCGCCATCATATTCTCCGACATTCTCGTGATCCCGCAGGCCATGGGCATGGTCGTGGAAATGGTAGACAAGAAGGGTCCGCATTTCCCGAACCCCCTGCGGAGCCCGGACGACGGACAGTACGCCGAGGTGATGCAGCGCGACGTTGATGTCGCAAAGGAGCTCGACTATGTCTACAAGGCTATAACCTTGACCAGGAAGAAGCTGCAGGGGCGCGTGCCTCTGTTTGGGTTTTGCGGGGCGCCATTCACTTTGTTCTGCTACATGGTGGAAGGTGGCGGGACCAAGCTGTTCAAGGAGACCAAGACGTGGATCTATAAATACCCGGAGGAGACCAAGGCTCTTCTACAGAAGATCTCAGAGCTCTGCGTTGAGTATCTCGCTCTTCAGGTCAAGGCCGGAGCCCAGGTATTGCTCTTGTACCCGTTTCTTGGGTCATTCGCTGACTATATTTTCCAGCTCATTCAAGTGTTCGACTCATGGGCCGGCGAGTTGTCACCGTCCTCGTTCAAGAAATTCTCGCAACCTTATTTGGCTCACATTGCTAAGCACCTTCCTCCGAGGCTCAGAGGGATGGGCCTGGAGCCCGTGCCAATGGTCGTCTTCCCCAAAGGCGCATGGTACGCACTCGACGCCGCGTGTGATTTGGGGTACAACATTGTCGGTCTTGATTGGCTCCACGACCCAGCGGAGGCTGTCAAAACGGTTGGCAACCGGCCAGTTGTTCTTCAGGGCAACGCTGATCCCGGTGTTCTGTATGGCTCGCATGCCGCCATCACGGAGGCTGTGAAGGATATGGTGGAGGGCTTTGGCTGGGCAAGCCGGAAGAAGGGTTGGATTGTAAACCTCGGGCATGGTAAGTCTCTCAAATATTCCTTTAATCCACCGTCTATCTCTAACGGCATTTCAGGAATCACACCCTTCGTCAACCCAGAGGATTTGAAGTTCTTCTTCCAGGAAATCCACCGCCTGACCAGGACGGATGCCCCATAGCACGGCGGATCCTAGGGCTGTTTGTACGAGTACGACGATATGTTTGCCAGCTTGGCTTTCACATAGACGGGTAGAAGTCTGCGGTACTAAAAGTGTCTTATGCACATCTCACAGGGGATCTCCAACGCTGCAGAGGTCTACCGTTGCCCTGGAGGTGGTCAGCCACAATCCCGCATCGGCTTTTGACTCTCGTACCAGGATATCGTCCAGCTGAGCTTCCCGCCAATACTCCGGCAAAACCCCTGACTGGCAAGGTTCCCCTCGAACACATCGGCCGCCCCCCAGCCGTCGTCACCGTAGTCCTGGAGGTGGTCGCGCATTATCTTGCAAGCCACTGCTTTGGCAAGACCCAGACGGCGGTATTGCTGCTGCAATGGTGTCAGGCCATCCACTACCGGTACTAATACGTCCTTGCAACACTGACCTCGACATGTAATGTCACTACCGACCCGTCAAGCCCTAAGATTGTATGTGAGTCTCGGCCAGGGGCGCTGAACCAGATAACTACGCTGAGGCTCACCCATGAAAACCCAAGCTATGGGTGTCCCGTCATCCAATCTGATCACGGTGCTCGGCACCATGAGCAAAGTCGCCCTAAGGCCAGACAGCCGGGTGAGCACTCATCGAGCCCCATGGGCCATAACCCACACACAATCACGGGGTAACTCACTCCTTCCGCTTGATACTCGTCCGCTCCAGCACTACCCTGACATCCTCTCTCCGCACCCGATCCCACCGCATGCCCTCCGGCAAGGAACCGTTGCTGCGAGGCAAATCCTCTACCCGGAAAAGCCACTTGCCGCAGAATTCCCACTCCAGCTCGGCGGGGAGATTCGGGGATTTCTCCATTCTCACCCCGCTTGCGAGCAACTTCTGGCGGACGTCTTCGTGGAGGGAGCCAATCAAGACCTTCATCCGTCGCCCCTCCGGTCCCCCCTCGGCGGCGGGGATGAAGGGCGGGTGATCCCCGGCCGTAGCTACCGTCCTAGCGCGCCGCAAGAGCGCCAGGACAAGATCGAGGCCTTGCTTCCCCTCGTCAGGCGTAAGATCGCATGCACTATGTCTGCCGGCTCTGGCCCTGGGTCCCTCCCCGCGGATCACACCGCTGGTTGCGCTCGTAGGAGTAGTAGTAGTAGTAGTAGTAGTAGTAGCACACCTGTCCTCTAGTGTCGAGTAGAGCCAGATCTGTGTTTCCGGCCCCCGCCACAGGTCGACGTAGGCCGCGGCAAACTGCTGCTGCGGCTGCTTGCGGTGCTGCTGTCCTCTTGTCTGGCCATCGCTGCTCTCACCCTCCTGGTAGTGAGCGTACAGCACGTGGGCACGCGGTGAGCGGCCGTTCGGGAAGTTTCGTGCAAACTGCAGGCAGCGGAGGACGGGGAGGGAGTGTGGGAGATGGGAGGTTAGCAGACTTAGGAGAGCATCGGAGGGTGTGGAAGTATCTTCGAGGAGGACGCGTGGTGTCATTGCAATGATGATGGCTTAAGATGGGTGGAAGGGGGACATAGGTACGATCCTTGGATTTGTTGTGCCGTGAGGATTTAGATTCTGAGTCTGGACACCGACACCACCACTACCTATGGGTCGATTGACGTTCGGTGCTCGGTGTGGCGGCCGGAGTGGCGCTCTTTCAAGGGACTGCTAGCACCCCTCCCGAAGTTCCCCATTCAGAAGGTCAGATGGCGGTCGAGATCCATTCCGTAAGTACCTAGATAAAGTAGGGGCATGCATACATAGGTAGTAGCTATCCGGAGATCCCCTGAGCAGGGGTAGGATGGCGAGTCGGATGCGACATGTTGTGATGGTTGTGGGGTAAGGAGACAAGCCTTCGTTCGGGTCGTTGAGGGGCATCAGCAGCAATGACTCAGCCTCTCCTCTCACCGGAACTAGGTCTCAAGCCGGATTCCTACAACATATCATATGTTCTTTTACTGATCCATATTAAGCCACTGATTCTCGTACCGTGGACTCGGTCAAAAGAGATAATCCAGGCCGTAGCTCAACTTTTAACGCCATCGCCGGGGTATGAGGCAACCCGCCAGAGTAAGGTACCTTAGGTAAAACCAAGAAGCGCAACCCATCAACGCCGAACCCAGAAAAGTGCCTACCCACCCAACCCATTTGTCACCTTCAGAGTCATCACTTGACCACCGAGCCAGTTCAGCTTGCACCCTCACTTCTTCCCAAACAATAGATTCCTCCCCTTCTCCGCCCAGCCAATCTCCTCCGTCTTACGCGCCGGCACGGCCACATCACTGGCGGTATCACTGCCCGTCGGCGAGCTCCTCTTCTCTTTCTCCTTCTCCTTGTGCTCCTTGTCCGTGCGACTCGGCACCTTGTCCAAACCCGCCGCGGGCACTGGCGACAGCGCAGGAGATCCGGCCGGAGACGGGACTTTGTCGTCCGAGGGACCGGTTTTGACGACGTTGCCTGTTCCTCCACGGCCGATATGCGTTGCACCGTGACTCATGCGGCGGACGACACTAGAAGACATGGGTTTAGTTTGGGTTGTTTATCACGGTGATGAGGTACAGGGAAGTGGTAACGTACGGTTCTACGTCTTGGCGCCGACGCTTTTCCTCTGGATCGAGGTTGGAGGCAAAGTTGCCTGTTCCGCCGCGACCAGTTGTCACCTTCGATGTCTTGAGAGTAGGTGTCTGAAGATCCTCAGGCTGGAGTGGGGGGCTCTTCGAGCTGTCGACGATGTTGCCGGCGCCGCCTCGGCCGGAGGATTGGAGTTGTGTTGACATGGATGCTTTGATCTGGAAGGCCGCACACCAAGAGAAGTATTTTAGACTCGGTCTGGCTTTGGCGAGCGGCAATTGTCTGTGGTGGTAAGCTGGTGGAAGACCTTTCCAGGGAGTGAAATTTCAATTGTTGGCCAGTAAATGAAGGTGGAATAAGACAAAGAAGCTGGATTCGGCCTGCCCGGTTTATATGCAGTCGGCCAAGAGGGTGCGCATAACAGAAATGAAAGCTCTGGGATGTCCTTGTGCCGTTGGATTTTTGGGACGGGGCTCACGAAGCCTTGCAAGCGCCGTTCTAGCTTTAACTTCCCCAATTGCTTGGCTACGCCCAGGCAAAGAAGGTTTGATCACAAGAAAAGCAGGAATTTTCTTCCCAAGACCACGTTCTCTCCTGTGGTTGCGAGGGAGAACAAGGGCAAGGGTCTTCGGAGGTTCCGCCCGAGGTGTGCCTGTCCTTGCCTGACATCACCTGAACAGCCTTGAGAATTCTGCCAACCCCTCATTGCCCCGCCTCCCGCCTGACGTTGCCCAGCCGAGCTATATTATTAGCGTAACCCATCAAGAGTCGAATCGAGTCATGTTAAATAAGGCAGGCCCGGCATCCTGACGAGGAATGGAGGAATCTATTTGGTGACCGCAAGCGTGGTCACCTAAGGTAGGTACATACATAGTAGGGACAGTACATATCTATTGCAGTAACTACCTTACCTGACCTTATGTGACGTTCGTAACCTGGAATGTTTTTGTATGCTTAGGCGGGGTCCATCTGCCTTCCAGCCCTACACGGGCTCCATCTGGCCAAAATCGCCGTACACCAGCATTGTCGCCAGCTGCAGATGCGGCAGCTAACACTAACGGTACGTATATTAACGTTATTTTCATTTCCCTCTTCTTTCTCTCTCTCTCTCTCTTTTTCTTTCTCTCTTCATTTTCTCCCTCTCCTCCTCTCTCTTTCTTTCTCTCCTTCTTCATTTTCTCCCTCTTTCTTTCTTTCTAGCTTCACTCGCTACTCATCTATCGCTTTTCACATTTCCCTTTTTTCCCCTCTAGTTGCGCTTTCCTTGTCTTCATCTTATCGCTTAGACCAAGTTTTCTGTACGGCCCTTTTTGACCCGGGTGAGACTGCAACCCTGGACGTTGGGCGGTGAGCAAGATTAGCCCGCCTGTCAGCGGCGGGACAGGTGCAACGTGCTCAGTCCAATCCATTGAGACTGGGCAAGACTACAGGTAGGTAGGTACTTAACGTTAGGTCATAAGGTAGGTATTTGGAAGATTCGGTTCGGACTCAGTTCGCGATCCGGATTGTCCAGCTGAGCCGAGCACGCCAGTCGTCCAGGCCGGCCGCCGACAAGACCTGTCGCAGTGGAGTTGCCCACTCAGCTTTCGCCCTACCTAGGTACTGTGGTAGTTACCCCACAATGGCACAATTCCGTCCGTCTTATTCGGGATTCCCTTTTTGGGACGGGGAGGTCAAACTTATTACTGTTCAACTTGCAACCGTGTGTCGTTCCGGTGCAGCTTCTCTTTCTCGTCCGACCTAGGTGGTAGACAGGGCGGGCCGATGGCGGCCAGATTGCCCGCCGGGTGCTACCAAGAAACGAAACAGTCTGCTCTGGCCGACCAACGACAACAACATAGAGGGTTACATCACATCAGTCGAGACCAACTGCTCAAGAATCTCCGTTTAACTCGTCAGCTACTCACCGTTCTCGTCTATGCTGTGCCCCTCCTCGATATAATACGTTAGGATGATTTTCTAGACGGCAGAAGCTTGGCTAGTCCCGTTGTAAGTGATAAGCGCAAGTTTGCTTCTGAACCATTCCGGCATACCTGACGTATGTGGCCGGCAGGAGCGTACAACCCCATGTAACAGCTTGGCCCGCTGGTGGCGCTAATGTATCCATGGATGTCCAAGGTGGCTCAGTGTGACATTGCTGCTTTGTACGTTACGAAGCTGGTGGTAGTGACTTGTTTGTTCGAAGATGGGAGACAGGAAACTACCTAGGCTCGAGCTAGGTAGGTAGGAACATAAGACACAAATGAGGAGCAAGACCATCTGAAGATTGGCCGAAACAAAAGTGGTTATGCATGATCGTTTTGCACCGGCGTTGAATACATGACTGTAAGTAGTAGTGTAGTGCAACTCAACATGGAAAGCCGGCGCCGGCGTACTCTTCTTCTACCTCGAGCCCTAGAGGGCATGGTATCACCGCAATACTCAACCATGGAACTTTCCAATAGTAAACATTCTTTGACAGAGAGTAATTTTCGTCAACAGAACACCGCCATCCAACCGTGCCTCAGATGCCTCATGATACCTATACTTCCTGCGTCTATACCCTTCCACCTTCCATCCTGGGAAGGAGTGGTGAAGGGAGGAAACCAAGGAGACGGATACAACAACACCCTGAGAGTCCTAGCGCGCCAATATCTAATGAGGCACAAAGCATTTGGAAAGGGAATATGGATTTCGTGTTCGTGGCGATCGCCGGTACAAATACCACGGACAGGCTATCCAGCCAGACAAAGGATAAACGACACAGCTTTGGAACCGAGTGTTGGCGGGCTAGTCGTAATCATCGTCATCTTGGTTGGAACTTTTGTTGGGGTTATCCTTGCGGATGGGTATCTTAATCCCCTGACTCGCAAAGCATTTGCTTAAGGGCGTGCTCTCGCAAACTCCGGGGAACTTCTTGGCGGAGTAAACCTGGAAGACATCGCTGAATACGGAGGCTAGGACAGGGGCCTTGCCAACGTTGATGGATCCGCTGCCAGACTGGCCAGGGGCGCTGACGTTCACAAAAGAAAAGCGCAGACTGGGGACAGGAATCAGCCAAACAGCAGATCAACTCGGTGAAGAGAGTCAGGCTTACCGGAAGCAGCCCTCGGTTCGGACACTGAGGTCCTGGAGGATAAACCAAATGCCGATCTTGTCCTGAGGGTCCTGGAGACGGAACGCGCTGGCAGCCAGGCTCCCAATAAGGTTCCGTGTAAACATGCCCGACGGCGGGTTGCCGCTAATGGACATGCGCTGGGACATGCCGCCAAACTGGGGGTCATAGACGCGCGGAGGGCCGTAGGGCGAGGTCACGAGCTGATTAAGACCCTGCAGCTCGGCTTGGGGATAGTATTGATTTGGAGGCTGGTAGCTGGCCCCATTCGGCGATACAAATCCCGCTTGTTATTTTGGTTAGCAGGGATACTCGAGAACTCGACGCGTTAAAAAGAAAAAAAAAAAGCGAGAGCTTACCTTGTGTGTATGGTTGTTGCATGCCATAAGGGCTGACTACTTGACCGGGTGGAGGGTAGGCCATTTGCTGAGAGTAGCCCATATCGCGGCCGGACGGCAGAATGTGGGAATATGCTGGCGTCGCCTGCTCGATCTGTGCGTAGGACGCAGGCGAGGTGGATGATATTGAGGGGGTCGCTGTGGTGTGGCGAACCAGATTCACTTCCTTCAAGGCGTCTTCGGACCACAGGTCGACATTAAGAACAAACATAGCATGCTCGATGTCGCTGTTGGAAGGTTCGTCAAAACCGGCTCCGAGCAGAAACTTGATATGGGCAGATGACCCACTTGCAATCAATCTCTTTCCCCGTCTTTGCATCTTTGACTATGAGTCTCACACAGGGTGGAGGGGTGATGGGCCGGCGGTCCTATCTGGCTGTAAGCCGACATGCTGCCTGCCGATCCAAGCCAAGCCTGGGAGACAACACATACCTTGTCACCAAAACCGCACATTCGCGCACGTTGTGGCTGTTGCACAACATCAAGACTGCCGGTCATCGGATTAGCTTCTACCCACCGGACCGGAGAGATGTAAGTGGCATGCATGCACACGCCTCGGCCAAAGTAACCGGGGCGGGCGGGCCGCACCGTCGCCGGGAAGCTTACGAGTATACGCGGCCCTGATCGTCCTGCGATGAGTAGGGCTTGAGATTTATTTCTTGCTGTCGTTTCTGTTCCGGCGTCAGCGGGGCCCGTTCTTGGGACTGCGACGATGCCGCTTGGCCGCCGTCGGCCGACTGCCCGGGTTGCAGCGCTCCGGGACCCGCCATCGGAACGCTGTCTTGGTAGGCTGCGCCCGGTGGGGGCATTGACGGCAGCGGCTGCATCTGATGCGGGGGATACGGCGGCGGCGCGTGGGGATGCGGGTGCATATCGGGCGGCAGCGGCTGTGCCTGACTCGTGGAGTACGGCGGTTGACTCATTTCGGGCGCGGTCAACTCCCTGGAACCGCCCCGGCTGCGGATTGAAGATGATCGGGGTCGTCCGTTGCTTTCCGTTGGCTCTCGGCGTGACGCGAAAGGGGGGGGAGGGGGGGGGGTTGAGGATGATGCCGGTCGGAAGACGACTGCCAGCAGAAGGATGCAGGCAGAGAAGAGGATGAATTCGGAAGAAGTGCAAGTGCCGGCAGTGGCGGCCAAGCAAACCAAGCAATGAGCGGGCGACGTTCGACTGGTGTTGAAGGTAGCGTGGTGTTGGCTGAGATGATGGGAGACCAGACAGAGAGCCGGGCTGAGCGTTGGACTGAGGGGCCGCGCCCGCTTATATACCTTTGGTAGCTAATCCGGGGAGCCGCGTGCTTGCTTGACTCGTGAGACTACCCGTGATGTCATGCCCTAGTCGCGTCGATCGGATGCATTACTGTGTAGGTTCTGTGTGAGATCCCGTTGCGCGGCGGAGAGGAAGTGCTAGGTGATGATGGTTGTTGCAGTTTGCGTTCCGCGGACGCGGGCGGCGGGCTTGGCTGGCTCGGTGCGTTTTACTGACCCGCGATCTATTAGTGTACAATACCTAGATGAACCGTAGCAGACCGGGTATAAGCACTGTGCGTACCTATTATGTCGCACGCACCAGGGGCTTGCAACCCCACCCGAGGCTCCCCTGTCAAAGACGGAACAAGGGTGCTTTTTTACCTCCACCCTCCGAACTCTCACTTGCAGAACTTGCAACTCTATCAGTGCAGCTCGAGCCCAGCTGCAGCCACTTGTTCCAGGCGAGTTCGAGAGGCGAAGCTCCGACTCCCTCCGACTCCCTCAGACTTACCAAGCGATCGTCGCCGTTCTGACTGTCCGAGCTGTGCAGCTCGCATGATTTCACGGGTACAGCGAGCCTGGTTTCACTGTCAGCCCTACACTAACAACCCCGGAATCAGACTTGCGGCACTAGGACACCGGAGCTTTATTTATTAGAGAGCTTGCACAGTATGGTGGGTTTCCAGTTGTGATATGGTTCATCTCAACCTTTTGAACCCCTGCTCCTTGCTCGGAAGTTCCGCCCCGCGCTTTGGATCCGTGGATCTGGGTTGTTCGTCCAGACTCCAGAGCAGGGGTCATCAGACGAATGCGGCACCACAGGGCACACATTCATCGTCTACCCATCAGAAAGTCGGCTCCTGGCGGTCCGAAATACTATCAAGCTCCAACCCGGGCTATTCTATGGTACCCCCCCCCAACGCTGTGATTGTGCTACGGCAACCTGTCGTGTCCGGGTTAGCTCATCACTGCATAAAACGCGCCGTCCAAAGTTGTCATCCGCGCTGCGAGTGCCAGGTATACGAAATTCGCAGCATGACATCCTCAAGTATGGCGCGCCGCGGGTTAGAGTAGCGGCATGCCTTCCGTGGCCACTGCTGTTGGAAGCACAAGACCTTGCCTTGATAGTCGCTTCTATCGTCTGACTCAGTCCAGTCGCCCAGCTTGGCCTGATGCGTCAAGATAGTCTGTCAGCGATACGCTGTGTAGCCCCAGATGTCCCTGGCCAACAACCCTCACAGTAGCTTGACACTCAATGCCCTTCTTCACCGATGCGGCAGCTTGACGACATCTAGTTCTCGGTCATTGGCTGCGCGGTACGGCATCTGCGGCCTGGCAATCATGAAGGACGTTCCCGCCTGCGTGGGCAGCCAGTCAGCAGCTTATATCGCAATATCGCTCCCGCTGCCACCTTCATCAGATACGGATAGCAGTAGAGGCAACTCCTGCAGGACATATATTCATATGAGATGCCTCACGCACGTCGCGCTGAGACTGTCCACACCCGCCACCTGCCGCCACACCCTTTCCTCCTTGATCGGCTCCAGTCCTTGGGAAGGCTGCATCACTCGCAGAGTGAGATTGTCGGTGTGTGCGCCTTGCAAGAGCGGCATGCATGCCGGTGGCGTGCTTGCTTGCGGGAAGCTGGCTGCGTTCCTATTCGGCCGCGCGCTTCGCACCTCTGGGCGCCTCACCGGCCTCTCACCTCACAGCTTCGAGTCGGAGCATCACTTCAACTGCACCCACCCCGACAAGATCCCTGCTCTTAAGGCTATATCTCGGGTGAAGAGAATTAACAATGGGATGGCGGGCATTGGCGGCCCCGCCAGGAAATCCGTGCATACCCTGCAACAGGCCTTCAACTCGCCATCGTGGGCGGAGAACTCTGTGGCCGCTAATAGAGAATGAGCATCTGTGTGATACGTCGCACGTCACCCCCTCGATATTGCAGTTCTCATCTTGGTACGGAGGACTCAACCTGTGATATCCAAGAATAGTAACACCCAGAGCCGCGTGACCTCGGCTTCCCATGCTGGCCTGCTGGCCACGAGTCCCGCGACTAACGGTGCAAAGCAGTTGCAAAGACCCTTTGGAGAAGTCACGAACTGAGAGATGGTAAGCTGTCCATGGAGCATGGAGCGTTCATGATCGCCAGGACTGCGACAGCAAAACCGGGCTGGCAGACAAGAAACCGCAGAAGTGTGGTCCTAGGGATCTAGGTACGGTACCTATGCGGGAATCCTCCTCTTCCATCTTGCATGTTGAGAGGCTTCGACGCTGCCCCTCCCAAGGTTGGGAGCGGTAGGTACTGTACGGACCGTGTGCGGCCCCCGGGCTCCCTCGGAGTGGCGCCGGACCCACTAGGTAGGCTTCTTGACTGCAACGCACGGACCGTATCCTGGGATTATTAGCATCTGTCGATGGTGGCGCCAAGAAAGGAAACGGCAACCTGGAAGTTGGGCGATCCCTCAAACAGTCGACAGCATTCCCGAAAGGTGAAGAGCCATCCACTCATAACCCCAAAATGGAACTGCAGCATGAGCTCATTTCTCGGATCGTCAGAGGCGCGCTCCGAATGTCTACCTTACCTGGTAGGTAACCGGGGAACTTTTGACACGTCTGTGCGGGCATTGCACCTTGCCTTATTACATTTTCTGTGAGTTTCTCGCTCGCTGCTTCCGTTTCCTCTCAACCAAGGCTTCCATGGCCATGCACGGTACACACCTCATGCATGAGCCGGCACTGTGTCGTTGCCAATTAGTACCAGGTACTTTGCCGACTGAAACGGTCAACGGCCACCAACAGTATGCATCTCAACATTATGCACGCGATCCTAGCCGCATACGGCAGAGCGCGTCAGCGGGAGTGCCAGCGAAAGATCCGGGGTAGCAAGTGCCTCGGACGATTCGGCCTCCGAGGATTAGAGATTCATGTTACGGTCAGTCCTGACTGCCCTTAGACTACAGCAATGAGTAAGACTCGAACGAGAGTTGGCGCTCCATCGCCAATACCGTCAAAGCTTCAACTTAGCGTTGCTGGGATGAGCAAGGGTTACAAGCGAGGTGCTGTCCGTCGCGGTAGCTGTTCGCCAGGACTCCTTTACCGCGTGCCGCGCTATCAATCACGACTCGACGCCACTTCTTTGGGTCGTGCTCTCACTAGAGCTCCCGCCAGCCAGGCTTTTTGGGCGAACGCCGCTGTGGCCTTTTTGAGTTACCGGACTAAATTCTCTGATGGCCTTGGGAGGTCCCCGCGGTTGCTGCCATGCCTGGCAATAGTTGTGTCTGATGCCTCGATACTGTTGACGACACCCCCAAGAGATTTCTCTTGGCTTCACTCCATCACCGTAGTCATGGCACTCCGTCAACCCAGATGTACATGTCTTGGCATATTTCGTGGAAGGAACGCTTCTACGCAGCAAACATCCTAGACCCCTTCACTCAAAACGACTCTGGAGCTTCCCGCCATGCGCATTCATGCGAAAGTTCGTCAAGACTGACTATCAAGGCCCATTCTCTTGGAGTCGCAACAGGCTCGCTGACCTTACGGCGGCCAAGGCACCCTGATGTTCCCATGTCTTACCTTCACCTTTCCCGCCCCTCACTACAGGCACAACGGACAACCCATGGTCGAAGTGGCCACAATCCACAGACGGACTGGGTAGCAATCAGCCTCGCTTATCCGTGTTCGCAAACAGAATCGAGCGGACGGGTTACTTGCATTGACCGGCAGTGGATCCGGGCTGGGGGTGGCCAGCATGGCAGTTTCGTCTACCGGCTTGCATGTGCCGCAAGTCCAGTGCATCACTCACTCAACGCAAGTATGTGTTTCCCTCGTTCTTGTGTGAGTTGAGATACGGGCAGGTGCCGTGTCTCACTCCTGTACTGCCTCACAAGCCCGGATCGAAGCATCACGCTAACCCGGAATTCCAGACATCGGGCCAGACACAGTCCGAATATCGCTCCTCCAGCAAGACTTACATGTCGTGTACGTCGGAGGATCCATCTGCGCTGCGGCATTTCCCAATGGGCTTAGTCTGCTGCGGTACTATGCCCTTCAGGTGTACATGAGAGGTGTTCGGGTGATAACCGTCGCTCCATGCCCTGTATTGTACACGATGGAGAGGAGTAGTTATATCGTAGGTGATTCCTTCTCCATGGTCTTTCTCCAGCCTACCTTTCCACTTCCGGGCACTTAGTTTGTGGGTTGCCTGACACACGGCCGGAACTGAGCCTTGAGGATAATTGCGTTGTGTCACAGTCTACCCATGACCACAACTTGGTGGGTCAGGTGGTCGAATTGCCGAGAGGAAGGTGCTCATGCGGAAATCACCCACGACAGCCGGGCATGGCGAGAGCTTTCGAGACTGGGAAACCTCACAAGCCTACCTCATAGAGGTGGTACCCCGCCCACTACGCGAACCCCGTTCTCTTCCCGCCACTAGCCTGTTCCCGTCAAGATAGACAACCTTTCGCCAAGGGTGGAAGGTGCCTCACATGCAGGCGTCTTGCTGATGGATGAGGTTGGATTCGGTACCGTGATGACGACTCCAATGGGTCTCGCCGTCAGAGGAGAACCGGTCCCATCCAATAATGTTCTGGCCGCACAAGCGATCGCTGGCCAACGGCGGGGAGCGAGCAGTCTAAGCCCTTCTCTAGCTTTAGGGAACTATATGGGGCGGAGCAAGAGCCAAGGAATGAACCCCCAAGTGACACCGGTGAGAGGGGTCATGCAGTACAGTGCGTGGTCCCCTGATGCTATAGGTGGAGCAGCGTCATGTCCCGTGGAAGCCGGGCCAGGAGCGCTAGATGGTGCCTTATATGTGGATGAGACGGCCCAAGTGGAGGGTCGGCTGCGTTCTGGTGGACGTACAGCACGTGGTAATACCCGTGTTTGTCATCAAAGGAGGGGCCAGCCGCGACGGCATCAACTGTATACCGAAGTATTGAGTGAGGCTTCTGTCGTCAGGCGCCACGGGCGGCATGAGAAGGGTGAGTGAAAACCAAGGAAAGCCGAAACTCCCCCTCCCAACTGGTGAAGAGCAACAAAAGACTTCAAGCATCAGGTGCACGGCAAGCCGGAATGAGCCTCTTACCAGCGGGTGCTTGTAGACCGGAACGGTGGCACGAAGTTTGACTCCTTGAGCCATCCTGAAATTCAAGGGGGGCATGTCAAATTGCTCTCAGGCCTACGGATACTGTGTCACCGCCTCAGAAGCAACCAGCCCACGCTCAACCCAGCCCGGGGCATTCTGGGATGCCAGTGTTCTGTCCGAGCAAGGTCTGAAAACAAGCCGGGCACCGCCATCTTTCTAGTCTCCGGGTTCCGGTTCGGGATCGGAATAAAGCACACGGTGTTCGTCCGGAAAGAACATAGCCGTGGAGTCTTAGCCGCTGCTGCGGGCCGCGCGGCAGCTTTGTGAGAACCAAACCGAGGCCTGAATCACTTCCTGACCAGGCCAGTGTTTGTTGTTTGGTCCCAACCGCTGAGGGCGGGGGACTGAGCCATGCAAGCCCACGCTGTGATACCTAACGGAATCTTGAGACGTCAATATCCCGCGCAGCCTGGCTCACATTCGACTTTGCGAGCGACACATGCTGCGTAGGCGGTCCGGACTGTGGGCCACTGCAGGTAAGATGGTGTACTTGCCTAGGAGATTATAACTTGCTTACCTCTCTTGACTACGGTATCTCACCCTAACTAACTTACTTGATGGTAAGACTCGCTCGTCTATTCACCCCTCTTTCCTTCTCCTCCTTTTTATCTCTCTTTCTATCTCCCTTCGTTTCTCTTCCTCTCCGGCTCGTTCTGTTCTGCTTGTCATCCCCCTTTCTCGCCTCTTCTCACCAAGGAAAGGCCAGAAATCGATCGACTTCATGTGATACTTATGGTCCCAGTCCGAGCGCAAGTGACTGGCACGGGCAGAAGAATTCTAGAAGGTCTGTGATTACTGGCATCAAGACTGGTGGCCGGGGATACACACGAGACAGCCAGCAACATCCCTATCAGATAGACACACTGTCTGGGATGAGCATTGACGGAATGCTAGGCCAACTGGCGGAAATCTGGACCCCTGTTTGGGCCTCGGGCCGTGGCACCCCCCTCGGGCTCTGAACTTCCCGCTCGTCGGGACCGGAACGGGATGCTGAAGGAAAATCAACCGGCCTGATCTACTGGAGAAAGTGAAGATTGCCTACCTCAGGCTACCAAGACATCATAGCGGATGCGGATGTTGAAGTGAGCGGGAACATCCGCCGAGGTACCCTTACCTAACTAAGAAAGTTCAGGTACTATCAGGTAGTGCCTGATGCAGTGTTGGGATGACGGGCAGGATCGGCGCAGGTGCGGCTATGATCTACCGTCTCATCCTCAGCCCTCAGCTGGGAGTATGGGACAGGGTGACCCAATGTAACCGTACTCAGCTTGCGGTCCATCATGATACAGAAACCGATATACAGGCGAGCACGATGTTGGTTACTAATTTACCTTACATAGTCAGATCCATTAGCAGGACAAATGGAAGTTCCTTGAAAAGTGTTTGGCTGATTTGGTATGCTACGTTACCGCGAGTTAATACCGGATGCTGACTCCTGTACAGACTATAACTTATCACTGGCCTGCCAATACTAGTAAACACCTTCAAGATGATCTCCCTGGCTTCTCAGTTCTCACTCACCTCAAACCGGGCTTGATCTTCATCGTCAGATCGACATCAGGTTCCAGATCCTATGTTGATTAGACAATTCGCCTATGCCTACTACTCCTGACCAGTACCCGAGTTATATCTGAGAAACCTCAACCAAATAAGCGAGATCACTACTAGTACTAGTGTTATACACGTGGTGTGTGGCAATTTACGTACTTCACCCATGTATGTTACCGACACGTTGCCGAAGGGTGGTGAGGATTGTGTAAGGTACCTAGGTTGTGACCAAGGAGAATACAACGAGACCGCACATGCATATAGCATCAGACGTTGACATGGCTGGTTCTTGATATATCGTCTTGTTTCTCCTGCTTGCTAGTGCTATCTATCTCGCTCATGGATTCGGAAAGTTTCCCTCTCTAACTCGCAAAGAAAGGACCGAAACCGAAGACCACTAGTAGTTCCAAAGTTCTTCCTCTCATCCGCTTGCCTATCCCGATAGTATGTCCCGTGGTAAGCGCTTCTTTATTCCTTGAATCTGATCTGTAGTCCCTGAGAAAACCCGACTTTTGAGCTTCCGCCCCCCGAACCCCCCTTTTCCTCCGCTCTCTTTTCCATCGAGCATTTCCCAACTTGGCTGAATAAAGAGGTAAAGTTTCACGGCAGAAAGCACTAACCGCAATAAAACTCGTCGAAGGGAAGGTGTGAGAAAACGTAAGGTGAGGTATAGTACAAGACAGAAGAGAACATAAAAAAAAAAAAAAAGCGGTTCAAGAGCAGACGGACGCCGAGGGAATCGTGATGGGTTTGCATTAGCCAGAAGCTTCAAATCCAGGCCCAATTTCAAGGTATTCCTGTGGCCGACGCCGTAAGAAGATGTAAAATAGAAGAAGTGAGAACAACGTTGGGGGTACTAGTAGTAAAAGGTAAAACAAAAGGAAGCCCATTTCTCCTGTTCCAAGTTGGACGTTCCGCATCTGCATTTCCCTGAATTGACCCAACTGATAAACTCTCCGAACGCCGTGCTTGCAATCGCAAATCTCTCCGAAGAATTCCCCCGATATCAACCCCAACAGTAGAAGAGGCCGGTATGCATTGTGGGACGGGTCTGTTCCTTGCTTCGCAGGAGACCCTGTAAAACATCTCGAGCATCATCCCTCATAAGTGTCGTGTCGTCCATTGTTGTGGTTAGGCTTGGTCATGAATCTGCCAACTTCGCGAAATGCTTGGACCATATCCAGCCGACCACATTGTGGGGGTCGTCCTGGTTCTTGGCTAGCCATAACTCGCCCTTCTCGGCGATGACATCAAAAATCTGGGATCCCAGTTTAGCAAAAGGTCGCGGCCCTCAACAGGAATAAAGCAGTGAAAGACTCACCTCCCCGGCTTGGTACGTCAGATAAGGGTACCCTGCCTCGTGCTTGGTATTCTCAATGTTGAACTCAAACAACGACGCGGCGAGCCACAGCACATTGTATGCGTTGCCGCCTCCTCTCTCCCTTGAGGAGGCCCGTGACGAGCGTACGCTTTCCTCGGGTCCGTCCGGCAGCGGCAGGGCCGAGTTGAATAAGCCCGACAGACGCCTAGCGTGTTGCTCCGAGCTGCCACCGGCGCCAGCACCGGGGGGATAGCTCGAGTTGAAGGTTGAGTTCGAATCACGCAGGTTGTTGGTAGACATGGCCGGGGTCGACTCGGAGCTTTGGCGCGGAAGGCTAGCTAGATCGAGGCTGCGACCTGTGTTGGGACGTGCAACAGGTGAGATGGCAGAAGTGGCCGGCCGGGATCCGCTGGCGGTGGCATCGGCCGACGTGATGGGCGATCCGGAAGCGCCACGGACTTGGCCGTTGACGCCGGAGTAGTAGTCTCGGTAGTAGTTTGCTGGGCTCGGTAGGGCGCTGCTCGCGGGCGAGAGGCTGAACTGCCCGCTGTTGCGCTTAGCAAATTCGGGCGTCGGTAATGTTGGGACGTAGTCGCTGTTGATGGACAACCCTCTTGAGCGGGGCGACGTGATGTCGCTGGGTCGTGACCGCGTCTTGGAGAGGATGGAGGCGTCGTCCGCGGTTGACTGAGAAGCACGGCCTTTAACCGTGTGGCTGACGATGCCCAGAGTCATGACCCTCTCCTCTTGCAACGCAAACTCCCGCTGAAAGCTGGACACGATCTCGGAGAGCTCGGGGACATGTGTGACGTCCTGGAGCGGTGCTTTCACCTTCTCCTTCCAGATCTTATACCAAGCCGCCTGGATACTGATGAATTTGCCCAGACAGATGTTGCCCACCTGGGCAGTCATCGCTGAAAGCTTCGGCAGCTCCTTCTTCAGCGTATCGTTGAGCGCCTCGTACTGCTCGACCAGCTCAGCAAGCTGCTTGTCTATCTTCTTGCCGGAGGCCTTCAGCGCCATGTACTTTTCGTAATCGAGGCGCCGCTTGGCTCGCTTCTTCATGGCAAGGTTGGGGTTACCGTAACACCTGATGACCTGCTCAAATGGCTCAATGACATGTTTCCGAACATCGGCGAGCTGGCTCAGCGGGTTAGCAAACAAAAGCCCGGATCAAGCAAGGTATGTACTAGTACTAGTACACGTGGGGCCACGGCTTACGTGTCTCTCCAACGCGATCTTCTCAATGTCTCTCATTGACACGTTGAACTGCACCCATTTACTCTCCAGGTGAGCATAGTCACGGGATGGCTGCAGTCGCATGACGAGCTCCATCGAGGAGAGATACTGAAGGAAGGCATGGACGTATGTCGCCACATCCCTGGTGTAGAACTCCACGTCGCGCAGCACGAGCTGGAGCTGGACGTAGTCGTCCCCGAATTGCTGCTGAAGCCGCTGGTACTCGTCGTCTTCGGGCGTCTTGGCACCCGACACCTGGAGTTTGTCGACACGCTTGCCAAAGGCCCTTGCTAATCCAGTTTTGACATCCGATTCCTTGCGTTTCCTGTTGCTGACAATCTGCCCCACGAGCTCAAAGTTCTTTTTCGTCTTGTTGATCTCGTCGATTGCTTCAATCACCGCCGTCCTCGCGCGGACGAGCGCTTCACGGTCCGGATGATCCTCCGGGGTGTATTTGAGCAGGTGGGTGATGATGTCGGGATACTTGGTGATGCGCTGCATGGGCTTGATAAGCAGCGAGTCCAGGTTCCAGGCCGTTGTCAGCTCTTTCGCCACTTCGTTGCATTCGTTGAGCCAGAGGTTGACGGTCTTGTCTTCCTGAATCTGCACAAGGCGCTTGGTCGAGTGGTCGCTAGACCGCAGATACACCTCGTGCACCGCCTTTAATTGCTCGATATTCCTGGAAAACACGGGGCCGAGAGAGGTAAGCCGGTCCTTGTCGTCCTCCCGATCCGGCCTGTTTGCAGACATGACTGAGTTGAGCGTCGCGGAATCGGAATCCTTTCCATTCAGGTTCGGAGGAGGGGACCTTCTCCCCTTGGGGGTATACACGGTCGATGCGCCTTCTTTGAATTCGACGAGAAGGGTGGCATGGAAAGCAATAATCTCGTCCGTGTTCCGGAAAATCACCTTGACGGTCTTGCTGTCCAAGTTTGGGCATGCCTCGGCGGTGCCCTTGTAGATCTCCTCGACCACGGTCATGTCCCTGACAAAGGCATCCTCCGTGTCGATGAGCTCCCGAATGACCAACTCCCTCTGTCGGAGCCGCTTCTGCTCCTCTTGCTCCTTTTCTGTCAGCGGGGTTTGTCTCTCATACAGTGTATCACTTAGCGAAACCCGGGACGGGTCCAGCGAGTCAAGCCGCATGTGCGAAACGGATTGAGGTGCTGAGGTGGCTTCGGAACGGTCGCCTTTCGCGTCGTGGCTGTACACGTAGCTACTGGGCCGGCTTCCGAGGTGCAGAGTGCTGTCTCGGTCGTAGTCACGCTCGGATGGAGGTATATGGGAGGGTTGGGAAGGAGCACGCCTTGATGACGGCGCTATGCTTCCAGATTCCGACCCGTTGCAAAGCGTGAAGCTGCTGACGGTGGGAAACTCCGGGAACTGTCGATGCTCGGCTGGAAAGTCGGGTAGCATAGGAGAGGAAGCAGCGCCGGGTTTGTCCGGCGGTGCTGTCTCCGGGCTTTGGGTGAGATCTCCTAGGCTTGAAGCACAGGTGCTGAGATCACCCGTAGAGGGTATGATCCTAAGCGACCCACCCGCCTCGCGAGGTGGATGCTCGCGAGGTTGCGACGCAGAACTGTGGTTGCCAAGATCGTGGTCTTCGCTCCCTATTGAGAAGTCGGTCCACGCAGAATGTTGGCTTAACCGATTGCCAGGTGCCAGCAATCCGGGTACAGTCAGACTGTGTGAGGTGTCTGGAGTCTTTTGGTATTCAGCTGGGGAGAGGTGACCATCAAGGGGCGTGCCAGAATCCGAGGAGGTGAAGGTTGAGTCACGCAGAGCAGCAACGTTGTCGCGCAAGCGGGATCCGATGTAAAAGTCCTCAATGCGATCCAAGTTTTCGATCCCACTCCCGGATTCTCCCAACCGGACATCGACTTGCGGCGGCGGCTCGGAGGCAATGATCTCAGGACGGTCGTTGGCGGGAGATTCATCTGGCCGAGGATAAGGGGTCTGAGGTACGGTTGAATGCGGCAGCTCATTGTGCAACGGTTTGAAGTCATTATTAGGGTCTAGAATGGTGACCTTTGTCTCGTAACTCTCGGACGGGAAAGTGTACGGCTGCGGCACATATTCGTCGTCTTCGGCCGGAGCAGGAGTGGCAGCAGGCTCGGGCCCGGGATCGAAGGTCGTGCGGGTTGGTGTGAGCTCGGGAGATGGTTGCGGCTCAGGGGCAGAGGTATCGAGAGATATCTTTATGGAGACGCCGTCGCCCTCGTCGTCCTCGTCGTCTTCGAACGGGTCATGATAGGATGATCTCCTGCGCAAGACCGGAACGGCGGGTTCCTCGGGCCGTGGCCGCTCGAGAGGCTCCGGCTTATGCGGGTCCTGTGTCAAGCTTGGTATAATCACTCCCAAGGCGTCATCGATGGCAGAGGTGCCTTCCTGCTTGGGGGGCTCAGTCTGCACCTCGTGGTCGAACTCTGTAACCCCGCTGGCCATGGAGACGGCGGACAGCGGGATTTCGCCTTGATCCAATTCCGGAGACCCAGCACCGGGAAAGCTGCCCGGTATTTCTAGTCTGAGAGGCCGACATTCGTGGAGGGCATTGGATTCTTCCGCTGGTGGCTGGGGTGTGGATAGATCTGGTGCGGCGTCCTGTAGTTCCTCTATTTCCGGTTCTTCTTTACCTGTCGACGTTTCCAGCCCCCCGTCGCTGTCCGCGGGCTCGTTATGTGGTGTTGCATCGGCATCGGCATCGGCATCCGCATCGACATCGGAAGCAGACGTGGCATTAGTAACTGCCGCCAGAGTGGCCGCCTCTGCCTCAGCTTTTGCCCTGGCTACCGCGGCAAGCTCCTTCTTTCTCTTCTCTGCTGCCACCCGCCTGGCCTCCAAGGCTTGACTCTCCCGAACCGACTTGCTATAGGCGAGCTTGATGGTTTCCCGTCGCTGGGCAAAATCTATCTGTCCCATGGACACCTTGCGCCTCCGTGGAGCTGATTCCTCTGGCTTTGCCGCGGACCGCGACTGTCTCAAAGGTGAGGCGCCTCTCTCTGTCGCGCGCATTCTCGAAGCTGCCGTCGTAGCCGTGGCAACCGACTGCCGGGGGCGAGAGCTGCGAAGGCTAGGCGATAGCTTGGGTGCGGGCACAGAGACGTAGGCATTGAGCCGGCTACTCGGCCGGGTTGATATATTGGCTGGTGGAGGTTTTCGGGGGCTGGGGATGTGAGAGGGTGGCTTGATCCGGCTGGCCGGGTTCTTCGAGGGTGTCCTGGCGCGGGAAGCTGACGACACCTGCTGGCGCGAGCTCCTCCCGCTTGTGGTAGAATGCTTGAAGGTAGAAGGGGAGCTTGAGCGTGTCGATGCGGGGCTGCCATGGCTCGAGGCATCGTTCAAGGTATCGTTTAGCCTTCTCGTCGGTCTTGGAAGGCGCGATGTTGGCGATGCCGGCGACGTGGGTGAGATGGGCGAGTCGACATCGTGCCTGCTGCTCACAATATGATCTGGCCGACTCAATGTCAATTTTGATCCCGCAAGGTCACTCTGGGCTCGAGTATGCTGGCCCTTCGCCGACCTTGAGGCATGATGTTCCGTGCTCTCTTGGTGCGCTGGGTGTGCCGCCCGGTACCAATCGGTTGGTGACGGGGGCTCGATGTCTGGATCCGAGAGGGACCTCATTTGTGTCCGCACGGGGTTGATGGCGTTGGACTCGGAAGTTCTCCTCGGTCGGACCGTCTCAATGCCGAAGCCTGGCGTAACCGAGTCGCTGAGCTCCGGCAGGATCTCGCCAAACAGGAGGCCGTTTTGGCGCGGCGGAGCAGGTCGGGTGCTCGAGGACTCAGTCCCCGCACCCGACGCGAGCGTTGTCATGGACTTGGACCCGTGCGCATTTGTAGAGCCGGCGGCGCGAGGCTTCGATATCCTACTAGCAAACGATTGCGCACTGCTGGACGTCTGGTCTCCGGCACCAGTTCTCGGCCGCTGCGAACTTCGAGCGCCGGAGGATTTACTCGTGTCGCGTCCTGTGTCTCGTGCCGCAGTCGTCCTCGGTGAGCCGTGTGAGGTCGTACCGCTCCCGACACCGGGTGACCTCCCTTGGACGCTGCTGGAAGCCGTGTCTCGGGTTGCGGTTCTCGGGGCGGGCTTTCGGCCGGTCGAGGCGGTCTGTGATGTTGACTGGTCAAATTTCTTTTTGAGATCCCTCACGCTCAGTGGAGCAGCCTGGACTGTGCCGTGGCCGTTCCCTGCTGCCCGCGCCGCGCCATTCCCCAAGTTTCCCCCACTTCGGCTGTCGACCGGGTTCGACGCGGAACGCTGGCTCGGTCGGAGGGCGGTTCGGTGGGTTGCTGGCACGGCGGGGTGTTTTGGCGTCGTCCCGTTCCCGTTTGACCGCGCCGAGGGCGTCTGCCGGGTACTGCTTGACGCGGTCGGCGCCATGGGATCCTTCACTGGCGACGAGACATTCCCGGATTGTTGCAGGCTCTGGTTTTGGTTTTGGTTTTTGTTTTGGTTTTGGTAGCTGCGGTAGAAATCGGACGGGTCTACAAGGTCATCGGCGGAAGCGCGAGAATTCTCGAGATGGTGAGCGGGAGCGGGAGCGATGGCATTGGCGGAATAAGGGTGTGAATTTGTGGCGGCGTGCGGGCTGAGAGACTCGTCGAAGCGGTCGAGGTACTGCGGCTGCGAGTGGTGCGGTAAGTGCGAGTGCAGCAATTGATCTTCAGGGCCGTTCTGGACGTGACGGCGGGTGAAGTCAAAGTGGTCGAGGAGCGGGCCGGGGCGCGAGACAGGCTCGTCTCCGAGACTGCCATGGTCCATGGTGTCGTCCTCGTTCCTCGTCCCATCACTCTCGCTCTCAGGCAGCTCCCGTCGGGCTGGCTACTCTGCACACGCCTCTGGAGCGAACAGGATTTGCGGGTTCCAGAGATCGTCGATGTTCCATGCGGGCAAGCTGGGGTTGCGTGGAGGGTGGGATGTCGGGGCTTGTCGACGTCGCTGCGCTGGCAAGCCCGAGGATTGGCTGCAATTGGGCTGGCACGGCTGGATGGGCTGCCTGCATCAGCGATTGGGACCCCCTTGGCGAATTTGAGCGAAGATGGAAACAGCCATCCATCACGGGTCCCGCTCTCGGCCGGGCTGTAGGCCGGGACCCACCCCTGCCAGAACCCAAATCCGCCAAGAGAATCAAGATTCACTTCCTTCCCGGCTTGGACCACCCTTACCCGCCTTACAAACCACCTAACCCTCCAAAGTTGTAGGTCTCTGGCTCTCTGCTTGTGCATCTTTTCTTGCATGCAACCGGCCTCTGCGACGCGGCCAGGATGGGTTTCTGCAACTTGTCAAACGGGACATGTCGTGAAGCTCGACTCCTGTCACCTGTGAGAGGTTGAGCAGCCTGAACGCAATTTCCTGTGTCGACTGTGGGGGGCCGAGCTCCTGGCTCCTATGCGAGGGCAGCTGCATGGAGAGTCGCACACGATGGAATTGCAAATTGATGATGGGTGGGTGTCGGTGTCCAGTCGATCGTTGGGGCCTTTTTGGGGGACGACCGGATGATGGGCAACAGTTGCCTAACTTTTGGGCTTCGGCCCATTGCGCGCCTCTTTTACCGCTTCGTCTTCTGGTCGGAGTTCCCATCGCATATTTTCGTCATGCTGTGGTAATCACGCAGTATGCAATTTTAACTAAGTACCTATAGTCCATCTGCATCCCAACCGGAAGTTGTCGGGGGATGTCTTTCCAGTACTATCTTCCCTTGTCGAACTTTGGTCATTTGTTGAATCCTCGCTTCTTCATTCAGGTGAATTGATGACCCGGCGAATCGCGTGCACTTGATGGAGTCGCATGAAGTTGAACCTGTGTGGCTGCCCAATTCGTCTCGACATTTCGCCAACCCACCCAAGAGTGGTCACTGTGAATGCCCATGCATCGCCTGGAAACCAACAGACATCCGGATATCAAACACGAATAAACGATCGTGGGGCGCTGAGTGGCTTGACAAGAGGACAACCGTTTGAGGCTTCAATCGTCCCGGCCGCAACCCGCAACCCGCAACCCGGGTCTCGACGCGCCGACGCGCCGTCACACAACGTTTCGCGGGGCATCCAACCCAGTGCGAGCTCGCCAGTGCCACAGCACTGCCGCTGGACAACTTGCCCCTGCTTGTTCCGGGCTTGGCTGCTTTGTTGGAGGCTGTCCGCTCTACCGGCAACGTCCAATCGCCCGTTCGACCGACCTGGACGCGCTCATCGTCCGTCAGCCTGCCATTGCAGTTGTTACTCAGACGAATTGGCCGACGCAGCGGAAAAAGCACGGAATCCAGATCGCAGTTCATCTCATCCCGCGCCCGCCAGCCCAATCACCCGGCAGCACATGTCAATTCGTTGCTGACAGACCTCTCTCCCTCGGCACCAGGGTAGCCGATGTCTCATCGACGGGAATTGGGTTTGAAGGAACTTTCGATGCCCAAGGACATTGGTGGTTTTCGACAGTAGGGAATTGTGCTGGATTTATCGGAAAACCGGCCGGTGTGGGCCTAAACCACCGGACCCATCGGACCCATCGGACCCCGCATGAACGATGGGTCATGCTCCGGGTCCGGCGCCCCGGAAGAGGGCCCGAAGCCCCGGCGGCGGGCTAGTCCGTGACGGCTGCGCAGATCGACGGGCCAAGCATGCCAAACACGAACAACAGCCGCGCGGCGCCGTTGTCAATCACGCACTGCTGACCCAGTTTTACTCTGAGATACAGACATTGCGCCAGTATGCTCTCTCAAGACTGCCCGCTTCCTCGCGCATCCGGCGGCGGAAGATCGCATCGGTGGGACTGGGAGAATCTCCACCCGACAAGCCTCACACAGATGACGAGCTCGCCTTGGGAGATCTCCTCGACTCAACCGTCGTTGCTCGCCGCCATCATACCGAGGCTGGCCACGAGCACCGCTGGGAACAGTATGTCGCCTACAGTCAGAAAGGCGACGAGTCGAAACTGACGCTCTCGGATGGCCTCAAGGGGTCAATGTACTCGCAAGCCGAGGTAAGCCGAGAAATGTGGTGACCGTTTGAGACATCATGACTTACGCCGTGGCACACAAAGATTGTCGACTTTGTCATCTGGCTCATGTTCTCTCGAGAAAGTGCCAACTCTTGGCCGAAGCACTTGCTCTGCGACGGCTTTCGAAGACAGGCCGGCCCCAGCAACGGCCGCAATCCCGCTACTGCCACGGCTATTCCGGGATTGCACTCGGTCTACCCCAATCAGCATGTTCAGGCCCTGAGGGCGTCACCATGGCCTCAGCTACTCATGCTGTTGGGGAAGGAAGGGGAGCGCATCATGATCGATCTTCTAGTTGACTGTGCCATCTTTCGGTCCGTGAAGGCTGGGAAAGGGAACCTTTACCAATTGAGCGGGATCCCAGTTTCTCAGCTCGAGCCTTTAGGACAGGATGGGGACAAAGAAGGGCTTCCGCTAACGGGTGCTGGACAGCGCAATGCGGAGCGCCGTCCATCAGAGATCTCCTTTGTCAGGAGTAGGATGCTCTACGCAAGAGCCGCGTTCAATGCTCGAGGGCTAGTCCACTTTGGGCTGCGTCACATCCGTATGTTACCCGTTTCTCGCTGATATCGGTCAGTGCTCATGCTTTTAGACGTTTTGAATCGTTTTCCCTACAAGGGCCCGTCTACGGCGGGAGCCGACAAAGACGATGGCAGTGTCGCGCATATCATGATGTACATGTTTCCTCGACAGTTTGGTCTACACAATGTCTTCACATCCACCGTGGATCGTCAACAGACCGCCCAGAAGTTTCAGGATTACACTCTTCGCGAAGAGGAGATAGCACACAAGTTCCCAGCGGCGGAGGCCGGAGGCAAGCCCACCAAGCATGTTCCCAAGAGACTTCGGGGCAAATTGATGTCCCTAGTCCAGCGGCTCCAGGTGCTCCACAAACGGTGCTCATATGCTGAGTTGCTGCACCATTATTGTCCAGTAAGTAAAGGGATTAACGTCGATGGTGCGGTGCTAATTTGCCTAGGTATACGGACAATTCGACGGCAAGGGAAAGGTTCCGGCAGACGCAATCAAGACTCTCCCATCCTCCTCCAGATCTTTGACGAGATCCGTTGGCGGTGGGAAGAAGTCGAAATGTCCGGCGGCTGTTCCTCCCCCCGCTCTGCAGTATGGCTCTCTCACCGACCTGGCCACTCCGGTGTCAAGCGTCTCGGCTCTCTGCCAGGCTGTGCTATCGAAAGTAATCCCGAACGAGTTCTGGGGCCAGGGCGCTACGCAGGAGCACAACCGAGCCTGCTTTCTGAAGAGTGTTCATCACTTCATTCATCTTCGTCGATTCGAGAGCATGTGTCTTCACGAAGTGATGCAAGGAATGAAGGTGAGCACATGTTCATACAACCCGCTGTGTCGGGCCTCAGGATTGACTGTCTCGTCAGATAAGTGATATTGAATGGCTCACGCCCCCAGGACTGGGCAGCAAGAGAAGCTCACAGTCGGACACGCGCAAGCGGACCGAGATCTTCTACGAGTTCTTGTATTATCTGTTTGATTCGTTCCTGATACCCCTTATCCGCAGCAATTTCTATGTTACCGAGTCCAATGTCGACAAATACCGTCTCTTCTTCTTCCGCCACGATGTCTGGCGTTATGTGGCCGAGCCGGCCATGGCTACCCTGAAAGCAACCATGTTCGAGGAGGTGAAAACGGCGGACGCTCTCCGAGTGTTGGAAGCCCGTCGACTTGGCTATTCACAAGTGCGGCTCTTGCCTAAACAGGCCAAGATGCGGCCCATCATGAACCTGCGCCGACGGACGCTTCTCCGAGGAGCCACTAAGGTCCTTGGCCCCAGCATCAACTCCATTCTAGGGCCGGTCAGCTCGATGCTCCAAGACGAGAAGGTGAGAAGATCCCGTGGCGGATGGCCCAGGACGTTATCCCGCTGACAAAAACAGGCTCGGCATCCGGACCGTCTCGGCTCCTCGTTGTTCTCCGTCGGGGACATATACCAGCGCATCAAGGCGTTCAAGACGAGGCTCGGCAGCGGGCAGCACCAGTTCTACTTCGCCAAAGTTGACGTCCAAGCCGCGTTCGACACGATCCCTCAGGACGCCATGATCGACCTGCTGAAGCATATCCCCCGGCAATCGTACTACAGGATGCTGAAACACGTCGAAGTAGCCCTGCTCGAGTCGGCTTCCGGGAGCAGCTCAAATGCGAAACCCACCAAGAGGTGGCATACCCTAGCTAAGGCCGACGACGACACGCGAAGCTTCCCAGAAAGGGTCGAGGAGTCACTCGGTGCCAAGAGAAAGAACACCGTCTTCATCAGCAGCGCGGTCCAGAAGACGCACAGCACGCACGATCTGGTGGCCCTCACGGCTACTCACATTCAACAGAACCTGGTCCGGATCGGCAAGAAGTACTACCGCCAAAAGGCTGGCATCCCGCAGGGCTCGGTCCTGTCGTCGACGCTTTGCAACTATTTCTACGCCGACCTGGAAGAGAAACACTTGTCGTTCCTACGGGCGGATGATTGTCTGCTGCTGCGTCTGATAGATGATTTCATCCTCATTACCACGGACCAGAGGAAGGCGCGCCGGTTTGTCGACATCATGCACGCCGGCCTTCCGAGATACGGGGTTACAGTCAACCCGGACAAGAGCCTGACAAACTTCCCCCTCACGGTACGCGGGACTGCGGTCGCCAGGCCGGACGACTTGCGAAAATTCCCCTACTGCGGCCTGTTGATCGACTGCAAGTCACTGGCCGTGACTAAGCAGCGGGATAGCTCAAAGGGTCCCCGTATGTCATGCCATTCGCAATGCTTTACTTTATACTTGTCAAGGTCTGGAAGATGCTGATGCAAATGAGAAAAAAACAGTAATATTCAATTCACTCACCGTTGAGTACTCACGTTGTCCCGGCCGGACGTTCAAGCGCAAAGTCATCAGTAAGCTGGAGGCTGCCTGCCCTTTCCGTCTTACATGTTGCGATTACCCCTCGCTCGAGTCTGCTAACACCCGCCCCCTAGACGCCTTCAAAATCCAATCCCACCTCATGTTCTTCGACACGTCGCACAACTCGCGCCGGGCGGTGCTGGGGAACATCTACTCGGCCTTTGTCGAGACGGCCACCAAGATGTGGGCGTATGCTCGCTGCATGACCAGCAGGCCGAGCACAGGGATCTTGATCGGTGGGTGCCCTGTCCATCTCGAAAGTCAATTCTGTTTTGGTGGACGATGGGATGGGTATTTGGTGAAGAAAGAAGGCTGACCCTGTGCTCAGACACCATCAGGACGCTGGTCGATGTGGCATTTGTGTTGTTGACGAACCGGGCCAGGAAGCAGAGGTTTCCCGGGTATGAATGCCGGGTGAACAAGGGAGAAGTGACTTGGTATGTCTTCTTTTCCCGGGCACCATCTTCCGATTTCTTCGTGTCTACAGCCAAGTTTGGCTGACTAGCGTCTCTTAATCGTCTAGGCTGGTCATGGTGGCGTGCAGGCAGGTGCTGGTAAGGAAGCAGACGGGCTATGGGGAGGTCATTAGCTGGCTCGAGACAGAGACTCGGAAGCTGTCTGCTCAGAAGGGCGTGGATGTGGGAGTCCTCGTCGGCGTTGCGAAGGCGTTGCCAGTACGTGAGCGGAAGGGGAAACTGTGAAGAGTACTAGTAGCACTCGTTTGTGCCTTTTCTGGGAAGTGGCTGAAGCGCTTACACTTGGTATCGATTATAAGCTTCAGCGTTTATGAGAGCCCGCTGTTGAAGAGCCGTCGGCGCGGGATGGAGGATGATATCTCGGCCAAGATAAGATCTCCCATATGAAAGGGACCTTGCTCGTAGTATGTGCCTACAGGCCTCACCTCGTTAACTTGTCCTTCCGATCCGACCTTCTCATCCCCGAGTAAGAGAAACCCCAGAAGTCACACCCCTCTCCCGGCCTCACGGGTTCCATACGACTGATCCTGCACGACCCGTGTATTATCCGGCCATATCACAAACCCCGGCCAGTCAAGCGGTAACTACTCCGTGCTCATATACTAACTCAGCCGAAAACAACACGAGACCTGTTTTCTGGGTGTGAAGTGTAGGGAGCAAGATTTAAACAGCATATAAGTGCTACTATATTAAAGGTAGACAAGAAAAAAAGAAATAGCAACCCAATTCTTGAGACACCGAATCGTGAAACTGAACCAAACAGCAGGTGTATCATGCATCGCTCTCATCATAATCATCGTCATCATCATCTCTACACAAGAACAACATAGAGAAGAAAAAAAAAGGAGAATATTAGTCAAGTCCCCCTCCTCAACTCCACTCAGGAAAACAGAAACAAAACCCAACCCAGGGATATCTTCTTTTTTTCAGCCGTTCCAACCCAAATCCCGCCTCGCCTCCGCTCTATTAGAATAAAAAGCCCCTCCTCCCAATCTCATAGATGATCAAAGATAACCCCCCGCCCCTTCCATACTGATATCACTCAGGGGTGCTCCCCTGGTATAACCACGAGGGCTGTTATCCCCGCCAGCCGACGATCCACCGACACTCCTCGCCTCCAGACTGACGCCGCCGGGCTCCGACACGGGCGTCATCAGCCTGCTATTCTTCCCCTTGGTACCAGTAGGAGTGCCCCTCCTGCTGCCGCCCCTGGCGTTCTCCGACCCCACGACCAGCACCTGCGCGGGCGTGACAACAATCTCGTCGTCGCCCCTGCCCTGGTCGTCGCCCTTGCGCAGCACGAGCGGGAACAGCACGACGCGCACGGTGGCCTTGGCCACCTCGAGCTCCTCGTTGGACTCGGCGAAACTGCCCGAGGCCTCGTTCATGAGCGCCGCGTTGAAGGTGACCAGCTCGGTGAGCTCGCCCGCGTCGTCGTACTCGGGCTGCAGGGGCGGGAGCATCATGTACTCGGCGCGCTGGCAGCGCATCTCGATGGCGAGCCCCACGGCCTCGCGGATGACGCGGCGCAGTTGGGCTTGGATCTGTTCCTCGAGGTTGGAGGGCGGCGGGAGGATCTTGGAGAGGGTGTCGAAGATGGCCAGCACGACGGCTTCGGTGTCCTGGTCGCGCTGCTTCTTGAAGGACGGGCGGCGCGAGAGCAGGGTGAGCGTGACGGCACGCCACTGGCGCACGGCGTGGGGCGGGCCGACCTCGATGAGCTGCTTCTCGAGCTGCTTGAGCTTCTGGCGCTGCTCGCGGTCCATGCCGAAGAGGTAGCGGGTGAAGACGAACTCCCAGACCATGTTCATGGTCATGCTCATGAAGATGTCGCGGCGGCGGACGCGGTCGTTGAGGTACGAGTCGACGTTGGAACCGTCGAGGACGGCGTTGTCCAGCCGGTCGATGAGCTTCTCGTCGCTGAGCTCCGACGTCAGACGGCAGGCACGCATGTCGCTGAACTTGGAGAAGCGCAGGACCCATTGCTGCACGTGGGCGCACAGCTGCTGGCAGCGGTGGTCGAAGTAGTCGATGTCGTGGATGTCGAGGAAGTCTGGATCATCCAGCGGCCGGTCGCGCTCCAGGATCTGTTGCTGCATCTCGCGGATCTGGGCCGTCGTCGCCTCTAGCTGGGTACGCAGCTGCACGATCTCGTTGTCCCTGTCTTGCAGCGTGCGGGCGGTCTGGGCATGGTCCGCCTCGAGACGGCGGATCTCCTCGTGGTGCTTGACGGCAATGGCCGAGGTGGAGCTGCGCAGGCCCTCGTTGGTCTGGTTCAATCGGTCAATGACCTCGTTGGCCTCCTTGAGCATGCGCTTGAGCGACTCGATTTCGGCATCGCGCTCGGCCAGAGCGGCGACACTCCGATGGGTCACCGACGACTCGGCCTGGGCGCGGGCTTCGGCGAGCCTGCGGTTCTCGGCCAGGAGCTCCTCGACGTGCCGCTGGAGCTCGAGCATCTGCATGCTCTGGCGGCGGCGCATGCTGTGCGGGCGAGTGGGCGAGCGCGGCGAGCCGATGCGGCCCTCGCCGAAGCCATCCTGGGATTGTTAGCCGCTTGAATTGGACAAATGACAACAATTAAAGAAAATTCAGAAGGACAAAAAAAATTTTTAAACATACGTAGACATCAGTCATGTCCTGCTTCGCGCGGGCACGGCCCTCATTTGCAACGGGAGTGGTGTTGTGTGGAACGTTTCCAGTTGTTGCGGTGGGTGCGGCAGCAGCGGCAGACGACGACGACGGCGATGAGAGCAGCACTGCTCCTCCCAGTGCGGTTGCTGCACCGGCAATGATTGCTGCTGCTGCTGCAGCAGACTCGCCAGTATTGGCCGGGCTTTGCGGTGTGACGGGCCGCAGATTTTCTTGCTCGCAGGCCTTGGACGCGAGATCTCGTTGGCTGAGCGAGACGGCCCGCAGGTCGCCCTTGTTGCCCCGCCTGTCCATTCTGCGCAGCTGCAGCGGAGGCGTGGGTGTCTCGCCGTACGAGCGGAGACTGCCTGGACTGTCAGGCCGCAGCGCAGATTCAGGGGTACGCAGGCGGGCCATGCTGGTATTGGACGGCACGCGTCGCGCGGTGGGGTCTGCGGGTCTGGGTGACTGCTGCGCGCTCTCTGACAGGCTGCGCCGACCGGCCATCGGGGATGCAGCAGCAGCGCCCGCAGCGCCCACAGCACCCACAGCACCGAAAATGTTGGAAGGTGAAGGTGCTGGGACCCGCTTCTTGCTAACCTGTAGCTTCTCTGGCTCAGGCGTGCGAGCAGGCGGTGAAGGCTCGTACAGGCGCGGGGTTTCGGGCCCAATGGCGCCAACTTGGACTCGATGGCCGCTTGTTAGCGGAGACGTCCTGCGGGTGATACGGCGGTCTGCATCGTCGTTGCGTGGTGTTGCGGGAATTTTTGGCGAAAGACCCTCTCCGACTGGCGTGCAACTCCTGATGTTCTCCATCGAATCTTTGAGATGCACGCCGCTGTCGCGGATGGCGCCATGGCCATTGTCGTTGTGGCCCAAGCGGTGTGACAGACGAGGTGGGCTGGACGAGATGCCGCTATCCCGGTGTAGTTCGGGCGCGTTCGGGACATGGCGGGCATGATGACGACCCCGCGTTGGCGACTCTTGTAGACTGGCCGGCTCGTCCTCGTCCTCAGACAGCTCCTCTTGCACCGGCGGCAGACTGGAATACGACCGCATGAAGTCCGAGAAATTGGACAGAGCGGGGAGCCGGACGGGCTCATCTTCCGCCGCAAGCGCCGTGTCCTTCTTGTCTTCCGCCGCCGGCTCCCGGGTGGTGAATACCTCTTCATCCGCAATGTCGTCCGGGAAGGAAAAGGCCCGCTGCACTGGCTCCGGCGATGGCGTGCTTCCCTGCCGCTGCTTCTTGTTCCTGCCCAACGGATCCGCCGTGGTGGATGGGTCCCGGAGCGATCTTGGGATCGTCTCAGAATCCATACGGCCCAGACCTGACCCCTCCGAAAGGTCGTAAGTCTCCGTGCTCGCCCCCTTCTCAAGTGCCGGTTCTTCAGCATCTGCGCCCCTCTTTGCTGCATTGTCCGCGATACCCCCGATCTCCTCTTCTCCCTTTGGCTGCGCATCCGTTTCCGTCTTTGCCAGGTCCACACCCCTCTCCCTCTCCCTGGTCTCTTCAACGTCCACCCTTCTCTCCGCCACTGCCTTCTCGGCTGGCTCGCCAAGCTCCATCTTTGTGGGCTGCGAGCCGCTTCCCCTGGTCTCCTCCACAGCCATGTGCGCCTGCACGTCATTATCCTGGCGCTCGTCCACATCCCCACTGATCTCCCCAACGACACCACGGTCATCCGTTTCCCCCTTGTCCTGGGGAACATCCGACACCTCGCCAGATTTCTCATCCAACTTCTTTGGCTTGCTGCCCTTCTCCTTCTCTTTCTTAGCAGCACCACTAAACATCTCCGCCAACAGTGCCACCCCACCGCTAAGCGCGCCTGCCGCTCCCGCAAGAGCCGCATCATCATCCTTTCCCGACTTGCTCTCCCGATATTGCTCCTCTTCCTCTCTCTGATTCGTAGGCTTGCCCCTGTCCTCACTGACCGAGCCCCGCAATACTTCCGGGGCATCGACGACAGGATTGGATATTTCGATAGTATTCGCCTGCTCCTGCGTCCTGACTTTCTTCCGGTGCGCCTCCTCGTAGTCGTCAAAAGGTGGATCATGCGAGAGGTGGCTGCTGGGTTGGGCCGGCGTGAGGTCCACGCCGAGCTGTCGGGACGCTTCGACTTGGGCATCCAAGGAGGGGGGAGTCTCGAGCGCGGTCAAAAGTTTCGGTGAGGGCGCGTCCTCGGGGTAAGGGTCAGGCGGGTTCGGAATCAGGCCGAGACCGATTGTCGTCGTCGCCGGTGCTGTGATCTGCGGAGACATCTGCAAGGCTTCTGACATGGCCGGGTGGAGTTGGAGTTCGACTTCCTCAGCGACCGGGGTTTGAGGACGGCTGCCTGGTCTGATCTCGAGCTCGTTGTTTTTGATGGCCTCGGCAGCAGCAGGAGGCACTGTGGGCTGCTCCTCCGGATAAGCCACTGTGAAGCCGGAAGCGACTGGTTCTGCAGCGGCCGGCCTTTCCTCCTGAGAGGCTGGCAGCGAGTCGTTTGTCTCGCGCTTCTTCCTCCTGTCCCTTCCGGATTTCTTGCTGGTGAACTCGATGACCTCCTCCTCCTTGGGGCCATCTTCAAGAGGTGGCTCCACGGCGAGAACATCACCGGGAGTCTGAACATCGGCAGATGCTTCCAGCAAGCCACGACCCGTCGGGTCTTCGTCTTGCACGGGTTCAGGAACGGAAGGCGCTTCAACCTGGACAACCTCAAGAACAGGCGTCTCTTCCATGTCCACGGGTAGTGGAATGACCGGCGCCTCTTCGATTTGCACGGGTTCTCGGGTGGCCGGTTCCTCCTCGACGTGAACTCGTTCAGAAAGAGCCATCTCGGGCGGCACCACGAGCTCAAGCGCAGCTTGTTTGCCCTTCTCCGGTGGGGTATCCTCAGATTCCTTCGGCTGTTGTTGCTGTGCCTCCGATGCGCCGTAAAGCTCGTGCGGCTGGGCATTCGCACCTTCCCCGGTGAGTCCTTGGCGAGATTCCTGCGGAATACTGACGGGCCTATCCTCAACCGTAGCAACGGCTGGAGCTCCTGATCCAACCTGCTGCTCAGGCGCGACTTGCGCAGGGATAGGAAGCACCTCGACTTCAGGAGTAGTGGCAGACCCCGCAGCCGCTTCTGTCTCTGTCACCGGCTCTGGTGTGAATCGCGCTTCTGGCGTTATTGGTGCGGGTTCAGGAGTGTCTTGCTCGGTGCTGACAACAAGCGGGAGCTTGGTTGCAGGCGTGGACTCGGATAGAGGCGCCTCGGGCACTGTTTCTGGCTCAGGGGCAGATTTCCCTTCGACAGCAGCAGCAGTTTCCTTGCTCTTCTTGGGTGCATCATGAGTCTCGTCCACCTCAGCCGCGACGGCGTCGAGGGCCTCGGGCAGTGCCTGAGGTTGGACAACATGGGAGACTTCGTTGACGGACTCCAAGGCCTGAGTGGGTGGGGCGTCCTCCCCAACTCCGGGTTCCGGAAGACCCCTGTCAGCTTCTGCATCTATTGTGGAGTCGAGATGCGTTGTCTCTGCATCTGGGGGCTTGGGGACTTCCAACTCGGGTTGGGGTTGGGGTTCAGCGATCCTATCCTCGCCCTTATTCTCCTTTTCATCTTTCTTCTCGTCCTTCGTCGAATCTCTGTCTTCGGCCGGGGTTTCTGGCTTCGCAGGCGCCGGCGGGCCCAACAATGTCTCCTTGTGCTCACTCGGCTCAGGGACACCGGAAACCACAGGCATTGGCGGTTCAGCAAGAGGACTCGAGTCAGGCAACTGTGGGATAGTAGTCAGCAACTGGAACAGATTTTCGTTTGGGCTTCTTCATGGGAAGAACTTGTTGTGCTCAGTGACGTGAAGGGAGAGGCGATGGTGAGGCAAAAAGAGGTGACGACGGAGTGAGGATGCTGGTGTTGTTGATGTTGACGTCTAGCAAAAGCAAAGCAAAAACAATTTTTAACATACAGGAACGCGCATAGCAGGCGCCTGCCAAGTTTGGCTGCTGTCCGCTTCAGGCTCCTCCTTTGACTCGACGACGGCATCTTGAATGTTGGCGGGCTCCTCTCCCTCCACAGCCACAGGTACCGTTTCTTGAACTTCTTCAAGTGGTTCTTGGACAGGACTTAGCGTGCCAGAGGCCGCTTCGGGATCAGAGGCCTTGGATCCCTTCTTCTTCTTCTTCTTTTTCTTCGGCTTCTTGCCTGGCTGGTCTGGCACATCCTCTGCTTGGGGTTCCGTCTCAGGCGCATCTCCCGCTAGATCCCCAGCGGATGCATCATCGTTGATTGATGTCTCCCCACTAGGGACCTCCTTTACCTCGGTTCCAGGCTCAGCTTGAGAGGCTTGTACATCTACGGCAGGCGTGGCAGCGCCAGAAGTGCTTTCAGAGACAGATGTCTTCTTGCCTTTCTTACCCTTTTTCTTCTTGGCAGGGAGATCGACGTTGTCATCAGGCTGCGGCTCAGCAACGGTTTCTGGCGCCGGGCTGGACTCTCCAACAAGCGCGGCAGAAGGAGACTGCTCAGTTGCAGTCTCCTCAATGGACTGTGGAGGCTCGGAGATCGGCTCTTCGGGAGCGGCCGACACATCCAGAACAGGACCGGGCTCCTCACCGACGGGGGTTGCCACCTCAGAGACGGACTCAGGCTCAGAAGCCGTCTTCTTGGCCTTCTTCCTTTTCTTCTTGTCCTTCTTAGACTTCTTGGCTGGGCCCGCTTCGTCGTCCTCAACCTGTGCTTCTTCCTGCGGCGTCTCGGGTGCCAGTGCCGTGTCCTCAGAGACAGGAACAAGCGTAGAACCGTCTTCCGCGGTGACAGTAGGCACGTCCTCAGGAGCAGTGACGGCCTCCTCAGCCGGGGTTGGCGCAAAGACAGGGATCGGGTCCGAGCTG